CACGCAATACTGGCCCCAACCATGAATTTTCCTTTGGTGCATTTCCGTGATACTACTTGCATAGCTATCTTAGGCATGGGGTGAATATTTCCCGTCAAAACACAGCGTGTAACCCCGCTCCACAGCTTACTCGGTTGCAGAACAGCCTGGTCGCTAAACAAGATAGGAGGGTACTTTAGTGCTTGTTTGAACTATCATTTTGATCACCTTCTTAGTTTGTATGAAGAAAACCATTTCAAGGATTCCAGTGTCCACAGCACACATTCCAGTAGGTAGAGCATAGTCTGTACTATTATTACTACTATGCTGCTCAATGAAATCCAGCCGCGTCACTCAAGCTTGCGCTTTGCACCATTCCGCAGCCCAGTGTTGACAGGTCTAGGGCTGCGCAACGCCCGGCATGGCGTACTTGAATGACGCGACTGGATTTCATTGAACAGTACTGCACATCATCATTAAGTACATGACTGCATGACTGCATGGCTGTTTCTTCAGCAGTACATATAGTGTGAAAAGTGCTGTGTCTGAGGACTCACTCAACGGTGCGGATGCCATGATTCGTAAGCAATGCCTGTTATTTCTGCGAAGAGAACTGATGATGAAGACAAAGAACGTGTTCTTGAAATGAACTGCCATGGCTGGAAGTCGGCCAACTGAGAATGTATACGCCGGTGTTCTCTGAAAAAGAGATGTACGGAACCGTCCGGATGCTTCATCATATCCATAGAGCTCAACGTTGATGTCAAGTAGATAAGTCTGGTTATAGGAGTTGTGTGGCAAAAGGGAGTATGTCACATTCTCTGTACCTAAATGATCAAGAGTAAGCAAACAGAAAAGGCCGGAGCATACAGATCGGAAAAAAAGTTTACAAGTAGTCTATGAACATAGACGGCCAAAGGTACAAAGGTGCAAACTGCATCCATCTCAGTTCACCCAAGTGCACTGCACACAGGGAATGGCACTCAGGGTACAGCACACAGGGGACAGCACACAGGGGACGGCACACAGGGGACGGCACACAGGGGACGGCACACAGGGGACAGCACACAGGGGACAGCACACAGGGGACAGCACACAGGGGACAGCACACAGGGGACAGCACACAGGGGATAGCACACAGGGGACAGCACACAGGGGACAGCACACAGGTGATGTTGGAAGAAGCTACAGTTTACTTTTGTTCTTGGAATTTCGGTGGGGAACATTTTCCCTTGCAGCATGGCAGTTTTTGGAATTAACACCCTCTCTCCTACCTTCTCTTTGAAGTCTGAAGTTTCCGTATTTCAGGGATCCACTGAGCATATCAGCGTATTTAAGCCGAAAACAAGCTCAGAGAACGACAGTTCACCGAACGACATGTCATCGAAAGACCATTCACATAATACATTCTACACCGACAAATAAATTCACAGAAAGCATGTCTCACCGAAACCAGATTCACAGAAAACCCCAAAAGGATCACATGATTGTTCGGTGTGGTGTACATTCTGTGAATTGACTTTCGAAAGCACAATGTTCGCGTGTTACAGGTCAAAACCCACTGTCAAACCCCCCAACTCTGCAGGACCTCCTTCTTCCAGACATGACCGTCGGAAAACTGTAAACGGAGAGCGACTTCAGCATTCGACAGTGGACCAAACACAGGCAACGACCGGCTGGTCATTTTCTCTATGCATGAACAGCTTGAACTCTCGCAGCGCCCAAGCATTGGCTCAGTAACTCAACCTTCAAGACTGCACCACACTTATTCACCCAGCTCTATACAATAGGCACAATCTAAGGGCAAGTTCTGCCACCCGTGCTTGCACGTTTGCCAAATAAACGCCAGGAAACGTACGAGAAGCTGCTGCAAGCTCTGCTTGGCGCCAATGCGGATGTGAACCCTGATTTGTTCAACACTCACTTTGAACTCAGAGCAATAAAAGCTTATTGACAGAAATGTTCCCACCCACGGAAGCTATTTTTTCATCTGTCGCATATTCCGGCACATCCCAGCGGCAGGCCTTACAGACCGCTAAAGTCATAGCACTGAGCCGGTTTGCGCCAAAGCTCAAGTCTATTGCTGTGCTTGCATTTGCACGCTTGAATCAAGTAGCCGACTGCTTAGAACGTCTAGAAAATCACTTCTCTCCTGAAGCGGAAGATGTATATGTAACAGGTTTAATCAAACTTGAAAAGTAAGAGGCCTGGTTGAGCGTGCCTCGACCAGTTATATGCAAAATGTGATAGTATACATGTGGCAATGGCGCCAATGAAGGTGCTAATAGACAGGCGTAAGACGCATGAGGTGCGAGGGAGTGTAAAGTTATAGAGAACAGGGGAAAACTGTTACATCATCCCCCTCCTATGGAGAGGAAGGAGCTTATAACCCAAATGCTCAAGTGGAATAGAGTACAATAAGCGCAAACACGTGCGAGACGAAAAAAAGGCTTCGCACTGAAGTAACACAATAAGACGACTGAAACTCCATGCAAATTAAAGTGTAATAAGCTCAACAAATGTGTAAGGTGAAACTAGAAGTTCAACTGCAAAACTCAGCGGGCAGAAGCCAAGGTTTTGTACTTCTGAAGTGGAACAATGTCATTACCAGATTCATCCAACAAATAATGTTCAGGCTCCCAAGTGGCATCAGAGTAGCCTTGCCACTTGACTAGGTACTGAAGCTGATTCTGCCGGCGGCGGTGACTGAGAATGTTCTCCACCACATAGCGGGCATGACCATCAAGGTCCGTGATAGGCGGAGGCGTAGGCTGTCTCCTATTAGGAATAGCGTTCTTCTCGTAGGCACGGAGTGCCGACACATTAAATACCGGGTGACAGCGGCTGGTATGAGGCAACTTGAGCTTGTAGGCATTCGGGCCGACCACATGGGTTATAGGAAAGGGGCCAAACCACTTGGGGCGTAATTTATGGGATGGTCGGTCCCGAGCTTCAGGAGTCAGGAGGAAATCCCGGTAGACCATTACCAAATCTCCCACCTTCAGCTTTCCCTCGACCCTTGTCCGATCTGCATAGAAGGCCTGACGAGCTTGAGCTGCCACTAGCGCATCTTGTGAGATCTTGACCGCGTCTTGTCTTGCTTGCAACCAATCAGCTGAATCTCTGCCTCCCTGAATAGGGTTGAGGAAGTCGGGTGGCGCTCTGGGATTTAGACCGTAATTTAAGAAGAACGGTGTGTTTCCTGTAGATGATTGAGTAGCGCTGTTGATAGAAAACTCACAGAGAGGTAGGAGCATATCCCAGTTATCTTGTTTATGATTTACAAAAGCCCTCAGCACATCCTCTACTATTCTGTTTACTCGTTCAGTTAGGCCATCTGTCTGAGGGTGATTGGCAGTACTAAATGCTAGTTTCGTTCCTAAGCGATCAAACAATTCCTGAAAAAATGCTGCCGTAAATCTTGGATCACGATCACATACAATACTAGAACTCAAACCATGAAGTCGAAATACATGTTGAATATACAGATCAGCACTTCCTTTAGCGTCAATAGTAGAGGAAGTAGGTGCTAAATGTACACACTTTGTCAAGCGGTCTACAAATACATATATTGCATCATGACCTGTATCGGTCCTAGGCAAACCCATGATAAAATCCATCGAGATATCCGCCCACGGTTGACTGGGCACTGGTAAATTCTGCAAGAGACCAGTTTTTAGCTGGCCGCCTTTAACTCGTTGGCAGACGTCACATGACTTAACAAACGCCTTTACATCCAGTCCCATTCTGGGCCAATAGAAATATCTAGCGAGTCTGAAATAGGTGCGATCTCGACCGGGATGCCCCGCAGTCACACAGTCATGGTATTCTTGAAGCAGGGCGAGTCGGAGTTTGCTACTCTTTGGAATGCATAACCTGTTCTGTGGTGAAGATCTGAGATAAAGATAACCGGGTGTTTCATTTAGAAGGTAACGGTCGTGCAGATTGTCATGGCTTGAATTTTTCAGTCTCCTGATAATGGGAGCAAGATCCTTGTCGCACTTGTAACCGCTGACAATTAACTGCGCTAAGTCTGGATTAATCTCTAGGGTATGCTCAATGGCATTCAACTGAATGTTAGGAGGATAGGATGACCCGCCTATTTCAGAATCACTGAACAGATCTGGACGGCGTGAAAGCGGGTCGGCAATGTTTTTCTTTCCTGGTTTGTGAAAGACCGTGAAGTCATAGTCAGCTAAAAACTCTACCCATCTTGCCTCACGCTTGGTGAGAGTCGGTTTGGTTCGTAAATAGACAACACCCATATTATCAGTCATCAGGTCAAAGTGGCGAAATAGATAGATTCTCCAGCACTTTAATGCAAATACCACAGCCAACGTTTCCCTCTCGGCCGCAGTATAGTTGCGTTCTGCAGCTGACAGTTTCCGACTACAATAGGCTACGGGATGCAAATCCATATCTTCTCCCTGCTGCAGGAGCACACCCGCCACGGCAAAGTCACTTGCGTCAGTTTCTACCGTGAAGCTTTTCTCAACATCGGCCAGTTGCAACACTGGCGCCTCGAGTAATGCTGATTTTAGAGACTCGAATGCCTTCTGTCTAGCAGCGCTCCATTCAAAGCGTGAATGTTTTCCGGTGATTTCTTCTAATGGACGAGAGATGGTCGAGTGTCGATCTATGAACCTTCGGAAATAGTTTGCAAAGCCAAGAAACTTCCTCACATCAGTTACTGACGACGGAGTTGGCCATGTTTCCACAGCACTTATCTTCTTGGGATCAGGGGAAATTGATGTGCCGTTGATTTTATGCCCCAAGAAGAGAACTTCTCTCACGCCGAATTCGCATTTAGACTGTTTGCAATACAGCTCGCTATTTCTAAGTGTTTCTAGAACTGTTTGAAGATGATGCAGATGATCTTCCCAGGTCTTGCTAAAAACTAGAATGTCATCCAAGAATACTACAACGAATTTTCGGAGATGCGGTTGCAGAATAGAGTTCATGAGTGACTGAAAGGTTGCCGGGGCATTAGTCAGCCCGAATCCCATGACTCTAAATTGGAAGTGGCCGAACGGCGTATTAATGGCCGTCTTAGAAACATCCGAGTCTTGAATTCTGATTTGATTGTACCCCGACCGCAAGTCCAACTTGGAGAAATATGCACTGCCCTGGATCGTGTCGAATAAGTCATCAATATTAGGAAGACAAGCTTTGTTTTTGATCGTAATTCTATTCAATTCTCGCCAATCGCACACCATTCTCAGAGTACCATCCGACTTCTTCACAAAAAACACGGGTGCACCGTATGGCGACTTACTTGGCTCAATGAATCCCTTCTCAAGTAATTCTGACAGCTGTGACTGGAGCTCGTCCATCTCTGGTTTCGGCAAGCGGTAGGCGGGTCGAGACGGTGGTCTGGTTCCATCTTCTATCTGGATTTCATGGTCGATTGGTCTCTTCGGTGGAAGCTCATTCGGCAGCTCGTCTGGAAATAAATCCTGGTACCTCTTGAGCAGGTTCTGGATGTCCTGTTGCTCTGATTCCTGGAGTTGTGGACCGGAACGATTCTCCTCGTTTGCAGCAGTGACCCATGCAAGAAACCCCTCGGCTCCACTCCTCAGGGCATGACGAGCTTGTCGGCCACTGATAAACATGCTTTCCACAGATGGCCGGTCGGCTGTCGGCGGGTTAGCTGAAGGCAATTTGGCAACAAAGGGCTCACCGTCCAACTGAACTTCGTTCGTACGGAAGTTGATACTGGGGTTGTTCCTTGTAAGCCACGGCTTGCCAAGAATAGCGTCGTAGCGAGTCAGGGGATACACAGTAAAGTGCTGTTCCTCACTGAAGCCCCCGACTGTCACCTTTAGCGTGCGTGTGGAAATCTGCGGGACCTCGCTGGTCGAGCCGTCCGCCAATGTTACGCTCAGCATTCCTGAGCTTGCATCCGTGTCAAGATGATGCTTTCGAACAAAACCGTCTGCAATGAAGTCATGCGTCGAACCGGAATCTATCAGCATCACTGCATGGCGACCGCCGATCTTTCCCTGTATGCGCAGTAGGTCGTGTTCAGGTTCATTGCCGACGCTGACGTTGCTGACATGACACCTTTCTGCAACGGGACAATTTCCTACAGCTATGGGTGTCTCCGGCTCCGTAGGTTCCTGGAGAGCAACGTCTTCAACCTCCAGAGCTCCGAACCGGTTAGCGACTGGTACCGGCGTGGGTGCTTGGGTCGTCGCCAGTAAGCGCACCCCCTTTCTTACTGGCGACCAGCGTTTGGGTAGCGCTGTCCACCCTCAGTACAGTCTTTAGCGAGGTGGCCTGGCTTCCTGCAAGCAAAGCAGTGTCCCATTGCTCGCAGTTGGACACGCTCTTGGTCCGTCAGCTTGCGGAGGCCCTGACCACGGAAGCTGGGCACGGAACGCGACTCTCTACTGGCTGGTGGCCCCGACGCCGGTGGCCCTGGCGACTGCTCCACGGTGTTTGCTGCCATGACAGCTTGCTCCAGGGTACGTGGATGCTCACGCATGACCTGTCGCTGGATGTGCGGCGTAAGACCCCTGACGAACAGCAGCGCTCTGGTGTGGTGGTCGATTTCCGGCACTTGCAGGCTGAGGCGAGTGAAAGCAGCAATGTATGCGTCCAGCGACCCGCGCTGCGCTGCGGAAATTAGTCCCATACGCGATGTTTCCTCGTTGTGCCGTGGTCCGTACACATCGCCAAGTGCCGCTTTCAGAGCAGGCCAGTCGGAAAACACTTGGTTAGCTTCCAATGCCGCTATCAACCAAAGACGAGCGTTTCCAGTCAAAAATCCTGCCGCGTAGTCGACCCTCTGTGCCGCATTTGGGAGTGCCAACGACCGTAGGGCCATGTCCATTGTAAACGTCCATTCTTTGAATGTAGCGGAATCTCCTCCAAACACAGGCGGCTCTTTCGTAAGGCGGGGTGTTGGCTCCCACGGTTCCGAGTTCGGATGTATCGTTCGGTTTCCTTGGCTAACGCGCTGAGCGGTCTTGATATCGTTTATCAGCCGAACGACGAGTACGAGGAGCGTAAGCAGAGCGACCAGAACACCTGCAAAAAGCAGAGTAGTAACCATCCTCTGCTACCAGTGTAACAGGTTTAATCAAACTTGAAAAGTAAGAGGCCTGGTTGAGCGTGCCTCGACCAGTTATATGCAAAATGTGATAGTATACATGTGGCAATGGCGCCAATGAAGGTGCTAATAGACAGGCGTAAGACGCATGAGGTGCGAGGGAGTGTAAAGTTATAGAGAACAGGGGAAAACTGTTACAGTATAGACCTATATTGAAAGCTGATACATCGGAACGTGACTGAAGACTGAAGGCTAATGGTGATGGACGAACACCATGATGTGATACATCGGAACGTGACTGAAGGCTGAAGGCTAATGGTGATAGATGAACACCATGATGTGATACATGATTGGTGGAATATGAGTGACCGCACACAATACTTGCGCGAGCGACTCGGAGCCGTTCAGCAACCTGTTGGTGTCTATGTGGCCACACACTTAAGACTCCCTGATGAGGCACAGGCGGTGATGGTGATGGATCAATATTTCATGAATAGAAACACCAAGTGGAACGGAAGGCCCACACAACTCCAAGTTGTGAAGTTGTCAGGCCTTGGTTAACTGGAGACAGTTAATGACCTCCATCAATTTAGGTAACGAGCCCAGAATGGACCAGCATGGCAGCAGCACTGAAAATAAATTCTTATGAAACTGTGTCCATGCACCAATAGTATGCACCAACCAAATATGGAAGATTGTGAGGTATTGTACATTTGCAACAGGTTCTGCCATGAAGTGTGGCATTTCAAGATCATACGTTGATGCAATCCTGGGCTCTTCCGGGTGAGAAATCAAAGTACGGCATTTAGGGCCATTGACAGGACAATGCTTGAAAGATGAATCAGTTGGCTACTGAACCACCCACCGACCGACAGCTCCCTTCTTACCTCCTCCCCCCCCCCCCCCCACATTTCCCTCCCCTCCCCTTTCCCCTGCCCCTTACCCTGCCCTTTCCCCTGCCCTTTCCCCTGCCCTTACCCCTGCCCTTACCCCTGCCCCTTACCCCCCTTTCCCCTACCCCTTACCCTACCCTTACCCCTGCCCTTTCCCCTGCCCTTTCCCCTGCCCTTTCCCCTGCCCCTTACAGCGGATCACACACTCACATTCACTGGTCATGAGTTGAATTCACACGCTCTACATCTTACCAGGAAGGTTCTTGTCGACGTTGTGTTGGTAGACTTTACGAGTTCCTCTGCCAACTACACCTACACTGTATGCATTGAGTCTCAGGTGTCTGAAACGGAATGGTGAGTCTTGGCATGACACATCCAGCATTTCAGCAACAAGTTCCCAACGGTTCAGTGGGATAGACCATGCATGCAAGGCTATATCCACATTCTCATCTTCAACACTGCAAGTAGCTGTGCGTGAATTTGTCAAGCCTGAACACAGAACACAGAACACAGAAGAAACAGTGATCAACAGGAGTGTAGCTGGTGACACCGTTTTCCACATGTCACATGACTTCTACAATGTAGAAAGCAAATGAATGGCCTCGGCAGGCCTGAAGGACTTCCCAATGGTATTGCACACAATACTCTCCAATGTGCATGCCAATACGGAAAATTGGCATATCCAACAAGGAGATCGACGTTCAAAAAGGCAATAAATGGAATATCAAACAAAAGGAGGTCAAAGGTGAGCATGCAGCGATTGTGAACTTTGCCACATTGGTCACAATACCATGCAGGATACTATAGTGCGTTTCAAAAGTATAGACCTCTAGACTTTTTCGAATACTTCAAATTTGGTTTGAGCTTTTTGAGAAATTTCTTCGGAAAATTGCTCAGGCAGCTCACGCAATTTTTCTCATGTAAATTTCTAAGCGATTGGATAACAGATGCCCAATTTCGAAAATGTTATGCACCAAGTGATTACAGATTTTATGTGGTATAGATGCTGGCCTAACGGTTTTTTTAAACCAGAGGTCTCCAGGACTTTTGAAACGCACTATAGCACACTCGGCAGGTATTGTTTGTGCAGATACCCACCATACCCCCTGGCTACTCAGTATGCATATAATGTACCAGAGATGACCACTCTCGCTCTCGTTCAACATTCCATACAAACTTCAGTGCATTCAATATCTCGTATAACATACAGCACTAGGCATCAAACTATGAGGGTGCTCCATTCCCCGGGGAAGCGGCATTGGGATTCTGTTGGTTGGATTGGATGGATCCACATGAACAAACTGAACTGTGCTCTTCTAAGGAATAGCAATAGCACATCCATTACAATGCAGTAACTATGGTGAATTTTAAACTGCCCAATCACAAGCACATCCACCATAATCCAAGATTCATCAAGTCTAGAGAACTGGATTTATGAAATTCATCTGACTTTGCAGAAGTATGCTATAGGTTAATCGCAGCCCTGCATTAAAGGGGAACTGTCACCAAAAAAATTCTTTGTCTTATCTTGTAGTTCCTTGGCTCCTGATCACGATGGTGTTATTCGTTTTTCTCTGCGATGGCTGGAAGTGGGTGAAAATTTTAAAAAAGAAGGTGCCCAAAATTGTCCCGAAGTACCGAGTGACGTCACGCCGGACTTGACCTCCACGCGTACATTCATCGTCAAAACGAAGTTCAGCCCGTGTGCTGGTCGATCGAGCTAGCTGTTCCGATGTACAGTGCACGTGTGCCTTTTGAACTTTAACACAGGTGGGTACGTCGTACCGAAGGAGAATGCCAAAGAGGCAGAGACCCACGTGCAGCTACACAGCCAAATCAAAATAAAAAAGCAGCTCAGCTTTCACCTTTTTGACTTCTTCCGCGAGGATCTAAGTTTTATTTTGTGAGCACGGAAGTACGTCGTTGTTTTGAACTTTTCGTGTGAGGAACAACACGATGATGAGCGCGTATGCAGAAAACAGTACTCCTCCGGCCGGCGATAACACCACCAACCCGAGCCCCAAAGGAATGCAATGTAGCTACGTGAAGGCGATTCATCTGGCGATGTTGCTGAAGATGCAGATGACAAACTCCGACGTCTTTCATTTCAGAGCCGGGCGGGCAACACCGCCACCTTCGATACAACGACATAATTTTCAAGTACATGTATGTGTGTCACACTAACAGCAAACAAACATCCTTCCACTCCTTCGTAATCACAAATAAAACAAAGAGCGGGAGCTTCGTGGAGGAAGTACCAGTGCGACAAACTGCTGTCGACTTTTGTTTGTATTGTCTCTTTTTGGCGTTCTCACTGTGTACAACGTACACATCAGTGTCCGAGTTCAGAAGGCAAGCGTGCACCGTACATCGAACAATTGGCTCGATCGACCAGCACACGAGCTGGACTTCGTTTTTGACGATGAATGTACGCGTGGAGGTCAAGTCCGGCGTGACGTCACTCGGTACTTCGGGACAATTTTGGGGACCTTCTTTTCAAGTTTTCACCCACTTCCAGTCATCGCAGAGAAAAACGAATAACACCATCGTGATCAGGAGCCAAAGAACTACAAGATAAGACAAAGAAATTTTTTTGGTGACAGTTCCCCTTTAACATTGGGTGCCAAAGGACGGTGGCTCCACTTCAGACTAGTGATCTGCGTATTTTCAAAATTCTAGCATCTTTGCTCGTATTCTGTGCTGCATTCACACTGTACAGGAATTGCATGCAATGCTACATGGAAAACACACTAGGGTTCTAAGAATATGCCAAACTGGAAGCAAAGATTTCAAACTCTTTGCTTCCAGTTTGATGTGTTCTTAAATTATGGTGAAAAAGGGAGGACAAACTTTGTTCTGCAAGTTCTTCGGTGCCCGATTGCTCCTGCTACAGTTGAAACTGCAGAGCTAGTTTCACAGTACTCTGAGACAAGGCCCAACATGCACCATATTACCCGCACAGTACTCCGAGACAAGGCCCAACATGCACCATATTACCCGCACAGTAATCTGCACCAAGGCCCAACATGCACCATATTACCCGCGCAGTAATCTGCACCAAGGCCCAACATGCACCATATTACCCGCACAGTAATCTGCACCAAGGCCCAACATGCACCATATTACCCGCACAGTAATCTGCACCAAGGCCCAACATGCACCATATTACCCGCACAGTAATCTGCACCAAGGCCCAACATGCACCATATTACCCCCACAGTAATCTGCACCAAGGCCCAACATGCACCATATTACCCGCACAGTAATCTGCACCAAGGCCCAACATGCACCATATTACCCGCACAGTAATCTGCACCAAGGCCCAACATGCACCATATTACCCGCACAGTAATCTGCACCAAGGCATGATGGAATATCCGCCACACAGTACAACTAGTCTATAGCCATGTTGTTTTCAGCATAGAGTTGTAGTCACAGTACACCTAGTCTATAGCCATGTTGTTTTCAGCACATGCACCATATGTATGTGGTGCATGTGGTGCATGTGCATGTGTAGTCACATGTCACATGTGGTGCATGTGGTGCATGTGCATGTGTAGTCACAGTACAACTAGTCTATAGCCATGTTGTTTTCGGCATAGAGTCACAGTGTATAGTTTGAGTACTTGAGTGAAAATAGCACAAACTTACTTTGAAGTAGGAAAAATTTGCACAGGTAATAAAAACTATACAGGTGAGAAATGATAGGAAATTCAGCAAGTGCAGTGACATGCATGTGCAAGTGAGTGTGAGTGAGAATTTACTGGAATAGCGTAAGTGCGGTGACATTTTCTTTTCATTTACTACTTTGAATGCCGACAATGTGGTAGTCGGTATGTTGGTAGGACCCTTCAACATCTGTCCGAACGTATCCAACAACACGTGCCGCTCTCACTATTGTCACAGGAGGCTAGGTCGCCCGACCAAAGCGTGGCCGACAACGTAAGCACCCGACGCCACTGTCCGTTCCGGCAGAGACTTCTGCTCACAAACGGTGTCTCCGAAAAACCAACACAGCACGCAGAAATCGAGAAAAAACATTAATGTAAACGAAGACGAACACTGTGTCACATGCCCATTACCAGCGAGTACCGGTACGCCGGACGCAGACAAATGCAACTCGCCAAAGCTGAGAAGGAGCAAACGGCTGGCGGCAGCTCGGTTCGCAGAGGTGACTGGGAAGATGCGTCGAACCTCTCCGGATAAGGATGATGCCAGCAGAAGGGTAGACGACTGTCAGGCGCTTGGCAATGGCAAGGGAAGACCGGTCAGGGAGAGAACGCGACAGCAGCGGGAGCAGCGGGAGGAGGAGTATGGAAGCGATTTGTGCAGCGACGATGATGAACCAGTTGCTGGGAGAGTCGATGACAGGTGAAGGTGGCAACGATGATTCAGAGGATGATGACGATGATGATGATAGTGCTGATGGTGTGAAAGAGGGTGGTGGTCAGAGACCCAGTGGAGGCGGAGGTGGTGAGAAGAAGAAGAGTACATCGGTAATAGAGAGGTTCTGCACAACAAAAATTCGAACGAAGTTTCGCGGCAGGCCTTGCGAAAATGCGTACGACTTTTCGCACGAACTTTGTGTTCTGCACATTTTCGTAGTTTGCACGCACCAAGTGCACGTACGCCATGACCCAATCTCACGAAACTTCCTACGAAAGTTCATTTTGTGTTCCCTGCGAGTTTCGCGTCCCAAGTTGCGAAAGTTCGTGCGAAGTTTCTCACTTCGTGACGTAGAGCGAAAGTTCGTACACATTTTCGTTTTGCAGAACCTCTCTAATTAAATTGCATTTGTTGTCTAACCCCGTGTGTCGTGAAAGTTATGATGATTCTTGGTTCAGTGCTGTTCGTTCTGCAAGTAGTTTCAAGCAGTTCAAAGTTTTAGAAGCAGTCTACATTCGCATTCGTGATCCAAATCTTTGTAAACAAAAAGAAAATGTCACCGCACTTACACTATTCCAGTAAATTCGCACTCACACACACACACACACACACACACACACACACACTCACACACACACACACTGGCATATGCATGTCCATTGTCAAACTGCACTTCCTGAATTTCCTATCATTTCTCACCTGTATAGTTGTTATTACCTGTGCAAATTTGTGCTATTTTTCTTACTATTCTTGTATCTCGGTTTGCACTTTCTGACTGTATATAGTATCTAGTTACAGTGGTGGAGAGTTACTCTTAACTCGTTTCCATATGTCCTTTTTCCTTTCTACATATTCTTGTCTCCTCTTTGTTTCACTGCAAGTGTATAAATCCTATTGTAGTTTCATCCTTCTCTTTAGTCACGAATTCCATTGATAATTGTGACAAGAAAAAGTTCTGGAATACATTATTCGTCCCCATGGCTGTGATATGAGTGCACATTTAGTTATATTCATTGCACCATCTAAATACATTGTACTAAGACTTGGTGGCAGCACATTCAGCATGCTGATACAATCACTCATCAATGCATCAGCAAAGTCATCGGGATATCTTCCGTTGTCCTGTGACACAACAAGCCGTGTAAACTGTTATCAGGATAACCTCATTTCTATCATCACATGCCATGTATGACACCAAACCATACTTACCGGTATTGCTAGTTTATTTGACTGTCTACAACATCCGACAGGGGCTCCTCTGTCCAACATACACTGCAGAAGAATGCATTGCTACCCATCAACTGAACATACGCTGCTGAAAAGTGCATTGCTACCCATGAACTGTAGCTCTTATTGTCCACCTCGGACCAGATTCCACCTATCCCTTCCCCATTATCGAAATATTTTTCTGCTTTCAAGTCCCCTCGTACTTCTTGGAATTTACTGGAATAGCGTAAGTGCGGTGACATATTCTTTTCATTTACTACTTTGAATGCCGACAATGTGGTAGTCGGTATGTTGGTAGGACCCTTCAACATCTGTCCGAACGTATCAAACAACACGTGCCGCTCTCACTATTGTCACAGGAGGCTAGGTCGCCCGACCAAAGCGTGGCCGACAACGTAAGCACCCGACGCCACTGTCCGTTCCGGCAGAGACTTCTGCTCACAAACGGTGTCTCCGAAAAACCAACACAGCACGCAGAAATCGAGAAAAAACATTAATGTAAACGAAGACGAACACTGTGTCACATGCCCATTACCAGCGAGTACCGGTACGCCGGACGCAGACAAATGCAACTCGCCAAAGCTGAGAAGGAGCAAACGGCTGGCGGCAGCTCGGTTCGCAGAGGTGACTGGGAAGATGCGTCGAACCTCTCCGGATAAGGATGATGCCAGCAGAAGGGTAGACGACTGTCAGGTGCTTGGCAATGGCAAGAGAAGACCGGTCAGGGAGAGAACGCGACAGCAGCGGGAGCAGCAGGAGGAGGAGTATGGAAGCGATTTGTGCAGCGACGATGATGAACCAGTTGCTGGGAGAGTCGATGACAGGTGAAGGTGGCAACGATGATTCAGAGGATGATGACGATGATGATGATAGTGCTGATGGTGTGAAAGATGGTGGTGGTCAGAGACCCAGTGGAGGCGGAGGTGGTGAGAAGAAGAAGAGTACATCGGTAATAGAGAGGTTCTGCACAACAAAAATTCGAACGAAGTTTCGCGGCAGGCCTTGCGAAAATGCGTACGACTTTTCGCACGAACTTTGTGTTCTGCACATTTTCGTAGTTTGCACGCACCAAGTGCACGTACGCCATGACCCAATCTCACGAAACTTCCTACGAAAGTTCATTTTGTGTTCCCTGCGAGTTTCGCGTCCCAAGTTGCGAAAGTTCGTGCGAAGTTTCTCACTTCGTGACGTAGAGCGAAAGTTCGTACACATTTTCGTTTTGCAGAACCTCTCTAATTAAATTGCATTTGTTGTCTAACCCCGTGTGCCGTGAAAGTTATGATGATTCTTGGTTCAGTGCTGTTCGTTCTGCAAGTAGTTTCAAGCAGTTCAAAGTTCTAGAAGCAGTCTACATTCGCATTCGTGATCCAAATCTTTGTAAACAAAAAGAAAATGTCACCACACTTACACTATTCCAGTAAATTCGCACTCACACACACTTGCACATGCATGTCCATTGTCACACTGCACTTCCTGAATTTCCTATCATTTCTCACCTGTATAGTTGTTATTACCTGTGCAAATTTGTGCTATTTTTCTTACTATTCTTGTATCTCGGTTTGCACTTTCTGACTGTATATAGTATCTAGTTACAGTGGTGGAGAGTTACTCTTAACTCGTTTCCATATGTCCTTTTTCCTTTCTACTTATTCTTGTATCCTCTTTGTTTCACTGCAAGTGTATAAATCCTATTGTAGTTTCATCCTTCTCTTTAGTCACGAATTCCATTGATAATTGTGACAAGAAAAAGTTCTGAAATACATTATTCGTCCCCATGGCTGTGATATGAGTGCACATTTAGTTATATTCATTGCACCATCTAAATACATTGTACTAAGACTTGGTGGCAGCACATTCAGCATGCTGATACAATTACTCATCAATGCATCAGCAAAGTCATCGGGATATCTTCCGTTGTCCTGTGACACAACAAGCCGTGTAAACTGTTATCAGGATAACCTCATTTCTATCATCACATGCCACGTATGACACCAAACCATGCTTACCGGTATTGCTAGTTTATTTGACTGTCTACAACATCCGACAGGGGCTCCTCTGTCCAACATACACTGCAGAAGAATGCATTGCTACCCATCAACTGAACATACGCTGCTGAAAAGTGCATTGCTACCCATGAACTGTAGCTCTTATTGTCCACCTCGGACCAGATTCCACCTATCCCTTCCCCATTATCGAAATATTTTTCTGCTTTCAAGTCCCCTCGTACTTCTTGGCACCTTCATTGGCTTCTTTGTTATTGAGTACCTCTGCTCGTTTGGTCACCCCCCCCCCCCGAATTTTAATAAAATCAACCAAACAAACAACAAACAGTCTAATAGTAACTAACTTACGAAATTGACCGCTAGATGTCTCCACCCTGCCATGACACAAAAACACACACAAGAACATAATGGAACATACGGTAGGCAACTCTAGCGGGCAGGCAACTCTAGCGGGCAAGAAACTCTAGCGGGCAGGCAACTCTAGCAGGCAGGCAACTTTAGCGGCCAGGCAACTCTAGCGGCCAGGCAACTCTAGCGGCCAGGCAACTCTAGCGGCCAGGCAACTCTAGCGGCCAGGCAACTCTAGCCAGCAGGCAACTCTAGCGGGCAGGCAACTCTAGCGGGCAGGCAACTCTAGCGGGCAGGCAACTCTAGCGTGCAGTCAACTCTAGCGGCCAGTCAACTCTAGCGGCCATGTAACTCTAGCGGCCAGGCAATTCTAGCGGCCAGGCAACTCTAGCGGACAGGCAACTCCAGCGGGCAGGCAACTCTAGCGGACAGGCAACTCTAGTGGGCAGGCAACTCTAGCGGGCAGGCAACTCTAGCGGGCAGGCAACTCTAGCCGGCAGGCAGAGTAATGGAGCAACAGAGTAACCCAGTGACGTGTACCCTGTATACCTCCCATACACTGTATACCTCCCATACACTGTATACCTCCCATACACTGTATACCTCCCATACACTGTATACCTCCCATACACTGTATACCTCTCGTACACTGTATACCTCTCGTACACTGTATACCTCTCGTACACTGTATACCTCCCATACACTGTATACCTCCCATACACTGTATACCTCCCATACACTGTATACCTCCCGTACACTGTATACCTCCCGTACACTGTATACCTCCCGTACACTGTATACCTCCCGTACACTGTACACTGTATACCTCCCATGCACTGTATACCTCCCGTACACTGTATACGTCTCGTACACTGCATACCTCCCATACACTGCATACCTCCCGTACACTGTATACCTCCCATACACTGTATACCTCCCGTACACTGTGGGCGTGGCTGGTCCTCCTTTCAGGAGGTGCATGGCTGAAATATTCTTGAATCAGTTCCTACTTACAAATGTGGTAGGTGTGTAATTGAAATGGCGCTGTAGAAGTATACCGTGTACGGGAGGTACACATCATGTACAGGCGCGTCGGAACGACTTTGGAAGTGGGGCGGCCATGGAAGGGGGGGGGGTCCGGGGGTCGTCCCCCGGGAAAAAATTTCAAAAATTAAAGCCAATTGCAAGCATTTCCGGGCATTTGGTGCCATTTCAGTGTACGGTAACTACAATGAAAGACTTTTTGATTCTGCAAAAAACCAAGAAGATGCTACGATCGGGGACACACATTACCCTCCCCCGGGAAAAAAATTCAAAAATTGAAGCCAATTGCAAGCATTCCCAGGCATTTGGTGCCATTTCAGTGTACATGGACTTTTGATTCTGCAACAAACCACGATCGGGGACAAGGATTTGCCACGTTTGCGCTGAGATCATCGCGCTTTGTTGCAGTGTGCTAAAAAAAAAAAAAAAAAAAAAACGGCCGAAAAAGTGGGGCGGTTCCGACGCCCTTGATGTACACGTACATTGGGAATGGCCATGTCCTTCTTCTCTACTTCTTCTTGATCTTGAGCTGTACTTCGTGAAGTGAATGAAAGAAATTTTGAACTGTTTTTAGCATGCAACACGTGCACTCCGAACTTTTACACGAGGTGCGTACAGTTGAGCTCATACACACAAATCGCCAGTGATGTAATGGGAGCTGGCTTCGCGGCGCCGGCTTTGCACTTCGGGCTGGATTTCACCTAGCGCAACTGTAAAAGTATACAGTCAACTTGGCTAATAACGACTGCGGATATATTACGACAATTCGCGAATAACGACAGAATATCCATGCCCAGAGCAAAGTCCCATCTAACTGTATACATTTAACTTCGAATACAACTACTATCTGAATACCGACAATTCGCGAATACTCGCGGCGACATGCTTTTAGTGCCCCGAGGTCATATCCACTGCTTGAATAACGTCTTTCTTATTTTTGTATTTTATTTTTTATTTTGCTTCTAAATAGTTGGGAGTGATCAGCACAACTACATGTAGTTGTACATGATTGTACAGTAATCATCTACAGGGACATGCACACGTACATGTCCCTGTAGATGCCTCCAAAGGGCTAATTTTTCAATCTATTTCCCTTTCATACCAGGTTCAAGTCCTGCTTGGAAGTGGAAGGAATTTTTCCAGCCGTGCTGCGACCCACAGTTATTTGGGACCTTGTGGCCTCGCACGAGGGTAACATGGATGCAGCTAATGGGATTTCGGTCTTTGACCACTTGGTGGTGGGTCTGATCTACTCACCTCCCACCGTTTAGGCGCTGCATCTGCGCCTTTGATCCTAGAGGGTGGTGGCGTTCCCACGACGGATGCGGAAAACTGGGCTTCCAGCCGAGTCTCACGCGAACCGTGAAATTTTTATTTTATTTATTTTTTATTTATTTCCCTTCCATATTGACTTTAGCCTAGGGAATTGTGTGTTGCTCCCTACATGGGAGCTCGCGCTTTTCCTGCCGACTTGAACTCTCACTTGACTGACTCACGACTGCCATCCAGAGCACACGAGAAGTCCATCGAACCGTCCACCCGGCAAACCTGCAAGAAAGCACCACTCCCTGCTCAATACACAGTGTTTCGGGGAATTCACCCCTCATCAGTTGAGCTTGAGTAGGCTGAGGAAGATTGTGCCTGAAGACCACCACTTATATAGTGCTCTCCAGGCACAAACATTACCAGGGATACAAACTTACAGAGACGCTCCATATTGACTTTATAGTTCTTTTCAATTGTAATATGAAAGTACAGTACACATTGGCATAGAGCATGAAAAGAGCTTCATTTTTGATATGCATCAGCGTCATAAATTATCTCCAACACAGACCTATATACCCGCTGCAATGCCGAGCCAATATCCGTACTAAGCAGAAGAGCACGGTGGAAACTGTTTGGTCATATTCTACGCCTCCCTGAAGCAACTCCAGCGCAGGTCAGCATGACAGCGTATTTCCAGCGACAGAATCGGGGCTGGCTCGGACGCCCGCACATCACCCTACCAGTGGTGATAGACAGCGAATTAGCCAAGGCAACGTCCATGCGTCTCCGGAGTCTGAAGGACCTGGAGACACTGCGATTGGTGGCTCGGAATAGGCAATCATTTAACGATATAATCGCACAGGTCACATTGTAGAGTGCAGATCACCTAGTGCTTTCAACAATAATAACGTACTTCCACATTATGGGAATTTGGTATAACCCCACACCCATCATTGTTGAATATTCCATAATAGCGTGGATTTCCCCAACAATATATTTTCATTTTTTGTTATCCTCTCCCATGCCGTTGTACATAAGCGGCTTGCCGCGGATATGTCAATACTACTACTAATACTACTCAGTGTCATACTTCAGTGTATACAAAATATGGGTTCGCATACATTCAAATGGGATTTGGGGTATAAGAACACTTCGCGAATATGGACACTTTTCTGATGCCCCGCCGAGCGTCGTTATTCGCAAAGTTGGCTGCAAGTGGACTTCGCACACTGGCATTCGATTCTGGTTTCACAGAAGGCACGAAACTGCGATCCCTAGGCCACTAATCCCAAACATGAAAATGCTAGTGAAGGTCAAAAGACTTTGGGGAGGGGGGGAGTGGACATGCCACCTGTACCCCTTGCCCGCTACGTGCCACCTAAAGTTACACAACATTTGGTAGAATTTCGGAGATTCTCAAAGGAACCCTCCAAAATCGGCGAAAAGCTTAGCGATTTTTCGATAAGTCTTGTTTTCCTTCCTAAGGGTGTGCAGACTCCACTGTAGCCACTTCATGTTTCACACAGTTATACACCACTACTCAAAAACGGTCTTTTGGCTACAAATTCTTCCAAAAATGATAAAATCCAAATTTTCGGGCCAGGCCCATCTTCAGGAGTAATTCTTGTATTCGGCGAATTTTCGGCCGGCCGATTTCGTGAAAGCCTATCAGAGAGCCGTAAATATTTTAGGACTCCCTGAGATTATGAATTCCCAACCGGGTCACAAGTGACAAGGTGTTTTTTTTTCAAACAAGTCCAAATACCCCCTCCCCCCCCCCCCCTCCCCCTGGTGCTGACCCGGCTGACCCGGCTCTGGAGCAGACACTGTGCACTTGTACAGTGTCGGCCGACTTGCAATTTTGCCCCCCCCCCCCCCCCTGACTCGTGTTCATTTCAGGGATGACAACAAACTATTCCAACGACCCCGTACATACAGACCAACCCTCCTGGTTTTCCCGGGAAAATCCCGGGAAATCAACAATACTCCCGGGATCCCGGGGATGGCAAGCGAACTCCCAGAAAAGTCATCTTTTTGTCTGATCCCGGTTTTTCCTGAAAACTCCAGGGCCCGTGTGTGACTCGCCCAATATCCCGGTTCTTTAAAAAAAATATGTACAGTACGCACTCCGAACTGTGCACAGCACTTTTAAGACCTGACCAATCTGGCCTACATGATCTGCCCCGACAGGCACGCCCTGACTGATCAGACTGCAGTGCAGGCTCGAACTGTGCTGTACCCAGAGTCCAGAGTCGGTGAACTGCAACTCAGGGTGATTGCACTGTATCATTCGTCCTGTGCCGTCGGACTTTTTTTGCGGGAAAAGCTCTTTTCATGTTTTTTGCGCCATCTTCAATATGCGGAGGCTCCACTGCAGCCGATTCATCATGTCTCAATCTCTTTCTTCCCCACCACGGTCTTATACTGCAATCGTCGTAAATATCCACATGTTAGGCCTTGGGCTTCACCAGGGGTTTTGAGAGACACCCAGGGATTCTGCATGTCTTGTCAAGGGATTGAGATTGTTGTGGTTGGTTAGTATTGCCTTACATCACCTGCACTGCATACAGCCTGCTCTGCACTGTCAACATACCTGTCATACATGCACATGTTACCTGTAATGGCTGTCATGTGTACAAAACTTGTGACATCAAAACATACGACATCCGCTATCGCGAGGCCAGTCCTACAAGTGTTACGCATATTGTATAGATGTACACAAATGCTGTTGAATCCCGTAGAATCCCGTAGAATCCCGTAGGCCCAGTTGGGTGTTGAATGTACAGGACCCTATTGCGTTTACTGCCATTTCCACTACGGAACATGCCCTGAAGTCACTTCCTACGAGAACAGTTTCGGGCGAATATCTGGCCAATCATTAGCCGCACTAATCCAAGTGATGAAAAGTGACGAACCTGGAAAAGTGATTGTCTTCCATCGACTAATGGGCTAAACTCGTCAAATGCGAATGCGTAGCACACGATGAACACGCAACCGCAATAGTAAAATTAACTATTAGCTTTTTCTGCAACACTCTGCAACATTGTGTATATTCCCATCTGTAACTGATAAACACTGACACTGGACACTTGCTACAATAAAACAATACGCCGTGTATTGCAGGTGCTCGTGCACACGTCTATTGCACGTGTACTGCACACTTGACCATTTGTCAAGTGTCATCGCGGCTTCAGCACAACTATGTTTCCATTCTGGGGAATATTCCATTCTGGGAATATTCCATTTTGGGGAGTATTCCATTCTGGGAGTACTCCATTCTGCGACTATATCGCATTCCAGAGAATATTTCATTCTGGAGAATATTTCATGCAAAATCCGGGCTGCGGACAAAACTTCTTTCTCTGTAAATATACGGCCACTGAATATGCCTAGCTAGCAGCATTGCCACACAGTGGCAGCAGCAGCTCATTATAAGCACTGCAATACAGCTGCAGATGCAGCAGCTGCTGCAGCAGACTATAACACAAACCCAAGTATGGCAGCAGTAGCAGAACAGCGTCATTGTATCTACTACTACTTGGCTAGTGCTCAATCTGCAGCCAACAATCTACAGTGCGGCATAGTCCACTACAGTGTACAGTGCATAGTCACCAACCATGCATGGGTTAGCCACCATGCCACAGCACCAGTGACTGTGTGCCAGCAGACTATACAGTGTGTTGATTCAATGGAACCATGAACAGGACTTACAGAACAAGAAGAAGCAAAGTAGCCAGCCAGATTGTTTGCCGCGGTGGACTGGCCATGTTGTCCAGTGTTCTTTCAGCAACCACAGTAATCACACCAGCATTCTGCAACACAGCAGCACATCAAGCAAGCATGTGTGTTGTGAGCACAGTCTGCAACCTCTCTGCCGATTTTATCTCCTACACCTAGTATCATCCAACATGCTTGTCTCGATGTTGACAATGATAGTTGCATTGTGTTTCGTACTCCATCATGCGAGTTATCGACAGTCCTAGAGTCAGACTTGTCGACATCATCCACGGTGCCTATAGCTGCATGTATGTATGACTTCTCAGATGTGGTCTCGCCAGCTGTCCCCACAGGGCAGCTAACAGTCAAATCTACAGTACAGATGGCGGCGTTTTTACAGGGTTACGTGTGCGTGAAGTCCTCTGCCAGCTCTGTGCTACACTGGGGTAGATTGACAGTACTCGCACTGCCTGTCACTGTGAACATGTGATCTCATATCAACACACACCGTCACATACACCGCACTCATTCAAAGATCCACAGATGATAGGAGGTTGAATGGCTTATGAAGGTCAGGCTATTTCCCAACAACTACATGCAGCTGGCAAGCCCAGAACAGACTTCTCATTGATATCTTTACTCAACCTGCAAACACAAGAAGTTCTTCTTCATCCGATTCATTGGGCTTACAATAGACTAGTCGAGGCTTCGCTTTGGAACACGTCATCCAGTTGCCTTGGACAAGTTGTCTCTTTATTGACAGCAGGCAACCAATGACCGGCTCCTTCCCTTACTAAACCCACACATGATGTGTCGGTCCGTGATGCATCATGCTATTGGTAGGCCATCCAGCTACCAATGTGTGGACACACTCTGCCTAACGCTATGTGTGCAGCTACCAATGTGTGGACATACTCTGCCTAACACTGTGTCTGTAGCTACCTATGCGTATGCTGCTGTCTGGTGAGTGTTCACACATGGCCTGAAAGTGGCAAAGTGGGAGTACCAGTGACTACAGAGACTGCTTGGTCATTCTTGTTTAGCCTGTGTCTTGTTTAGCCTGAGTGTCTTGTTTACTACCCTGTGCACAAGAATGCATGGTTGTGTACAGCTCATGTTTTTATTGTCATACTTTATGCCGAATACCTATTTTAGTACACAACCGTGTTGCAATTACCATGCCTGTACTGCACAGTATGCCCAGGAAAGCACAAGGGCTCGGCACATTCAAGCTGGTCACGAAGCTAAGCTGCCATCAGGTTCGTCTAGAATCTGCATTGACATTGCGCTGTCATTTCTTTGACACACTGAGAAATCCAGTGAGAGACGTCACGCGAGACAATAAATTGTTAGCTTGAACTGCAGACTGTGTGCAATCTGTCCCAAGTCTTGACTATTCACTTCTGCTGGTCGTACTCATGGCTATAAACAATGTCGCTTTCAGCCTAGGCGAAGTGGAGAAGGGTAGAACTGCAGCCGAGAATGCCGTCACATGACGTAGTCAATGTCACCCATACTACTCAACAACAATTCAACAGCAAGTCCCCAGCATATTGCAGTAATCTGCAGCCCCTTCACAACTGTCTTCTTACCTTATGAATATGATGATCTGGTAGTTTTGATAAGCATGGTGAGAAGTGCCAGTACTACCATGTACCTAAGTCCTTGTGTACCAGGGAATGATGCAATACACTCAATGACGTACAACTGTCCTTGTACAGCCACATGATCTGCAGGTCTGGTCAACTATTTCTTGTTACTTTAGCTATTGCCAGTTCTTCCACGGTTCTGCCAGTTTTGCAGTCCGGGTCTTTACTAGAATTGTAGCGGACGGCGCTGATACTTCTAATTGGTGATGCCGACCACTTCAAAGACTGTCGAGACCTGGGGAATTGAGAAAAAGAGAAAGCTGCGTGGCCGAGTCGGCATGTTCGCATACTCCTCCAGTCATACTGCTCCTGTCATAGCGGTTACCTGCACCGCATGCACTGCAGACTTGTACGGTCGCTGATAGCGTTGACGGGTCATTGTCGGCATGTCAGCATTATTCTCAGTTCTCTGCAGCGTCTGCATTGAGAAGTTCGATAGGCGCTGTCGCCGTGCACTGCAAGTGTCGTCGCCAGAACTCACTACTCCGAACTCTAGTCCACACAGCTACAAACGAACACCCACGACGGTGCGTGTCGGGGATTGTCGCCGGTTGGCATTTGCTCCGGAGAAGAGCTACGACTACTGTAGTGGCAGCAAGAAGAAGTTAGTTATCCCTTTCCTGACTCTGCGGCAACTGTCTTCACTAGCTTCCATATCCATTTGTTTCTCCTGGTCGAGAAGCGAACTAACTAAAACACTGTTACTTGCAACCTTACAGAATGCCAGGACTAACTAGCTATTATTATAAACTGCTTCAAATCAAAAACAAAGTCAGAAATCACACTAGTGCACTGCGTACTTGAACAAGCTTGCAACGCTTGAGATCAGTTGCCTGATGAGTGATGTCTGTGATCATGGTGATGATCGATCGTGACTACGTGAAACTCGGAGTTGCAACACATGCTTCCGCCTCTCTTTTGACTTGTGAAGACGGTCGTGTAGTACTACCGTACTGGCAATATAATAGGGAGGTTCTGCTATACGTGAAACGTAGAGAAATCACGTAGAGAGCATGTGTCTGGGTTAGAGTCTACGGCTTCGCGTGTTTTGGCTCCAGATTTCTACGCGGAGATGGGGTTCTCTACGTTGTGGCACACGCAGAGAAAATGCGTACGGATTTGCTGGGTATCGATCAACTGCATGCAGAAAACTGCCAAATATGGAAGGGGAAATTCCCAGTACACATTCCACGTGACTTCTCTAGGTGAAACGTAGAGCAGAACAGCATTTCTTTACGTTACGGGAACGCGAAGAAAGTTCGCGTGATTCTTTGCGTCGCGTTCCCAAAACGTAGAGCAGAACCTCCCTAGTTATGTTGCCGCGTAACGCGTAACGCAGGGGGGTGCGGCGTAACGCGCGACCAGGCTAGTGCGACAAATTTTCGTTGACTTCGTAACGCGCGTCCGGCGGGGTGCGGCGATCTTTTCATTGCAGTTTGCACTGCAAACAAAGGCTGAAAACTGTGAAAGCACGTGCACCGCGTGGTGAAAAGTTCAAAACTGGATGCAGCAGGAAGTCCTGACACTCGAAGGCGCATCATTCAGTGGTTGGCGATCTCAATGGTTTCTTCTTTCCCGAGGTCGTTTTGCGAAGAAGAGCGATGTGTTTACCAGTTTCCTTGTGACAATGCAGAAGTCTCTATTCGCCTTCGGCGTGAAGAAAATCACGCCCAAGGAAAGTGAAAAAGGAAAGGATGAGTAGAGAAAGGAGACGAAAAACAGGATTGCTGCTGATCGTGCAAAGAAAGTTTTAGTGAAGCAGAAGGAAGTTCGTGAGCAAACGAGAAAGCGTGTTCGTCGGCACCGCCAAAATGATGCGGCAATAGCAAAAAAGTGATGCGGCAATAGCAAAAAAAGGACTGCGGCAATATAGAAACCTGTGTAACGGCTCCTGTGCGACTTTGCATGTAACGCCCTGCGTGCGGCAAACATGTGCCAATGTAACGCTTCAGCCTTCATGGCCTCACTGCGGCAACATATATTGCCAGTACGGTAGTACTGTTATCATGGTTATACTATAGTTGTGACTTGTGTACATCTAGCTACATGACTGTACTACCAAGGCGACAGGTTTTTCGCGTTGTAACCATAGTAACCAAGGAAACTCTGAATCGCCGGACAGCTAGAGCCTGGTCTCATGCTACCATGGCTACAGTATGACTCTATGAGGTCGGCCCGGACACTCAGACAGCCGGTACTGTGCCACTGGAGCACTGCCACGACCACATTCCATTGAGAAAAATACGAAAGGTTTGTTTCTCCTCGAGCTGTAAAAAAAAAGTTAATTATCGTGTCCGTTCCCGAAGGGAACTCACGACGGCCGCTAACACACCGTAAAGAGCTGTACATGACAAGAATTATGTCATACGTATACATGGTATACATGTAGGCATAGCAATGGCGCAAAAATCCAAGAAATAAAAAATGGTACATATGTGACATAATACCACCAGCAATGAGCTAACGGTCGCACAGCATTGCACAAAGCTAACGCTTACACTCACACTACATACAATGCCATTGCACTGAGCTCACACTACAGTCTGCGCTGAGCTATCGCTAACACTAACAATCGTACTGCCACTCGGGGCTTGTTCAATCATGCCTACATCTTCTACACTTGCTTTGTGTTAGTAAGGCTGTATTTACACGAGAATTTTCAACCCGGGTCGAGGACCCGAGGTCAACCCGGGTTGAACTCAGAAAGTCTGTATGATGAAAAAAAATAGGTGGGGAGTTACATGAAGATAGTTGTCCCGGGTCAATTACTGATTTGCCGCCAAAAGTCCACTTCCTAGACTCTAGAATCCTGTATGATCACGTGAATCCTTTCGCGCGAAATTTGCATGAGTGCTATTCAAACCTGGTGCGAGATACGCGCAGAAGTATGTTAGTACAATTTCTCACCCCGGGTTGATTTCAACCCACCTCTAGGGGGAGGGTTGAAACCCTCCTCTAGGGGGAGGGTTGAAATCCACCCGGGGTGAAATTTCAACGGCCAAGCGCAATGCGTCATGTAAACGCGCCAGTCAATCTGTGTTCATGACGGGTTGAAACATGACCCTGGTCGAACTCAACCCGGATTGAAACGCCTCATATCATGTAAACACAGCCTAACACCTATCTCCCCCCCCCCCTTTACATATAAACACAGCCTAACACCTATCCCCCCCCCCCCCCCCCCTGTACATATAAACACAGCCTAACACCTATCCCCCCCCCCCTTGTACATGTAAACACAGCCTAACACCTATCCCCACCCCCCCCCCCTTGTACATGTAAACACAGCCTAACACCTATCCCCCCCCCCCCCCTCCTCTACATGTATGTATCTAGTCCTATTGAGTACTGTAAAAGCCATTATTCTAACGAGGCGCATATATAACGATTTCCCAAAATTGACTAGTTTACGTGTACCAAAAGTAACGATTCTCACTCATTCCCAACGCTGAATAGGACAGTATATGTATCGATTTCTGTTTAACGATTTCTATTTTAACGACAGATTTCTCCTCGTTAACTCGTTAGAGTTAGCACTTCGTTATAATTATAATATTATGGCTTTTACAGTACTCCAATTTCAGAAATTTTAGGTGCTCAATATTTTCGGTATGAGGGCAAAAGGCCAGGTTAGATGAACAGAAATGTTAGGTCCTTGCACAGAGAATCAGTTCCCTAGTGTATTATGTGTGTTGATGTTTGTTCGGTGTATTGACATTTTAGGTATGAAGCAGATGCACGGAAAGTACCGAAAATAAAAGTACACTTCAGAACAACAAGGACAATCAAGGCTTGTTTGCTGCTACTTCAAGTTTCAAGCTCTCGCAATCATCAGGCAACACGAGGATGGGGTGCCGACCATGCCGGTAGATATGCCAGGGGAGGGTGGGTCTTGTAGCGGGGTATGAAAATCTGCGTGAGAATGTGGGGGCTGTATTACGTTTCAGGGCTAGCGGTGTTATTTTAGGCAGGATGCATTATTGGTATTATTCTACTTGGTATTCCTGGGATCAGTCAAGAAGCAGCTACTAACTGTTACTTACACTCACCAGCATCATGTTGTGCTACACTCATGACTATCACACTATCCATAGTATCTCCCAGTCTACTGTTCAACCAAGACTTAGTACTCAGTACTGAGTACTATACACAGAAGCCTTGCTTGGTAGTTTAACATGTTTTTCGATTTTGACAGCATGTTATGGTTGTAGTCAGGAGCACTACGCGTCCTCACCTTGTAACATGCTGTCAAAAGAATCGAAAAACATGTTACTGAGTACTAGTACTGTACAACCAAGTACTGAGTACAGTTAGTACTGTACTAGCATCCACTGTGACCATGGTATAGAATCATAGTAACATTCAACAAAATTATCAAGTCCTGCAAGACACGTTCAGAGATAAGGAGATAATCATTCGCATGTTCGGGCAAGGCCCATCTTCAGGACAGGAATACAGGAATGCAGCCACTACAGACAAAACATGAAATACCGTATCATAACTCTTTTGTGGTCAAGTTGTCAATTGTCAGTGTGATGACGTTTTCAGATGATCAGCACATGAAAACGACGGCCTGCATGTATTACAAAAAGATAATAATAGCGTAGAATGCTGAATTTCAATGATGAAAAAGCATGTCTCAAACAAAATGGGAGAAAGCGAGAAAGAGAAAACCCCATTTGTACCATTTCCCGGCAACTGTCCAGCAGCTACCCTCACCCTCAGGACTACCCTAGCCCTCAGGACTACAATAAATAAATAAACTACTATTTTAAAACCGTTGCATTTGCTTGACTGCTAGTAGCATGTAGTGCGTGCAGAACGTACAGTACCTTCAGTAGTGCCTTCAGTAGTGCCTTCAGTAGTGCTGCAACATCCACAGGACAATCGGGGGGGGGGGGGGGGGGGTCTCAGCACAGAGTACTGGTGTCAACATCCACAGGACAATCGGGGTCTCAGCACAGAGTGCTGGTGTCGAAGGACTTACTAGATTGAAAACTACACTGGTGTCGTGGTGGCTTGGGAATCAACAGTCTTGAGTAACAGCTACCCGCTGATGTTCACCGTGGACTTGTGTTATTGTATTGCAAACATTCCATTAGATCAGACAGACTGCTTAGTCTCAGGACACCAGTGGACACACCAGGAGCTGCTGCAGTACGCTTGTTGATATCCAAGCCAACGTTTGCTGCAATCCGTTTCCGATCTAGATGAACAGGACGCATTCCAAGTTTACGGCATGCCTCTACATCTTTCTCCCAGTCATCACCTATGTGTGCGACGGTGCTGGCATCATCAACTCCCAGTGCTTGGAGACAATGCTGGAAGATACGCGTGTCTGGTTTGCAATAATCTAATTCACCCGACATGAACACCTTTTCAAAATACTTGGTCAGTTTTAAGTCGTCAAGAATGTCACTCAGTACATGATGGAAGTTAGATATAACAGCAAGACGAATACCTGAATCTCGCAGAGCTTCCAGCGCAGGCTGGACATCTTCATACGCGAGCCATGCATCTCCACCATTGAATTCAGAGTAAAGTTGTTCGAAGACAGGACGTAGCTGAACAGGTGTTGCCTTGCACCCGCTGCACTCAAAAGACTTGAGAACAATCATTTCCCACCAGCGATGGGCAGGCATAGACTGGCTTCGCCCAAAATTAGGGTACTCCTGCCATGTCGACTTCCATGCCAATCCAAATCCTTTGTCCAGGTTAGAGGCATCAACTCCTTCGATCCCGTGCTGATGGCCTGCATTGGCATATCTTTCACCGACAGATCCCTTCACACGAAGTATTGTGTTAGTAGCGTCCAACGTAATCACCCTTACTCCTCGAAAGAACGAAGAAAGAACTTCTTGTTGGGCCATTTCTTCTCTGTCATCTACAAAATCATACAACATGCGAAAGGTTTTCGATCTTGCAGGCCGGGCTGACTTCTTTCAAACATTTGAAAAGCCTGCGGCGCACGTGCGCAGGTACTATACTATGGTCACGTGTGACTGGCAGAACTGTTACTTCACTCAACAACAAAAAATAGTGACTTGATCATGGTTATCTTCACCATCACCATGACCACTTGCATCAAGAACTCTTGCTTGCATGCTTGTGACGTTGTGTTCTGGTTTGGAGTACTGACACATGTAGTGGCTTGTGGAAAAGCAAGCCACCAGATCAGTACAGAAAGACATTACAAAAAAATTGAGCAGACACACGGTTTTCTTCTTGTAGATCCCGGTATTTTTTGTTTGAATTCTTGTTTCAGAAATACTGTAATTTCACAAATGTTCGGTGTACTTTTATTTTCGGTACTTTCGGCGAATCTGTTTCACACCTAAAATTTCAATACACCGAACAAACATGCACATAATCCTATAGGGAACTGCTTCTCTGTACCTAAATTTTCTGTTCACCTAACCTTTTGCCCTCATACCGAAAATATTGAGCACCGAAAATTTCTGAAATTAGAGTACACTAAAGTCAATGTGTTGTACATTGACTACATTCTATTATTATAGAGAAAGATAATACACTACATGTACAACCAGGGAGTCGTCACGCACATACACACACACACACACAAAATACATACACACATACACAAAATTTAAACATACACATACATGTACATACACACATACAAGTGGAGAACCCCTCGATAGGCTACCCGCCTTTGCCGCGCTGTGCCGCACACTGTCTGTGGATTGGTTGCGCAAGTGGTTGCACACCACGGTACACTGTCTGTACATGTTTAGCTGTGAATGGCAGTGCAATGTGCTGTAAATCAACTAATTTTCGCAGATTTCGCCACTTGGTGCCAACCGGCCACAGTAAATCACAGGCTAAAGTTTGTCAGAGAGCAAAAGATTCATGATTGAACCCCAATCGGCCAAAGTTTCATTTGGAGACCGGTCAAAGTTTCTCACTGGCCAAAATGTGTTGATTTACAGTAACTTAGAAAGACACGGTACGCCGGCTGTACGCCGCCTGTACAGGAAACGTATTATGAGCAAGCATTATGTGTTCAGTGGTCTTTTCATGAAGCCCCAGGTGACGAGGCAAAGAAATAATCAAGAAAGGGGCAGCAACAGCATAGCATTCACTACCAGGTGAATGGCCATCATGCGAAATTTGCTAGAAATACATGCACTGATAATGAAAAATGACGTACATTTCCCTACTAAAGCGATAAAACAAACAGTGTGAATTCTAGCCAGCATGCTCAGCACATGGAACCAACGCTGACAAAGCATGCACATCGTACTCTACACATGGCAACACAAAGCAATGCAAATGTACATAGCAGCTGCAGAGATTCTCTCAAACTCACAGCACACCGCAGTGACAAAGCACACACGCACGCACACACACACACACACACACACACACACACACACACGCACACACACACGCACACACACGCACACACACACACGCACACACACGCCCACACGCCCACACAAACACACACACACACACACACACACACACACGTGTAGCCAGGAGCAGAATAAACAGCAAGGGGTAACCATGTGGAATAGGTAGTTGTCAGTTATTCACCAATCACAACACTCTCACATTCCCTGCTCTCCGACCATACAGCCAAACACAGCATTACCTGTGCAATTCGGTCAAGACTGACGTGAAAGCCATCGTTCTAAAATGACCTGTCAGAGGCGGTGACTAGCGGCGACTAGACGAAGAACTACTTGCACCAGAATGTGAGGATGACGTTGTGACGGATGAGGATTTGTGCTTACGTCGCTTTCCACTTGGTGAACGCGAGCGAGAACGTTGTGGAGACTTGGATCTAGCCGGCGAATGTCGCTTGCTGTGCCTAGAAGACGAAGAGGATGGGCTCTTTCGTCGATGAGGAGATTTGGCTCGTTTATGTTTCCTTGAAGATGAATGGGATGGCGAGTTGGAACGTTTACGTTTAGAGCGTTGATGTCGACTATGCTCACCGTCATGTGGTGATTGTGATCGAGAATGTGTCGGTGAGCTATGTGACGAGTGATGTTGTTGCTGCTGCTGCTGCTGCTGCTGCTGTTGTTGAGAATACCGATGGCTGCCGGAAGTCGATGAAGCAGCAGGTCCACTTGCACGCCGAGATCCACGCTGATCATGTTCATCAGCAGCAGTAGCGCCAGCGGTCGCAGCAGCACCAACAAGATTATACTGGTCATCATCCTCAGAGTCACTGTTTGACGAAGAGTCATATTCCTGCAACACCAGCGTATGCAAGCACGCGAACACACATACACAAAAATAAAATCCACGTGTACTTCTCAGTGCCAAACAAAACATTACCCTGGTCTTCCCCAAAAGGATATTGGCAACTCAATTTAACCGGCACATACTTTTATCGATCACCGGCGATCGATAAATTCTACACATTTCAAATATTTTCAAACTATCGTAACTTGGTCAATTCCCAGTTGTTTGGAGAGAACGAAATATGTAGGGAGAAGAGAAAACTCTCAGCTGTCGTCTCGAACAATTTACGAAGCGATACCAAGAGTACATAACCCCCCAGAGTGTGCAACTCCCACATACCCTGTTGTCCCGACAGAATTTCAAGTTGACGTCATTATTTATGACGCAATGCTCCTTGCAGCAGTGATTTACAACATGTGTACGGGTGTCAACGCATCACACGTTTTTCTTTGCAATAATTTGTACAGGATCGATCGGCTTCGGTCAACCACAGGTTCTGGATTCGTCTGATAATCCGTGTACAGTGCGCATTGCATCATCAAAATGACGTCAACTTGAAATTCTGTCGGGACAGCACCCATAGTGGAGTTGCACACTCTGGGGGGTTATGTACTCTTGGCGATACGATGAACGGTGAGTGAGTTACGACGCGCTTAACGTTCGTCACGGTCAATTGGTGTTCAGGGCCGTGAATGCGTGACTGAACGGCCGGAGTTTTCCCTGAACTCGTCGGCTGTTCAAGGCTGTTCTTTTGTGCGATTTCACGCCACTTAACAATATGGCCGCCGAAAGTCTCGATTGGGCTTCAATGGCAAGAAAATTTGAATTTTCAAATCGTCAGAACACGAGTAGGCCATGGTTTCCCCTGGATTTTGGAGACTAGTCAGCCCGGACAGCCCGGGGAACACGCTGATCACCTGCGTCTTGTTTCAAGCTTTCCGCTCGTACCTCACATGACTGCCTTTCCTTCAAGAAACATTTGTTCTGTGTCGTGCGACTTTGGCTTCGTTCTGGAATACTCCTTGTGTCGTCGCTGACAAACTCGGCTCCGAGAAGCCCTTCCCGATTTTTCCCAGCTTAGATCGATATTTTCCCAGGTAGAGGACTATCCTCTGGTTGTCTTCCCCAAGTGTCATTAGAATACGCGCGTGAACTTCTAAATACGAGCGACGAGTCAGGAGCATGTTTTCTCTTGATTTGGAAGACAAATGGTGTGGCCCTTTAGTTGCTGTTGAGTGTAGAAGGCTGCTTCCTGCTGTAAATTGCTTAGTCTGCTTGTGGGATCTTGTAGAAGAAGACAGGAGTCGGCCAAGTGAGCTTGAAATTGTGATATCTACCCTATTGTGCGTTGAACGATTACGAAATGTCTAACTTGAATGTTGTACACGCGAGCACGCCAAGCAGAGGCTGACAATCACTGGCGAGATCAATCTCCAGACTGCCAGGAGTAGTTCGAGCAAGTTTGAAGCGGAAAGACAGCTAACTGGGCAGGCCAGGACGCCTTTCCACCCTCTTTCTCTCTCAAATTGCCGAAAAGTCGAGTATCTCGCCCAAGCGCTTTCAAAACTTTTCTCTTGGTTTCGCGTCCCAAATCGTGGAACCACGCGAGGATCGACATGAGTTTCTTCCAAAAACGCAAACTCATCGCGTATTTGTACTATCCGCACAATGTTACATAAATCGCACAACGACGACATATTTATAAGTGCCTGCGCGTGAACAGCCGTGTGTTGGCAAGGCTACACTCATTCAAATTCGAACAGGGGTTCCTGCGAGTGCCTACAACAACATTTCAGCTACATACAAGTAAGGAAAGTGAAATGGCGGATGGAGATCGATCTAGAGCGCGAGTCCCGCGCTGAAACGCCTTCGCTGGCTTGCAGCGCTGGTCCAGCGCATCTCGTGGACTCGGGTTTGGGCCCATCGTATTCCTCTCGTGAAGGGCTTTCCAGGATGCCCAAGATTATGACAATTGTCCCAGGGAAACTAAAGTTACGTCCAATTGAAGGTAAAGAACTTGAGGGCACAATTCTCCACATCCATTGAGTTCAGTCCATAAAGGGCTAACTAACCGCCAGTCAAGCCTGTGAATAACCCGGGTAACAGCTATAATAACAACTCACGTTTAGAATTGACACAATCTCCAGGCCTACTGACCATTTCACTTTCAACCTCGCCAATAACCACACTTCTCACAGGCATGATCGAGGGTTGCTATTAGAGAGGTTGACTGTACTGTGTGCCATGACGGTGTGTAGAGGCAGAGACGGTGCAAAGGCACAACCGCATAACATCGAAACAGAAAGAGTAAAGCATGCAGTGATACCTAACATGCTACTACATACTGACACACTGTAAAGGCACAACATGGAGAAGCAAAGTGTGTAGTAACACCATTACCCGTTCCATACTGCTGTGTGTTGTCCGTGTTGTCACAGTCAAGACAGCTACCGTCAAGCTACACTTACCAGAAGCAGTTCTTGACGATACTTTTCTAACTCCGCTTGTATATCCATCGGCTTTCCTCTCCGCTTAGCTTTGGCCTCCAGTCGATCAGCATACTCCACCACTTTCACCTATACACACCAGAAAATATACAAGCACTGCTCATACCAAGGTAGAATTTGTGAATGTGAATGCAGAGATCACCAGAGGAGAAGCATGTATCACGACAGTACCAGAGCAAGTACAGACCACAATGCATGCAACTTATGAAAAACAACAAATATGTTGCATGAGCTGACTGTGGACTGCAGTACAATAAATACAAAAGAAGAAGAAGAAAACAAAGGGTGAAGCTCTGAGCATGCGGTCAGGAAAGCGTTGTTCATTTTTATACCATTTCGTTACAGCAGAGTTCTCAATGTGCCAGAGCTCTTGTTGATCCAGTAACAACAACCCGTTGACCTTCACCAAGCTGTCCGCAGGGTTCGTTGCTCGGCATGTCACAGAACCGGTAGTCAACCCCCGCTCTCACCCACCCACACACCACACACACACCACACACACACCACACACACACCCACCCACCCACACCCACACAAGACTCGCGTTGAGACAGAACTCTCTGCCACAAGCAATGATGTCATGCGCTACATTACTCGCAGTCCGTCATCAAACTGTGTGGGATACGGACATACACACATTTCGCTCTTAGCAGGCGTTGTCTTATAACTAACCTCAATTTCCCGCAAACGCCGTCGCTTCTCCTCTGAGTCCACAGAGTCGGAAAATGCAGAAGCAGAGGAGGGTGCTGACGCCAGTGGGGGACGTGCTGAAGACATTGATAGGGAAACTGAAGAGGTGGATGAAGATGGCTCTGCTTTGCTTCTTGTTGCAGACGAGGATCCAAGCATTGTGGGCGACTGACTCCTGTGACTGTTGCTAGTGGTGACATCATCATCACTGCAAACATGCATGCATGTCCAGAGTGAGTGAGTGAGTGAGTGTGTGTGTGTGTGTGTGTGTGAGAGAGAGAGAGAGAGAGAGAGAGAGAGAGAGAGAGAGAGAGAGAGAGAGAGAGAGAGAGACGGGGAGAAGAATTACAGCAGGTGCAAAGATCATCAGCAAACGTATACTGACCACAGTCAAAAATGAACAGATGCAGCAGAAGGGATTTCAGGACACATGCATGCCACGGTAGCTAAGACTTACTCATCGTCTGCACCTTCATCCACCATCTCCCATTTGGATAGCATACGTGGTGGCTCAATACCTAGACACCACAGGTACATAACAGATAACAACAGACAAAAAGATAGCTAGGTATTACACACAAAGTTAAAGTGGAATTCGTCACTCTGGACTCACCACGACAATGAGTTCAAACAGTGTGTATGTATGTATGTATGTATGTATGTATGTATGTATGTATGTATGTATGTATGTATGTATGTATGCATGTATGTGATTCAGACAAATAAATCAGCAAAAACCGGACAGTAGACTGTTGCATGACATGGTCAAAATAGTCATGTTCGGAATGCTACACTGCTGTGCCACACAAAGAAAAAAGCTAAACAAGAGAAACAAGGCAAGTACCTGGCCTAGCCGCGGCCGGTGTCTTGAATGAAGGTAACGGTGCATTGCGTGCGTTGCTTGATATGCGATCAGTGAAATCAACGTCATCATCTGAGTCATCTTCATCCTGCTCCTCAACTGGCTCGCCATCAAGATCAAGGGGAGCACCATCCAGATCCGCTACTCCGGGTGATGCGCCTGCTGGTGCCACTGCTGTTGATGCGGACAGTGGCGGTATCTACATGGTTAATAGACAATGTGAGAGGACATAAAGCAGAAGAAGAGAAAAGTGAACAATCCAACTATTGCTACTAGTATAAAACAACTCAGGCTGAGACCGTGAAAGGGTTAAAAGGGTTAAAAGGGTTAAAAGATTGACACAAAGGATGGACAGCTCAGAGGAAATAGAAGTGCCATCAAATTGAAACTCACATTACTCTGCCCAGGAGGAGCCTGAGATGGCAATCCATCCATATCAATGGGAGCACCGTCAACGTCACCATCCTACACACACACACACGTGCACACACACACACAAACACACATGCCCACACACATGCACGCACGCAAGCACGCACACACCCACACATACCCACAATGTAAATTCAAAAGACTGTACATTGCTACTATAATTAATTATTGCAAATAAAGAATAATTCCCGTAGCTATGCAGAAGACGTTATTTCAGTAACGTCTGGCGCTAGCCAGGGTCCACACAGCTTTAATTTGGTGTTTGTGTGTTTGTGTCACGCCTGGCGCTTTCCCGTATCTGTCCCGTACCGTACCGTACCATCAAACACAGCTGGCCACATACAGCTGGCCGCACTATTATAAATTTTTCAATTCTCCTACTTTTCAGGCATTACCTGGGATTCGAACCCGCACTATCACTAGGGCGATAGTGCGGGTTCGAATCCCAGGTAATGCCTGAAAAGTAGGAGAATTGAAAAATTTATAACATCCCTATTCTTTTTTTGCCGTCATCAACTTCATCAAGGTGGTAGATGGTGTTGTACTTCCCTCTACCGTACCTGTCGCGTACCTGTCCCATACCTGTCCCGTAACTGTCCCGTACCATACCGTACAATCAAAGACGGCTGGCCACAATGCATCTTCAAATCGGGCTTTCAAATACAAGATCATAACGTGAAGCAACTTGGAAGAATTAGTATGTATGCGAAGTGTATCGGGGGATGCATGCAGGGCGATAGTGCGGGTTCGAATCCCAGGTTATGTCTAAAAACAAAAAGTAGAAATTTATAAGAATTTATAACATCCTTATGCTTTTTTTGTCTAAGTCATCAAGGCAAAAAAGCATAGCGTAGGGCCCTGAGCTTCCAAGCTCTCTCGTTAGCACGCTTTCTTTAATATTTCGTATATTGACTCCCTTTAATTCAAAATTCAAATTTCCAATTATCCGGAACTTCTAATTATCCAAATGCAACCCCATGCACCGATATCAAGAGTATAACCCCCCCCCCCCCAAGAGTGTACAACTCCTGATACCCTTTCTATGGGGCACGCCGACAGCGAAAACTCACATCAGGTGGTGCAGTGTCGCAGATGTACGTTTCCAGCCCGTTCTAACGAGCAGCGGAGTAATAAAAAAAAGCACTCTCTGACAGAAACTTACTGCGGGTATGCAAATCCCCAGCATGATCATGGCAGATAATTGGATTGCGCGCACACTATCCCCCGTTTGCACATAGTACGAACTTGCCTGAGACACGTGATGTGAGTTTTCGCCGTCGGAGACCCCATATGCAGAGTTGCACACTCTTGAGGGGTTATAATATACTCTTGCCGATATGTACATGTATGTCAAAGTGCTTTACATCGCATGTTGATCATTTTTTGCGCTTTCCATTCTCATCCGCACAACACAATGGGGCATGTACAAACTTCATACTCCATGCATGTTCATTTTGTCAAAATACTCTACACAGCAGTCATGTGATGGATATGTTGATGTGCCTGTGAAGGCAGTTACTACTCCTGCTGCTGCTGCTGCTGCTGCCCTATAGGCTATGCTGCTGACATCCACGTCCACACAACACCAGTGGTGCTGACGTGTATGTCAAGCAAACTGCGTGTGACTGGGTAGGAATAACGGACAGGATTGCAAAACAGAATATGGTAAAAGGGCAGAATAAGACAGAACATACAACTGTGCCAGGAGCAGGCATGACACAGGGTGCTTGACAAACATACCATTGTGCTAGGTTGGTCATCTTTGCCAAGAAAGATAGCCCGTAAGTTGACCAGAAACATCGGTGGATACACAGCGCATTCCTCCCAGGCACGCACACAGTTCAGCACTTGTTGCTAGATACGCAGCATCAACAGAGAAACACACACACACACACACACACACACACACACACACACACACACACACACACACACACACACCACACAAGCGCAAACACACATGCACAAACACACATACACACACACACACACAAAATAGGCACTTAGCTCCAAGCAAATATAAAGTAAGATAGTTGTCGTTGTTGGTGTGCACTTCAGGGTACTGGAAGATTACATTCACAGACACAGTGCACATGCCACGAGCTGCTATCCACTCACATTGCTATGTACTGTGTGATACAAGTCAAGAAGTGAGAGAAAGAAGAGAGAGAGAGAGACAAAGAGAGTGAGAGAGAGAGAGAGTGTGAGTGAGTGTGAGAGAGAGGGAAAGCGATATTTAGATCACAATGGCTTACTCGGAACTTATCAGCGCGGATTCTGGCAGAGATAGCAAGGAATGCTTCACAGAGATGTTGGAAGATCTCCACCAGGCGACTTTCAAAGCCACGTCGGAAATGCGAAGCATGCGGTACCCCAGCACTGCAGTTGTAGAGTATATCTGATACCAGGTACAATCGAGCAGCCTACAGTATCAATAATACAGGCACCATCCAGATATACACCATATCAATAATACAGACACCATCCAGATATACACCATATCAAGAATACAGGCATCATCCAGATATACACCATATCAAGAATACAGGCATCATCCAGATATACACCATATCAAGAATACAGACACCATCCAGAAATACACCATATCAAGAATACAGGCACCATCCAGATATACACCATATCAAGAATACAGGTACCATCCAGATATACACATTATGGATTAAAAATACAGGCATTACGCAGGAAATGCACTCCAACAAAAACTTCGTTCCCTGATCAAAGTTATGCATTTAGGGAAGATGGGGGTAAAACAGAACATTCGGGGGTACATGCAGTGAAACTTCCATATAACGCATTCCAAGGGCCGTACAAATATGTCCTCTCCAGCCAAGAAAGTACTGTTGATCCGCTCCATCTCCAATTTCCGCCCCCTGTCGAATTTCTGCCTGGGAAGCGACTTCGGCGTATACAATGAAGTACGGTGTTGAACCAACACATGCACTGCTGTACACAATACGTTCCAGTGCAGGATGAAAATGTGCACAATCCAGCACACCGAGGCTGACCTTCTGCGTTGTTGTACATCGTACTGCACTTGACAGCCTTGGCCTAATTCCCTACCTCTGCCGAAAATTACGAGTAATCTACAGAATAAAAATGTTAGTACCTTTAGAGGAATGGGCGTTTCAAGAATCGACAGTGACTCTGTGATGCACTCCACAATCTGTAGAAGAATCATACGTACAGCACACACAGCACACAATTAAAAAATTGCACAAAGCATGATCGTGGACCAGAAATTAAAACAGTTGAGTTTAGGGAAGATACTTCCCAAGTACTTTGTAATCGCCCACAAGCCGCTGAAAACACTGCATCACACACAACGGTAGTGCAGTGCTGCCAAACCGTCCGATTTTTCGGACAGTGTCCGATTTTTGAAGGCTCTTCCGAAAACCGGTCCGAAAAGGGAAACGTCCGAAAAGCAGCCAAAATGTCACAGATCATTACTTCCCTATGCAGAAGTCCTGTACTTTCACTTTTCAGCGCAACTGAAGGCACAAATCACTGTACATTTGCTTCTAAAAAGGCTAGCGCTTGGCTGTGGAAGTGCAAAGTAACATGCCTGGATCAGGCTGGATGGCATGTACGCTGACAGTCTGTACAGAGTCAGTGTGCGACCACATTCATCATTACAAAATTCATAACTCCGGGGTTACCATGGCAACGAAGTGAATTTTCATGGTGTTTTAGGCGATATTTTGAATTCTCTGTAAAAAATTTGCCGAGGAGAAAAATTCGCACCATGTGGCCAGCCTTGGCGGTGAACTGAAGGGTGTCCGATTTTGGGCGAAAATTATTTGGCAGCACTGGTAGTGTTACTTGCTAAATGGGAGTTCATATCCCCCAGGCCCTAGCCTAGGCAGAACCAAGGTTCAAAGGCCAAAAACTGGTTGTGATTGTCCCTAACAGTTACTCGGGAGTAGACTGCGGCTGTACTTAGGTATTCGATGCTGCTGCTGCTGCTGCTGCTGTTGCTGCTGTTGCTGCTGCCATGTAAAACAAAGTCCATTACAGTCCATTCACAAAAACATGGGCCCTGGCTCTGGCCCTGGCGAGCTCCCGTATTTGGCCATTTTTCAAGATGTTATCGTACACAGTGCAGTGTTGCGAAATTTGAAATTTGAAAAAGGGTCCAAAAAGGGTACCTGAACTGGGGCTCGAACCGCACAATGCACTGTTGCAGGCAGGGTTGTTGCAGGCAGGGTCAAACGGCCTGGATTGTGATGTTTTTTTTCCAATTCACTGCTCTTGGGGCAAAACCTGGCCGAAATCCTATTCTTGCTACGGTTTGCTTTTTGGAGAAATAGACTTCAGAAACATAATTGGAAGAGGATTCCATAGGGAATTGCAGAAAAAAATTCTACAGAAACTCAACGTTTGACCCATTCATGGCCAAAAGCTAGAAGTCCATCTTTTTCTGAATGGACTGTAGGCCACAGTCACACCGAGACAAAATCAAAAAAACGCAGCAGCGTTTTCCGCTGTTGTCATGACTATCATGGCTGCAGCGGCAAATATCTGCGGAAAATGCTGCTGCGGAAAACCTGAACCGATAGCTAGCGTTTTCTGCTGGACATCACAATCTGAGCAGCAAACTGTGCCATCGTCAGTACCGGGAAATTACGCGGGAATGCAGGAATCCCTACAAACCCAGTGCAAGTTAGTTCTAGGAGATCTCGAGACGATCGTGCGAGCTTCTGCTTTCTAGAAATAATTCCAACATTGCAGGTCCTGTCGCGGCATCCTGGAGTTTCATCTTTTCCGTCAGCCTTTTCTTCAGACAGTTTGCTTTGACACTTTCCTCCAGAGTTTATTTGAGGAGTCGCTAGTGATCACGAAGTGGACGGAAGAGCTGGAAGGTGCGCTGATGGAGTGATGGAGCTCTGGTACCAGAGAGAGGATACAGAGTAATGGAGCTCTGGTAGCAGAGAGAGAAGGATGCAGAGTAAAGTTGGCACATCCGCATCACCACCGGTGTTGAGAAACACAACTAGCAAGAAGAATTCGGAATAATTATGATCTTCTTTCAAGCTTCTGAGTGCGTCACAGTCTGAACTGTTTCCATGTTACCAGCCAAAAAAACGCTGCAGCTGCCAACAGCACGCAAGTACAGTGTGACCGATAGGGAAATATTTGCCGCTGTTTCCTATTAGCCGCAGCAGCGGAAAACGCTGATTGTTTGCCTCCGTGTGCCCGGGGCCTAAGGCTACCAGCAGCAGCAGCAACACCAGCAGCACAAACACCACCGGCAGCAGCAACAGCAGCAGGATAAAACAAGCAATGCTTCTGCATACATACCTCTTCAGCACAGTCTGCATGATCTAAACAGAACACCATGCCATCAGCAATCGTCTGGCGATCGATCGTAATTTTGTGAAGCATATCCTCCAAGAAATCACGATTCCTACCACGACAACAACGACAACGACAACAACAACAGCAACAACAACAACAACAACAACAACAGCAGCAGTTAAGTTTTGAGCACTCAATTTTCGATCAACAGCACAGGATGGTCATGGGTGACCCATTATTATTAATATGGGTGACCCAACAGCTATTAATATAATTATAGTAAAGGTCGTCTTGTACATACACGAACGGGAAGGCCTATCAACAATCAGAGACTATGCTTTTCTTTGCTAGATTCATTGTGTGGTGTATAACTGTGTGAAGATTCATTGATGACCCTCAAAATTTCGACCTTTCCCTTGCTTTCACTTTTCAAGAATTGTATTCAAATCTGACAGATCTGTTCCAGATAAGAATTGCACCTTTCAAGATGTAGAATGCTCCCAGTCAAATGCTTGCACTCTGAAGTATGGTACCCATCAAACAGCATGTCATGCCTACCTGTACATTCCCTTCAAATCACACTGCCCTAGAGCAAACTACAAGTACTGTAAAGTACAGCCAGAGCGCCCCGTCTCGTGAGAGCGCCCCACCTTGATTTTACAGCCATGGAAAGGAAAATCGTATGGCAGAGTGCAACGAAGTTTGTACAGTGTGAGAACCTTACTAAGGTCAAACTAAGCAGTCTTTTTGTGTGGAGCCCGTGCCCGCTCGAAGGTACAGATTGTCTGCAGAAAGTGCAATGTGTGTACAAAGTTCATGTTGTATGACCTACAGACAGGAGACCACCTCCACAAATACGACCACGAAAGGACGCGATGGTGGGGCGCTCTGGCGGTACTTTACGGTATTAATGAAAGCTGAATTGTGTGTAGAGTAACTGTAGACATAGTCACATAGTGTGTAGAGTAACTGTAGACATAGTCACATAGTGGGACAAACACTGCTCTCTCTGGTACGTTGTATTCATTTGGAGATTCTAGCAACAAAAAGTGATGCCTTGCAAAGCCTTGCAAAGCCACACAAATAGATCCTGACACAGTACTTCCATGTGCAAAGACAGAATTTAGCAAAACTTACTTCTCAGACAATTGTCCTTTCTTGTCTACTAGAGCTGGAACATTCAGCTTCGGGTCTTCAATGGTTGGTGCCTGCAGAGTTGTTTTGATTTGTGGCATAGGTGGTGGGCGCCACACTGACCCACCTTTGAACATACCAAACTCCTGTAGGCGCCACTTGTCTGTCCGCTCACCCTACCAAAGAGAACACACATCAGTACAATGGTAGCAACAGGTGAAGAAAATGGAATAACAGCAGGCTCCAAATCCAATTCTCCAGCAGACTCTTGTCAGTGCAAAGTCTAAAATCAATTTAAATCATACATGCGCAGTCGGGGATTGCTGGTTGAATATTGACCGAGCGACCAGCCTCCACAGTATAGACCACACAGTCGGTATAGACCATAGAGTCAGTGGAGAGAGTGGAGACAATGTACATGTAGTGCACTGTAGCCACTTCACTCAGCTGTGTGGTGTAGACCAACCAGCCTTGCAAGCTGTTCAATGGTACAATCCCAGCACAAGTTGCCACATGTATGTCTAACATAGCTTGTTTGCTATCATCGCTTCAGCGATGGGCACGTGTACGAGTAAGTATGTGCAATACACATTATGTGGTAATATACATCAATACCTAATCACTAACTACTTCCTCCGCGTCATCGAAATTGTCGCAGTTTCACTAGTGACTTGTCACTTGTTACTGACAACTCCATAAGCTAAACCATACAAAAATTATTACACAGGATGATAGTCTGAAGTCTAGAGTAATGTTCCAGGACAGTTCGACTGAGAGTTTCACACGGAGACGAAGGCCTTGTCGTCACTGATGTCAAAGGACGAAAAAATATCGTTCCACAAATTTCCAGGAAGGTTGTAAGTTGGTCGCGCCTCATCTCAACCGCTTTGACTTTCTCCACAGGACAAGAGCTGCTATGCTTGCGTCTGCTAGCTCTGGATGAGCACTACTTCACCACCAACGCAGTAAGAATACACGATCGTTGCGAGGTCGGGTGCTTACCGTCGGCGGAATCACCTCGATCTTCAAATGAACTTTTTTTAGCCGTGAGATGCCCATTCATTTTATTTGTGTGGTCACTGCTCATGCAGGTAAGTGTACTATCACGTCGAGAGCGCACTCTTTTTCAGCATCACTGGCACAGTACCTGCACGTGCGTCACTAGCACTACAATCTCAGTACAGTGTACACACAGAGTCTACATGGCCCTTGCAGGTACTGAGTGTCTCAGCATTCCTTGCATGAATGCAAGAGCGATAAATTTTATCGCTCTTGCTTGCATATAGTGCTGACCCCTCGATGCTCCTCCAAGCGCTGCCGCTTGTTCCACGAAGTCATTTTCACCCCAGCTCAGGTAAAACAGTGATGAGTTTTCGAGTGAATGGCTATAAACACGAGAAATGTGCAGGCTGCAACGCCTGACTGATCTCAGCGAGTCGAAAGTACCATCGCAGCGACATCAGCGAAGAAATTGCATCTAGTTCAAAATTTTCAGCTTCCAACAACAGAAAATAGAACTTTGCCGTCATCTTATACTGATAACTATTGTCTATGTCCGATTCCTTACCTGTGGTACGACTGCTGGTGAGTATTTACCCTGTTTTATATCAAAAGTCAAACTGCGACAATTTCGATGACGCGGAGGAAGTACCGTTTTCTGATGATCGCTTAGTGCGTGAAACTCAGAGTTAAAACACTTTTTCCGTCCTCTTATTGTTTGAACTAGCTCTGCCTCTTGGCATTGAGCAGTCTCTTGGACAGCCTGGAACCTCTCCGTTTTACATCACTAACCTGTAAGATGGAACACAACTTCCATCGGTAATAGATATGAGCTGGCTCTTTGTTGTCGAAGAGAAACCTGTCCACGACAACACACATCCACCACATCACAAGAAAGCGCATGCATTGCATTGCACCACACCACAAAAGCAGAGCTCAATTTGTGAAGCAACACCATAAGAGCAACGACAGCGTAGTCACAGAGTGTCCACAGCATGCCCACAGTGACACACAAGAAGTCTCACACCCATGGCAGTGTATAGCAAGTCTCACACCCATGGCAGTGTATACCAAGTCTCACACCCATGGCAGTGTATAGCAAGTCTCACACCCATGGCAGTGTATACCAAGTCTCACATCCATGGCAGTGTATACCAAGTCTCACACCCATGGCAGTGTATAGCAAGTCTCACATCTATGGCAGTGTAAAGCAAGTCTCACACCCATGCACCAAAACCACCAGAAGAAGCGCGCGCAGTAGAGCAAATATGCTACATGGAATATCTTCACATAATTATAATACCATCAACCATAATGCTGCTGCTGCAACTGGAACTAGCACAATGTATATGAGCAACTACACCACACACTGTACAACACCATAACAAATCACAGCATACTGTCACACATCACAGCACACTGTCACACATCACAGCACACTGTCACACATCACAACACACTGTCACACATCACAGCACACTGTCACACATCACAGCATACTGTCACACATCACAACATACTGTCACACATCACAGCATACTGTCACACATCACAGCATACTGTCACACATCACAACACACTGTCACACATCACAGCATACTGTCACACATCACAGCACACTGTCACACATCACAGCATACTGTCACACATCACAGCATACTGTCACACATCACAGCATACTGTCACACATCACAGCATACTGTCACACATCACAACACACTGTCACACATCACAGCACACTGTCACACATCACAGCATACTGTCACACATCACAACATACTGTCACACATCACAACACACTGTCACACATCACAGCATACTGTCACACATCACAGCATACTGTCACACATCACAGCACACTGTCACACATCACAGCACACTGTCACACAACACAACACACTGTCACACATCACAGCATACTGTCACACATCACAGCACACTGTCACACATCACAACATACTGTCACACAACACAACACACTGTCACACATCACAGCACACTGTCACACATCACAACACACTGTCACACTGTCACACATCACAACATACTGTCACACATCACAGCACACTGTCACACATCACAGCATACTGTCACACATCACAGCACACTGTCACACATCACAACATACTGTCACACAACACAACACACTGTCACACATCACAGCACACTGTCACACATCACAACACACTGTCACACATCACAACACACTGTCACACATCACAGCATACTGTCACACAACACAGCACACTGTCACACAACACAGCACACCATAACACATCACAACACACAGTCATGTATCAGCAGAATGGCAGTGATGGAAATGGTGCCAAATCGTGCGGCATAAGCAGCTGCGCCAGCACAAGGTCCTGCTAGTAGTTCTCACCGAAACATGGGATTATTGATTTCCTTGTTCATAATCATAGCTTCAAACATCGGTCCTTCCCGTACAACAAACTCTATCACTCGATGGATCACACAAAGAAGATTTCTGCAGAGGAGATGTGCAAATCAAACAAAAACGCTGTCATTTCCACAAACAGGCAGGGGATGATGTGTGTGTGTGTGTGACGATGTGATCAATGGCATGCCTCTGTGTGTGTGCGTGTGTGTGTGGGTGGGTGTGCGTGTGTGTGTGTGTGACGCTTCATGCCTTGGAGCGATAGCACACAGCGGTTGCAGCGGGCGCAGTGGAAGCTGCAGCACAAGTGCAACCGTGGCTCGGCCAGAGCAACCGACACAGACAGTAGCTCCTTCTGCATAGTTTGCAATTGCGGTCGACGTGTCAGTAGACCACAGGACCTACCCTGTCATCGCCCCTACTGTGCCGAACCTGCTCAACCCCCCCCCCCCCCCCCCATGGGGTCCGCATAGCCAGAACATGGGAGCGCGTCCAAGGTCCAATGTCCAAGGTGTGTGTGTGTGTGTGTGTGTGTGTGTGTGTGTGTGTGTGTGTGTGTGCGTGTGTGCGTGTGTGCTGAGAACTAAAAGTAGACACACGAGGTGTGTTGTAGACTGGGGTGAAAATAAGAAAGAAACTGCAAAACCACCTCCCCACATCGATGAGAACGAACAACAAATGGAGTCAACAATATAGGAAATACAGTTCAGGAAATACAGTTCATGAAATACAGTGTCTCCTGCTGTACTACGTCTCTAGTATAAAACAGTTTAGAGAAGTTGTAAGTGTAGCAAGTGACAATGCTGCTGGCATGCTGGAGAAAGCAAGAGAAAGAACTAATGCTGCAGATTGCAGACTTCTAGCGCATCATTCACCAACACGAAAAGTGCTAAGGGAATATGATCATAGTGAACAGAGCAAGTGAAGATGAAGTGATGCACAGCTCCTAGAGATAGGCACATACCGATCATGTGGAATAACCACAGGGATGACCAAATTACGCAAGTCCTGTCAAAGATGAGAAAGAAGACATATAGAAGATACGTGTCAGAAGATGGAAGATGACAAAGAGGCCAGGACAGATTTTACAAGAGTTGAAAAAGTAAGAGAAAGAAAGTTAGAGAGAGAAAGTTAGAGAGAGAGAGAGAGAGAGAGAGAGAGAGAGAGAGAGAGAGAGAGAGAGAGAGAGAGAGAAGAGAGAGAGAGAGAGAGAGAGAGAGAGAGAGAGAGAGAGAAAGAGAACACATGCATGCCTGTATTCTTAACTCTTACCTCATTATCATCATCTTTACCACCAGATGAGGAGAGAGTGGAGCGTCTTGCACCCGGCTTGACTGTATCACGAGATTGAGCGTTAAACGGTTTTCCTGAAATCACGAATACCATACCAATCAACAAGAAGACATGGTCATGGTTCTACAAGTGCCACTATCCACTGTCCATAGCCCATTATCCACTATCCGCAGCCCATTATCCACTATTCACAGCCTATTATCCACTAGTCACAGCCACTGTCCACCATCCACTATTCATATCCACTATTCACAGCCACTGTCCACAGCCCACTATCTACTATCCACAGTCCGCTATCCACTGTCCACTATTCACAGCCCACTATTCACAGCCACTGTCCACAACCCACTATCTACTATCCACAGCCCGCTATCCACTGTCCACTATTCACAGCCCACTGTCCACAGCCCACTATCCACAATCCACTGTCCACAGGTACAGATACAGATCAGCTGCTTCTTGCAGGTCAGCTGCATCTTGCGACATCATGAGGACACACATCACCAACCTATATACTGCTAACATACAAGGATAACAAGAAAATCACTAAATTTGAAACTTATTAGAAAACATGTTTTACAGTAGAATTCTGCCGGTAGGATTGCAAACATCGTCGCCCGTGACAAAACTGTCAATCTGAACGTATGATCAATTGGCCGCCTGTCAAACTTCACGTCACTCTAGAGTGAACCTCATGATCACTTTCTTCATAGTGTAACCGCTCGCCACTACCAGCACAAGCCACCAGCAAAAGCCACCGTCATCACATACCACATTCAGCACACTCCACTACCAGCAAAAGCCACGACCAACACATGCCACATTCAGCACTCTCCACTACACTACCAGCACATGCCACTGCCAGCACATGCCACTGCCAGCACATGCCACTGCCAGCACACTCCACCACCAGCACAAGCCACTGCCAGCACAAGCCACTGCAAGCACAAGCCACTGCCAGCACAAGCCACTGCCAGCACAAGCCACTGCCAGCACAAGCCACTGCAAGCACAAGCCACTGCAAGCACAAGCCACTGCAAGCACAAGCCACTGCCAGTACAAGCCACTGCTAGCACAAGCCACTGCCAGCACAAGCCACTGCCAGCACAAGCCACTGCCAGCACAAGCCACTGCCAGCACAAGCCACTGCAAGCACAAGCCACTGCAAGCACAAGCCAAACAAGGTTTGCTAGGTGAGACCGTGACCTAATTGTCCACTCATTCCCACTGTTATTCCACAAACATTTTGCTGGGCAAGGTCTGCCAGTATGTTCTTCAAAATTACTATGTCATGTAACCACTCTTGTGACGTGTTTTGCTACCGTCAAACTGCATGCATCATGCATCACGTTTCATGATCATGCCCGCACAAGAGAACCAGTGGGCATTACCAAGTACGCCACAACAATACATTGCAACACACCGCCGCACACTCCAAACCACTCCAAACCACTACAACACACTACAACATTCTACAAACCACTGCACCATAATGCAACACACTACAACACACTACAACACACTACAACACAATGCAACACAATGCAACATTCTACAACACACTACAACACACTACAACACAATGCAACATTCTACAACACACTACAACACACTACAACACAATGCAACACACTACACCACACTACAACAGACTGCAGCACAATGCAACACAATGCAACAGACTGCAGCACACTACAACACACTACAGTACAACACACTGCAGCACACTACAACACACTACAACACACTACAACAGACTGCAGCACACTGCAGCACAATGCAGCACACTGCAGCACACTGCAGCACAATGCAACACAATGCAACAGACTGCAGCACACTACAACACACTACAACAGACTGCAGTACACTGCAGCACACTACAGCACAATGCAACACACTACGGCACACTACAGCACAATGCAACACACCGCAGCACACAGCAACACACTACAACACACCGCAGCACACAGCAACACACTGCAGCACACTACAACACACTGTAACACGCTGCAGCACATTGCAGCACACTGCAACACGGCACTCACCAGATGGAGGCGGTGGCATAGTGGCAGCAACAGTTGACTGCAGCTCCGGTGCAACGTAGAAAGGAACAGGGGGGATGGGCACAGCCTTACCCCAGCCCATCTTCAACTCAAATCCCATCACCTCCTTTCCTGGAGATCAAAAAAGATTATCAAAAGATAGGGGTGAAACGAGTATCTATTTTGACCAATCGATCACTCATTCATAATATTCGATCGAGTATCCGATTATTTCGAGTATTTTATCAAAATTCTAAAGCGCTAGATTTATGAGTTCTCGACCAATTCGGAAGAAATTAGCTGGGGACATAGAACAGAAGTCGCCGACGTCTTGTACAGAGTGTAAAGTAACGATTTTCACCAGTACTTTCATTATTTTTGAAGAAGGGCTGAGGCTTCCTGCAGCTTCATCTGTGAAAAGAATTCGGGTGGACACACCTATTCCCATAGCGCTGCATATCACATCCGAACCAGTTCCGTTATTTTACAATGTTTCAACGTTGTTTTTTTTGTGCTAGAATTAACACCATAATTATTTGGCATGTACCCTCACTTCGTAGAGCACAACGGCGCGCTCTTCTTCTCCGTGATGTGCACAGTTGCACCTTCTCCCCCCCCCCCCCCCCCCCCCCCTCTGTATAGAGGTGACATAACTCGCATCATTTTATTTTTTGGCGCTACACTCTGCGTAACGCCATTCACAGAGCACAATGCGCGCTACCTTCTGCTGCTTCTCCTCCGTGATGTGCTAGTTGCGCCTTTTCTCTCTCTCTCTGTCATACTAGGTGACATAATTCGCATCTTTTTTGGCGCTACACTCTGCGTATATACTGCTCTTGTGTGGCTTCCACGGTATTCATTGTTATTACCTGACGATGGCCAAGTGCCGAAACGTTGTAAAATAACGGAACTGGTTCGGATGTGATATGCAGCGCTATGGGAATGGGTGTGTCCACCCGAATTCTTTTTACTTTCATTATCTCGTGACAAACTAACGTTACTTGCCGTTTTGATCGCATCGTGCAACTCATAAAATACTGACTCAAAGGCATGCATACCAGTTGATGAGCGGTACAACAGAGGTTTCGGAAAAATAGAATGCCAATACTAAAAAAAACAAAAAACCGATCAAGTGCAAAATTTCGAATACTCGCTCGTTTGAAATTTTGGAACGAATACTCGAATATTCGAACTAATCGTTTCACCCCTTATCAAAAGACAATGGTAATATTTTCAAAATGTTTAAATGAATAGTATCAGCTTTCGTGTTTAGACCACTGTACTACTTCAGCGTTTGACCTAGCTGCATGTATAGTCACTGTGCAATTTATTGGGAAACAACCTCTTACAGAATGCACCAACTGCTGCTCAAATCTGTGCGTTTTCAGGCCACAGACTTGCAACGAAATCTCCCCGGTGACACAACACTATTCCTCTTGCAAAGCAGTTACTAGTATTACAGTGTTTGCATTATAGTCTAGCATATTATTGTGAAAAAGAAGAAGGACAAAATGTTACGAGTTATGACTAACTGTCCATTTAATTGGCTCACGATCCGAGTTCTACTTGCATATACTTGCATATAGTTCAACGTAGATACAAGAATGACTTTTTCCACCAAAGACAGAGCACAATCCTGAGAGAATGCCACACAACTACTAGTAGTCAGTGGCAGCCTAGAGCAAGGGCTAAGACTAACCATTCAACGCATCGAGTGCTTTGCCGCCATCTTCACGACACATGAAAGCAACAAATCCACACATCCTATTTCTAGCTTTCTCCTCATCTGTCCTTGGCCACATAATCTTGACAGAAGCAAGGGGACCAAACTTGCCAAAGGTCAAGCATAGCAACTCTTCATTCATCTGCCATTGAAGCAACATAAACACATGGACAGAACACAATCAAAGACTAATACACGGAGAAATGGACTCCAGTCGGCTTCTGCTCAACATACACAGGTTGTGCAGATAAATTATGGGAGACCTAGCACAAGCGAAATCCGACACTTGGCATGAGGGACTACACCATGGAGTGTGCAGCCCCTGCAGCCCTACATACGTAGTACATGTGTTACATACAACTGTTATCTGTCTCATGACAGAACTCCTACTCGTCACAGTCAAGGTTCACAAGAAAGGTTCAAAGGTGCGAGCAAAAATGAATGGGGACTGGATAGCAACACTCCTAATGTGTAACATGTCTGTGAACTGTGTGTATCTACTCTGTGACCTTTCGACCTGTTTGGGATGCATACTGCTCTAATGTACAAATTAGGTACAGCTCATTACATCATTGATGTCCATTTGTGGCACTGTCCCCTATGGCAAGTGTCGGATTTCACTTGCCACGACTGTATAGTCCATTTCAAAAAGATTTACTTCCTCCGCGTCATCGAAATTGTCGCAGTTTGACTTTTGATATAAAGCGGGGTATTTACTCACCAGCACTCGTACCAGAGGCAAGGAATCGGACATAGGTGATAATCATCAGTATAGGGTGACGGCAAAGTTCTATTTTCTGTTGTTGGAAGCTGGAAATTTTGAACTAGACGCAATTTCTTCGCTGATGTCGCTGCGATGGTAATTTCGACTCCCTGAGATCAGTCAGGCGTTACAGCCTGCACATTTCTCGTGCTTATGGCCATTCACTCAAGCCTCATTACAGTTTTACCTTAGCTGGGGTGAGAATGACTTCGTGGAACAAGAGGCAGCGCTTGGAGAAACATCGAGGGGTCAGCAAACTAAATGCCTGCAACAGCGATAAAATTTGTCGCTCTGGCTGAGACACTCAGTACATGATTGTACCTGCAAGAGCCGTGTAGACTCTACAACTAGTGCTAGTGATGCACGCGCAGGTGCCTACCATGGTATACCAGTGGCTGAGTCACTCAGTACACGATTTTAACTGCAAGAGCCGTGTAGTGCTAGTGTCGTGATGCACGCGCAGGTGCCGTGCCATGGCCAGTGATGCTGAAAAACAGGGCACGCTGGACGTGATAGTACACTTACCTGCATGATCTGTGACCACACAGCTAAAATAAATGGGTATGCCATGGCTAAAAAAGGTTCATTTCAAGATCGAGGTGATTCCGCCGACGGTAATCAACCGACCTCGCAACGATCGTGTATTCTTACTAGGCTTCGTTGGTGGTGAAGTAGAAATCATCCAGAGCTAGCAGACGACAAGCATAGCAGCTCTTGTCCTGTGGAGGAAGTCAAAGCATTTGAGATGAGGCGCGACCAACTTTCAACCTCCTTGAAATATTTCGGAACGATATTTTTGCCTCCATTTACATCAGCGACGACGAGGACTTCATCTCTGCATGAAAACTCTCAGTCCAACAGTCCTGGAACGTTACTCTAGTCTTCAGACTATCATACTGTGTAATAAGTTTTGAATGGCTTAGCTTATGGAGTTGTCAGTAACAAGTGACAAGTCACTAGTCAAACTGCGACAATTTCGATGACGCGGAGGAAGTACAATCAGGTTTTGGTCTTAAAAAGTATGAAGATAAGGGAAATTTGGACAACAAAGTACATAGAGTGGCTTGTTAGGACACGGCAAATTGTTCTGTGACGGTTTCGGAACAATTGGACCAGCCGTTAAGGAGTTACAATTTCGGCCAGGTTTCCGGCCTTTTCCAATGGTTTCGATTTTGCCCAGGAAGCCAGTATCGATTTTTTATTAAAACCCACGATTTATCCTTTCCTTTTTGGCCTTGTGGTTATGAATGCTGTCTGCTGACCATGAAGTTGTGAGTTCAAATCCCAACATATCCTCAAGTCTTCATTGTTTTGGTGATCAAGAGACAAAGAAGATGGCTGCACCAAACGACTTGTTGTTGGAGCTCGCGCTTCCTGCCGAACTGACTGACACTTGACTGGCTCACGCCATGTGAACACACCCACAACACTGAAATGGTGTGAGTGAATATGGAAGTCATCGCGCTGTAGCTTTTTGAGATTTATTTTAGTATTTCAAGATCGCCAATTTATTTGAATTTAGCAGTCAACGCCGTCTTCTATCAGCGTTCACAAGCGTCTGCTTTTCTCAAAATGTCGTCGAAGTCACACAGATAGCTTTGCCAAGTCATGGCCTTAGGAATGAGTCCGTGTCGATGTCGTTTTCGTCACACGGTGAGTAAATTGCATCGCAGCTCAAAGAAACTATTTTGGCCACAAAACGAATTGGGACCCATGCCGCTCGTCAACATTTACAACACTTTCGTTTCGACATGTCCTCTCTGACTCCATTATGGATACGAGGAAGAACTCGTTTTTTGTAAACCAGGCGTACATGACTGTAAAACGTGAGTGAGTTGTCATTTTTCCTGCTTTCGCGCGGAATATTTCTTCGAGTTCACAGTGAGTTTTTCCAGGCAGCGCTCGAGTGCTCATACGGTAAGACGCCTAACTCCGCGGGCGATCGCCAGGATTACAAATCTTTTTGAAACGGACTGTAGTTCCTGGAGTGTACCTCTGCATACAGTAATACATCTACCGCATTTCACTTGAGGTCCTATGCACGATGCCATGCAGTGCATTGTCATACCAACCTCCTGTAGAGTATGTGAGTGAGTGCTAGCACAGGGGGTTTTGCACCCGCTAGCTACTGTCATTACGGTATCTAACGTACCACCTTTTGCCCTAGCCTGCAGGTATCATGCGTATTCGTCACATGCAACAACGTGATAGACCTTAGCTACTGTGGCATACAGCATCTCTGGTGGCTCGCTGAGTGCACCATACCTTCTGTCGCCCCTGGATGCAATGTGCTGTACTGTGTATGAACTGCGTATGACCTGGATATGACCTGTGTATGAACTGTGTATGACCGGGATATGACCCATGTATGAACTGTGTATGACCTGGGCATGACCTGTGTATGACCTGAACATGACCTGTGTATGACCTGGATATGACCTGTGTATGACCTGTGTATGAACTGGGTTTGAATGATGGCATTGGCCCAGAGTGTAGTACAGTCACACAGAAAACCGCATTATCCACATTGTGCGCAGTGTGTGTGTGTGTGTGTGTGTGTGTGTGTGTGTGTGTGTGTGTGTGTGTGTGTGTGTGTGTGTGTGTGTGTGGCGCTTCATGCCTATGCACAAGTGCAGCCGTGGCTCGGCCAGAGCAACCAACACAGACCGTAGCTCCTGCATCGTTTGCAATTGCGGTCGGCGTTTCAGAAGCCCACAGGACCTATCCCGTCATCGCCCCTACTGTTCCGAACCTGCTCAACCCCCATGGGGTCCGCATAGCCAGAATATGGCAGCGCGTCCAAGGTGTGTGTGTGTGTGTGTGTGTGTGTGTGTGTGTGTGTGTGTGTGTGTGTGTGACACGCACACACGTACGAGTATAGGTACTAACCTGAGGACTCAAGTTTCCCACATACAGATTGGTTGTCTGTGGATCACCATGATCATGAGAGCCACCACTGATGTGCCCTGGGGCTTCACCACGTTCACCACGCTCCACTGCAAACGACGACAACAACAACAACAACAACAACAACAACAACAGCAGCAGCAGCAGCAGCAGCAGCAGCAGCAGCAGCAGCAGCAACAATGTGAGCTCACCATTCGAGAACTGCATAGACTGGCCATTGCATGAAACTGTACGTCTAAGTTACAATGAATACTGCATCACATCCAGGCTGCAGTCCCTTGTTTCGTCGGACAGCACTGCAGTTTACCCATTCAATCTCAAAGCTGTCCTTAGGGCCCATTTCCACTACGGTACCGTGAGTGCCGTGCCGTGAGTACCCATGGTGATTTGCTCACGTGAGGGGCAGTTTTGGAGCGAGTTCATTCCGTGGCTCCTGCCGTACAGCCCCGTCGACATTCCCGTGCCGAGGGCCTCTGGGGGGTGGAAATGGCATGCCGTGGTATTCCGTGAGGTCGAATGCAGTGAGTAGTAGGTATTTTACTACTCCCTGAAAGGAAGTTTTTCTTTCTTTTGTATTTGTGGTACAGTCGCCCCTTTCTAATCGGGCACTTGTTTATCCAGCACCCTTGCAAACCAGCACACTTTCTGCCAAAACGGATTTTTCAGTTCATTTTCTACGCTTTAATCCGGCACTTGAATTCCGCCTCCAGCAGCGATTTTCTGTAACAAATCACTCAAACTGTACATAATTCGATTTTCTAATCCAGCAGTTGTACATCGTATACCGTCAGGGAGCATTGTAACATACGCAGCACATGTAACATACACCTGGGAATATCCCATGCCAGTGCATAGGATATTCCCAAGTGCATATTAAAGACATGCATTCCACAAAGTACTAACGGTAACTTGGATTGACACAGAAAATCCCTACGTTTCGACGTACGGCACTAACATGTATGTTAACAGATGGGCCGGGCTGGACGGCAGGATTTGATAATCCAGCACCCTTGTTTATCCAGCAGAAAATGCCATTGCAAAAGGTGCCGGATTAGAGAGGGACAACTGTACGAAGTTTTTCTTGGCTTTTGGCTTTTCGATTGGTTGATTTCTGAGCTTTCTCCAGTCATCTCCCCCGCTATTTTCCCTCAAGACCAAAGTCAGAAATTGATAAAAAATGGTGATCCGACCTGCCGACGGAATGCACGGAACGACTGTGCGCAGATGTAAATCACTCTCGGCTTCAAGCTCGTACCGTGGGGTACACGTGACCCACCCAAATCGTCGACACGGCACTCACGGTACCGTAGTGGAAATCGGCCCTAACAGACACATCATATCACATGACATGGCATCTACACACACACACCCAAGCCTGATTTCCCAAGCATGACATGGCATCTACACACATACACCCAAGCCTGACTTCCCAAGCATGACATGGCATCTACACACATACACCCAAGCCTGATTTCCCAAGCATGACATGGCATCTACACACACACACCCAAGCCTGATTTCCCAAGCATGACATGGCATCTACACACACCCACCCAAGCCTGATTTCCCAAACATGACATGGCATCTACACACACACACCCAAGCATGACATGGCATCTACACACACACCCAAGCATGACATGGCATCTACACACACACACCCAAGCCTGATTTCCCAAGCATGACATGGCATCTACACACACACACCCAAGCCTGATTTCCCAAGCATGACACAAGATGCCAAGTGAAGTCCAGTGCGTAAAGCAAATCAAGTTCCCAATGAGCAAATGTCTACGTGCAATAAAAAGAATAAATTCTGCAGTCATCACCACGCATCACCGAAGTCAGCAAAGCTTTCCAGTCATGCGTGGTGATGCCAGCAGAATTTATTCTATTAATTGTATTGCTATTCCAAAACTGTTGTCTCCGCATCGTTTATATAACGTGATGTACCTATGTGCCACAAAGATTTCACTGTGACGCAGCCACTGCAGGAGAGGATGGATTTCCGCTGTGCAGTGTATGACCATGCAAGTTTAACCATACAATCAGAGAACCCATACAATCAGATAACCCATACAATCAGATAACCCATACAATCATGTATACAAGCTGTATTACTGAGAAACATGCACAGTCAGCAGCAGCAGCAGCAGCATGACCACCAGCACCACCAGCAGCAGCAGCACCACCACCACCACCACCACCAGCATGACCACCAGCAGCACCAGCAGCACCAGCAGCAGCAACAGCAGCACCACCACCAGCACCACCACCAGCATGACCACCAGCACCACCAGCAGCATGACCACCAGCACCACCAGCAGCAGCAGCAGCAACAGCAGCAGCACCACCACCAGCATGACCACCAGCACCACCACCAGCATGACCACCAGCACCACCAGCGGCACCACCACCAGCATGACCACCAGCATGACCACCAGCACCCCCAGCAGCAGCAGCAGCAGCACCAGCAGCAGCACCAGCAGCAGCACCACCACCAGCAGCAGCAGCAGCAGCACCACCAGCAGCAGCACCACCACCACCAGCAGCAGCAGCAGCAGCACCACAGCATCCAAAACCAGCAGCGGTGGCATTGCAATCAACTTGCATCACCGCCACCACTACTGCTATTGCCATTGCCACCACCAATACAGCAAATACCACGCAGTGATGGCAGCAGCAGTACCGCCAGCAGCAGCAGTACCGCCAGCAGCAGCAGTACTGCCAGCAGCAGCAGTACCGCCAGCAGCAGCAGTACCAGCAGCAGCAGCAGCAGCAGCACACAGGACATTGCACATAGCTAGCATATCCATCCAACATACATGTACTGCGAAGCAACACCGACATACTGGCCATGATTTTCTGCAGTGCTGGAGGTGTTGAACCGATCCGTACAGCCTCTTGTTGCAAGGTCTTCTTCAAGCGATGGCGTTCATCCCTCTCTTCTTGCTCCCTGCACATATCCACCATCAACATACACAGTACAGCTGTACAGGTCAATACAATCCCTGCACATATCCACCATCAACATACACGACAGCTGTACAGATCAATACAATCCCCGCACATCTCTTGGGAGCAGCTTTTGCAAAAAAACCCTTGAAGGGTGGTAGATTGGCTGCAGACATGCTCCCCAGTGCAAATGGTTATGCCCGATGCACTACATGCAAGATTGACATACACCATCACCATTGGGCTTGAAAGTGAAGACGTCAGAAGTTAACAAATAATGACTTCTGGGTGACACTTCGATCCACTCTGACCATAGCGAAGTACACTGAGTGCGTTCGATTATGCCCGCGAATCGATTCATGAATCGATTCGCGCTATTCACATCACCCCATGTTAATAGGGTGAATGGATTCCGAATCGATTCCAGGGCCCATGACATGAAAATCAAACGACTTGAATGCATGCGAATGGATTCATGAATCGATTCAAGTGCATAATCGAACGCAGCCACTAGAGGGATTCTAAAAGATGTGCATCATGTGTACTAGTACATGTCAGAACATGTGTGTGTGTGTGGGGGGGGGGGGGGGGTCGCGACGTCGGTGGCTGGACCTGGGGCTGTCTATCACCCCATGAACAGTGGTCAAATGACATCATACATGATTTACATTGTACATGCCTGGAGGCTTTGTTGGAGCACACAGTCCTGGTTGATTCACGCTCGACATTCGGAGTCTAATGCGCAGGAGCGATTTTTGAGATGCATTTTTAAAGTGCGGGTAACGGTCGTGAAGTACGGTATACATGTACAAGAATAATATTATAATTATGGTATACAAAAATATTTTCATCAACCTGGTAACATTGCAGAAGGATTTTTTTGCAAAATAGCCAGTTGCACAGCTTCAAGTCAAGCAGGAGAAAGGGCAGGTCAAATACATTACTAGTATAGAAGACGACTGACTAGGGGTGCGTTTGGTTGGTACGATCTAGAACAGGATCGAGCAGCTGGTGCACATGGAGCAGCCTCATGCCAACCAAACGGTACTCCAGAAACAGAGCATATTTTTGTGAAAAGTATGCCAAACTTGGTGCATTCTTCAAAATGTGTATGGGTCACCATGGTCACTGTGTACGGTACGACGAGTCCAACCCAAAAGCGTATGCACGTGATCATTGGGGACCAAAATCGATGTTCCCGCCAGGTTTCACTGTGAAAAAGTGAAACTGCTCGGTCTGCTCCGGCCTCGAGGCCGGAGCAAGCAGAACATGTTCTGGCCGACCCAGAACAGGTGCAGTCCCAACCAAACGCGCTGTTCTGGTGAATCCTGTTCTAGTTCGTACCAACCAAACGCGCCCTAGAACAGAGACAGAGCGCTCTGTGAATATATTGAATGTGTGGTGTGGTTCGACTACTGTTTGTGTATTGCAATCCATCATTGCACAGCTGACTTTACTGTTCTGAACTGCATGCAGTTTCACACCTTTTCAGCTCTTCCTTGAACATCTCCAGGTTGCTCTTGCTCTTGCTCTTTTCTTTCTCCTTCGGTCGTTTCTAAAGATTGACAAGAAAAGAGAGAAATGAAGAGGTAGAAAGGTAGAAATAGAGGCAGAGAGAGAGAGAGAGAGAGAGAGAGAGAGAGAGAGAGAGAGAGAGAGAGAGAGAGAGAGAGAGAGAGAGAGAGAGAGAGAGAGACCCCCAGTCAGAGAGCAGCAGAGAGGCACAGGCCAAGCACACAAACACATACTATTTTCTGCTGATAACCACTTAGGAGACGGAGAAAGAGAGGAATGTGTGTGGCAGGCATAATTGTCAGGAATGGAACCCACTGCCTCTAGTTTGGAATCGACTGCACATACCACTGTGCTATGTGAGGCACACACACACACACACACACACACGCACACACACAGACGTGCACACACACACATATACACGCACACACACAAACGTACACACATCTGCATATCCGAGTCTGAGCGTGTTTTGCTCCTATCATGAAGGTCATGCACGTGCTTTTCTGCCAACTTCTACCCATGGTGTCCTCTCAGTCCATCAGCTGCTCGACAGTCACAATTGTCATCCCCTATGACCACTGTTCTGAGAAGGCGCTCCACACAAATCAAGTAGACCAAGTTGGTGAATTCACGATGTGCACAAGTATGCAGAGGATCGGATCATGGAGTGAACACGGGATGTCTGAAACTATGCATACATGATACATGGAGTACTGCATTTCAACAAAGACGTCGTCGGATTGAAATTCTGTTAGGACAGTGCTACAATAAATGTGAGCACCACATTTGGGTGCACCACATTCAGTTGCAACACACTTGGGGGCACACATCATGCTCATATCTATCAACAAACTAGTGAAAGCAGAAATACTACAAACATACTGGTTTGGCACCAGGAGAATCTCCTGGATATGGTCCCAGGATTCCAGATCCTGCAGCTATGGTAGACATGGTGTGCGCTATGGTCTTCTCCTTGATGGATTCAGCCAGGCGGGAAGTTGGTTTGTACAGTGATCCTTTGTGGCCACTTGCACTTGCACTACTCTCACTCTCTTCTACACGCGACAAACACATCAGTACATGTACAAAGAAGGGAACTCGGTGAATGGCAAACAAGACCTCATAACAAAGACATCGTCATGAGCATGATCATCAACAAAAATAATAACAACGACAGCGACAGCAACAACAACAACAACAACAACAACAACAACAACAACAACAACAACAACAACAACAACAACAACAACAACAACAACAACAACAACAACAACAACAGCAACAACAGCAACAACAGCAACAACAGCAACAACAGCAACAACTCTTATTGACCACAGGCCATCATGAGAATAAATATTTGAAACGAGAGCAGCAGCAGCCGAAGTATCCGCAACAACGACTAAGTGACAAAAGAATGTTGAATCACAGCGACAACAACAGCAAAACACTGGAAAATCGAATATTTATTAATTTTGTACCACTCTACAAATCAACATGACATGTGATGTAGAGTGAAAGATGTGCCGATGGCTCAAGAGACCTTCCAAATATGGTCCCGTGTACACCTATGGTGTAGGTGGTCTTCTTATGTGGGCCAGGGTGTATCTGACAGTAGGGACAGGAAATCACATCCCTTGGTTCTGGCTGTAGTGGTCCTCTGGGACAAATAGCTGCTTTATCAGAGTGGTCTCCTAGGCAGGTTTTACTGTCCAAAACGGTGCAATTATTGAATCAAGCAACAGTTACCTGTCTCAGCATTGATGACGCTTCCACGTACAAACGCTTTGCCTTGTCCAGTTGGCGTTTCCTCAAAGGAAGCCACAAACTCGGCAAATACTTCAGCAGTAGCTTGCTCATCATTCTGCACATACATGTGCACATACACGCACGCACACACACACATGCACACACACACACACACATATGTGTGCACATGCACACACGCACATGCACACACACACACAAACACCATGTACACACATGCACACACATGTACACACACACGTGACACACACCACACACACACACAAACACACACACACACACACACACACACACACACACACACATGACAGTGAACACCACCATCACACTTCGAACAATACACGTGCGTACTGATTCTAGAAACACGAACATGTTCTCATCCATTCACCGATTCTGCTGATCTTCAGACAAGATACATCTGCAGATAATAGTGAGTTTCTGCTACACGGAACTACGCAACAAACTCCGTGTTAACCGCAGTGAAGTTCGACACGGATTTTAAGAACGTTGCGCCGGTTCTGCTGTGCGTAGCATGCTCGAACTTCCCGCCACATGTACTCTGTGCGCTCAGTTTTCACACGGAGACCAGTCCGTGCGAAGCGTGCTTCACACGGAAAACGGTACGAAAAAATCCGTGTGGAACTTGATCCCGTACCGCAACGAGGTTTCCATACGTACTTTGGTACGTTTTACCGTGTGACAGAAACTCTCTAATGTTGATAAAGTGGCAATGCCTGTCCAGGGTTCTAGCCAAAGGGGGTGGGTGCACACCTCTTATCCCGTAAAACACAATACCCATACGACAGTATAAACAAGGCCGGTCGAGGCGGCTCGAAGCTTTGCCTCCGTTGTAACGTACATGTGTATACCACAGTATCAAGAGTACATAACCATTGGTTATGTACTCTTGATACTGTGGTATACTACACGTACACATACATGTACCACATTTTGCAAGTAGACATTATATCAAGCTCAAAATGGAGCACTTAAATGGCCAGCACTAAGTTGCTAGGAGACGTGTTGCACTGAAAGTTATTAGCACACGTGTGGTTATACAATATATCTGGAATGCGTCTCCTAACTATCACTTCACGCTGCCACTCCTACAATATAATCAGTGAATTATACTTTATAAATTATTGATACATTATAATTATTCATACCTTCTTACGATCTTCCTTTTCACGCTCCGATTTCGATTTGAAGAGAGCACTGCGTTTGGAGACCGGAGCAGGACTCGTGGATGATTTCGTACCTAAAGAAAAGCTCATTTTGTTTCCAGAGCTCTGAATACATGCACAAAGTAAATGATTGAAATTTCGCATAGTGATGAGAAAACTATTCAGAAAATGATTTCACTCGAGGTATCCATGTACCTTCTCTCCGCTGTCTTTGTCTTTCGACTGGCCCCATGGCAAGGCTTTTTTAGTGGCCTTCTTATTGAGTCCTGCAAGAGTCGACATATCTCCTATTCTGCAAAGTAACCAACTACATTGTAACTATGTACACACCAGGATCCATCCGTCAAAAACTTAGTTCTGAAAACTGAAGCCTCTCACATCGAAAAAAAAATCGCTCCGGTGGTCTTGTTGATATGATCCTGGTCTTCGCTCGATCGCGATCCTGCTTGCATCATAATTCATACATAGAATCATAGCTCACTGGGCTGCGCGTGCGGGCGGGTACTACAGGTAGCGCGCGCTAGCTAGTGGTAGTAGCCCCGGCCCCGCTGCCGCGGGCCGCGGCCGCGGATGACGAGTCTGACGACTGACCATGACTCATGACTCCCATCATGTTCAGTCACGTGGCCGATCTTCAGTGCTTTGGCTGGGCCGGGCTGGCTCGTTCTAGGACTAGGTGCAGGGAAATCCCCAGAAGGCCGAAGCCTTCAAAACCACTGTACTCGTACTGGACGAAATGTGCAATGCTCTGCAGAACTGCCAGAAGTAAAAGTGTGATGTTGAGGATTTCGATAGTTTTCCATACCGCCATCAACTACATGACATTGTCCATAATTGCTAATGTAATAACCTAGGCTGATTTTCTTCACTCTAGCCACTCCACCATGGAAAGAGAAGAATTCATTGTCCCACGGGCCAACGTGCCTTCTTTGAAAAGTAGTAATGGCTGTGTGTTGGTGATGAGAGCTGAGAAACTTTTCTCGTGTAGCGTTGAAGTTTCGGATAATGGAGATGCACTCGGGGAGTGGGTCACGGTGCTTGGGGAGAAGGAGAATGCTCGCCGTGCAATGGTAACAGGAATTAAAAGGAACCCACCTGGAATATGGAAGATTTGATTTGACTTGTTGCACTTGAGTGCCCCAAATATCTTGCACTTGATTCCTATGATCATGTATTTACTGTACATGAATTTTATTTTAGTTCACATGAAGAATTGGACAAACATAACCAATAGCTATCATGTGCTGTAGTTCACTGGTTGTTACAAGAGTGTTGGTATTCAACCAAGAGTACATGAAACCCATGTACTCTTGATTCAACTACTTATCTGTTAGTGTCATGTGAAGGTAGCAGTACCAAATGTAGTTTCAAATCTTTATTCTCACGATGGCCTGTGCCTGTGGCCACTAAGAGATCTTTATTGTCATCGTTGTCCTGTACTGCTGTGATTACCCATGTTTGTTCCTTATAGGACTACATCTTGGCGGGATGCGAGGAACAAGAGGGAATGAATATTCCCTTTACCGCTGATCTCCTTGATGAGCCGAGTGGGACATTTTTCGAGAGACTCGAGTACTCATCGTGCGCTGTTGTCAGTGTCCGCCGTAATGGATATATAAATATCCGCGGTTCGCCTGTTGCGATGGCAACTGCATTGTCTATCATCCAATGTCATCAAGCGGAAAGCAGTGCCAGTACGCCTGTACCTATGTCCAGCAGTCGTAGCAGTACCAGTACGCCTGTACCTGTGTCCAGCAGTCGTAGCAGTACCAGTACGCCTGTACCTATGTCCAGCAGTCATAGCAGTACCAGTGCGCCTGTACCTGTGTCCAGCAGTCGTAGCAGTGCCAGTACGCCTGTACCTATGTCCAGCAGTCGTAGCAGTGCAGTGGATACTAGTCCTACAGGTAAGCATACGCCTAGTCAGCAAGCAGGTGACTCCAAGACTTGTTCACTGGCAACTTCATCATATCAGCCAGTACATAATGATGGTCTCCAAGTACACAGCAGAGTATCCCAGCAAGCTAGCTCACAAAGTAAACCGCAATTAGCGTGCAGCTTCTCCAAGCCATCCAAACCAGTATCAGCTCGAACTGAAACGGTCAAGCAAAAACCAACAGTATCACCGTCACCTTCAATGCCACACTCCTCTGCACATGCAGTGATATCTACACTGTCCTCTACAACTAACCTTTCTCCTATACATGTGCATCCTGCTGCTACTACTACCACTACTTCGGGCACTACTACTGCTACTGGGTCCGGTGCTGTCAGCTCTTTGATGTTACCGTCTGATGTTAGTGTATGGCAAGCCGTCTCAATAGCCAATGCTAGCAGTTCTGTAGCAACAGTTTCTACCAGCAGCATGAACAGGACTAGCATGACTAACGACGACAACAGCAGTCACGCCAGAAAGCACAAGTGTGGTGCTGCCGATGCTGCTACTGCTGCTTCTACTCCTACGGTTGTCGGTAATGCTGAGCGGCAGAGTATTGCTTCGGCGAGTAGTACACCTGTAGGAATGTCACGTACCGATGCTGCCACTTCTACCGCTGTCACCACTGCTGGTCGTGGTGCTGCTACTTCTACCGCTATCACCACTGCTAGTGCTGCTGCTAGTACTGCAGGTCGTAGTGCTAGTGCTGCTGGTGCAGGGAGTGCAGGGAGTGCAAAGCGCAGCCTGTGGGACATGTCTGTGTGCAGTACCGGTAGCAGTAGCAGTAGAGCAGCAACAAACAGTCGGAATACGGCCAGCCAAGTTGTGAATGATGATATGTCTTTAGCCCTTTCCTGTTTACCAAAGCCAAGTGCGTTAAGTTCCTATGGTCCTTCTACAACTCCTGGAACTCAATTCCAAGCTGTGGGAGCTCATGGTACATCCAAATACGACCTCACAACCGCGAGCACATCAGCAATGCCGCATGATAACAGTGCAACATACGACACAACATACTCTGCAGGTGCCAGCAGCAGCAATACCAGCAGCAGGTCTACTAATCAGGAGAAATCTCTCTGGGTTAGTGCTATTTCTGACGGTGCTCGGGGAGGTGGCAGTCAATCTTCCACACCATCTTTTGACTCTTCAACACCTTTGCCTTATTATGCCAATGCATCGACAAAGACATCATCACATTCCAGCAGTGCTAGTGGTGTGACTGGTGTGAGCGGTGGGAGTGGCCGACATGCCGCTGCTGCATCACACAGTAACACCAATGCTGGCGGCCGATCGCCAAGACCAGCTGCTAGCACTGGGAGCGCTGGTAAGCACGGAGTAGCGCACAAAAAGCCGCACAAGCAAAGCCACTTGGCATCTGCCAATGCTTCAAGCTATCCAGCCGGTACGACTGCTCCTGCACATCATCATCATCATCATCATGCAAGTGGCGGCGGCTATCAAGCACATCCTCTGTCATATATGCCTAGCACAGGCGCTTCTGGCACTGGACTTCGACCCGTCATCATTGATGGCAGCAATATTGCAATGAGGTAAGATTCGACCGTATACATGCATGTATGTGCATGTGTGTGTATGTATGTGCGTGTGTGTGTGGGTTTGTGTGTTTATCTTTGGCTGCATAAGCCAGTATGTTCATGCTTGCACTAAACCGTGTGAATTACCAAAAGACCGGATTACTAAGGCGTGTAAAATTAGAGAATGGGTTTGATTTGTTGCCGCTGTTCATTCCCTGATGAATGTGCTGTTATGTCAACTTCTTTGATCTTGTTGACCCCTAACTTGTATTCTTACCTTTTTAGTGTATTTACTCTCAATCTTTCTCATCTTGGGGAGGAGAGGGGTTGTACAGCCCTTTTAAAGTCTGTTATTTTCCTTCACATCGTATCACCCGGTGTCGTTTTGTGCACGTGCCCGTGTCTCTTTAGCCATGGCAAGCACGAGATCTTCAGCTGCCGGGGAATCCTATTGGCGGTGAAGTTTTTCCAAGAACGAGGTCATCTCAACATCAGAGCAATGATCCCAACGAGTGTCTTTAGGACTAATCATGCCAAGCCAGTTCGTAACAAAGAGATCTTGGAACACCTGAGGAAGTGCGACCACCTGACGGAAACACCTAGTCGACTGGTCAATGGACGTCTTATTGTCCCGTATGATGACCGGTTCATCCTGCAAGTTGCACAAGGTAATGGAGGTGTTGTCGTATCTAACGACCAATACCGGGATCTTATTGGAGAAGAACAATTCCGTGTCATCATTGAAACTCGCCTTGTTTCCTTTATATTTGTTGATGACCTATTCCTACCAGCAAAGGATCCACTGGGTAGATCTGGACCTACCCTAGATGCTATGCTACAGTTTTGATATATGAACTGCCACTGCCGTCTTCCATATGCCGTAACCATGGTGATATGACTTTGCTTGCACACTGTGCTGTGCAAGAGGGTGTAGTCTTAGGTAGCAACTGACTAATAGCTGATAACCTTCCTTACACACCATCCACACACACACACACACACCATCTACACACACACACACACACACACCATCTACACACACACACACACCATCTACACACACACACACACACACGCACACACACACATACACACACACGCACACGCACACACACACAGATAATGTGCTAGGTATCGGTGGTGGGGTTGACGGTAGCGTACCCATCATTCCACTCCCTCCCCATTTGCGTTTGCTTCACTTGCCATCGCGGACGCACTTTCTCTAGTTCTGGCATGAATACCTGCTCAACAAATACCTAACAAGTAGTATGATCTATTTGTACGGACAGTATTCGATTGTTAACAAGTGCTAAACATCTTCCCTGCTCCCATGGGTACCACATCATCACATGGTCACTTAGCATATAACATGATATTAGTCGTACCTGATCAAATCCACGTAGACGAATAGTGGTGTTGTTATACCGGACTACTAGTGTCACTACAACGTAGTATTAGTAGATGTATTGTGCATTGTACCGTATGCATTGGCCGTGACTGCACGTGTACGTGATGTAGTCATTGAATTTGTGTTCATTGTGTTGGGAGCTGGTACTCCTCCACGTAACAGTATGCATACTAACCATACTTTCTTCTCTTTCTCACTCTCTCTCTCTCTCTCTATTTTATCTACTTCACTAGTCCCTTCAGTCCCTTCAGTTTGTACATCATCTTTTAGAGAGTATGTATGTGTTATGTGGGAAGCCTTTTTTCCCGTTTTATTTCCTAGTTCTTACTTTTCATCGAGCCTTGCCATGCCTTTGTCTTGTACTGCCCCATCCATTGTTTTTACCCATGCTAGGTTGGCTGCCCACCTATGTTCATTGTGCTGGTCAAGCATATCTTTCGCTTTCGAGTGTGCCACGCGCAATTGCAGCTCGCCACATCATGTTTTTAGGAAGTTACGTAGACGAGCAGCTTGCTGTGCTCTGTTTTTATGGCTAGGTTTTATCAAACAGTCATATAATTTGTACACTAGAGCAAAGTCCTCCGTTCTGTTTCTAAGGGCGTATCTTCAAAAATACCACACTGCCTTGTGTAAACGCCTGTCTCATGTAGAAGTAATACAGACCCGATTTCAAGATCGACTGTCGGCTGTAAGCTTGCCTCATACGTCAGTCTTGTTACAGTCGTACCACTGGTGTGGTTTCTTGTTCTTATAGCTACATGACTGTAGGCCACCGTGAAGAGAACGAGATTGGGCATGGTCAGGAGTTTGATGGATTTCCCGTACAGTTGCCCCTGACAGCGGGCTTTGATGGGTTTCCCCCTACCGGTTGCCCCTGACTGTGGACTTTGATGGCAAATCAACGCCCACTCTTCGAAGCAGCTGATTGGCCATAACCTAGCAAAGGGGATGTGTGTCGTTTGAATCAGGGATCAAGTCAAACACAAACCAAGGCGGGCCATGATTCTCTATAGTGGAGATATGTGCAGGTTGTATGCACAGCACTGAACAGCACAGAGATGGCTTCTTGAACTGTTTCTGTACTTATCTGAGATCTTTGAGATGGCAACTTGCTCTATTGATGCAATGAGAAGATAGCTGAGGCATGTGGCAGCGACGAGAAGGGACACGGTTGGATGCCATACACCTGGACACAATCAACACCATGTTCCGTCAGTAGGCGGACCATCACCATAACGCTCATGAACACACAACCACGCATGGCTATTACTGCAGTGCGCCCTATCCATAGCCAGTTCAACTGCATGTCCAAGACTGTTGAGATAACTTGCAAAGAAAATAAACTATATCGCTTTTAACAGCATAACGTAAAGAAAGGTGCACTTTTCAGGACTTGCCAATAATTGCATAAAAGAAGACAAACATTGAATACCTTTCACTGATGACGCACATAGCGGTGTGCTGGTAGCTACTGACAACGCCCTGCTCCTAGTACTGTACAAGGAAGGAAACAAGCTCAAGTTCGGAAACCAGAAAGTAGTTCATGATTTATGATTTTTATTGGAAAAGGCAGAAAGACCAAAGGCAACAGGAAGCAATTGAGATTGCAGAACACTGAACAGTTGAAATTCCCACAGGACCAAGAACACTGAAGAGTTGAGACTCCCAACACAGGACCAAAAACAGTGAAGAGTTGAGACACCCTACTCAGGACTAAGAAACTTTAGAAGGCTAAAGAAAAAAGAAATACTAGCATGATATCTCAAAATGCTGTTGGATCTCAGCGATCACGGTATTTAGAAAATTAGCCAAAGATGGACTTCATCACATGCCACAAAATAATGTGCACGAAGAAAAGAAAATATCCAGCTGTCCAACATACAGCAGAACACTTGAAAGTAGGCAAATATCAAGCTAAGACGCTTCAAATATCGGTACACGTCAGAAGTAGTAGCCGTCTTGCAAGGTGGCAAGAAATCCATCACTGGAAAAAAATACTAATGTTTTATAACTGGTGCTGAAAGTTAGAAGAAAGGCTCCTTATTTTGGAAAACTCTGCCACTTCTGGCAGTATCAGCTGATTTGCATGTTTGTGTATATAGACATTGCAGTAGCAAGCAACAGCAGCAATTCCACGGGACAGAACAAAAGGACATGGACATGAGTGGACGTGGAGACAATTGAACACGGAAACAAGTGGACGTGGAGACAAGTGGACGTGGAAAGCATGCAGACAATATCTTGTCTGCAGCTCTGTGTTTGCAGTGACACGACTGCTGGCGGAAGACTGGGGATAAGAAGTGAATTCATGTGCAGGGTAGCGTGCAAATGTGTGCATAGCATATTGCTAATCAGAAACCATGATAGCTGGAATCTGCAGCGGCGTAGTAGCAGAGCGAAGTATGAAAAATAAAGAAATATAAACACTGTACATGTAAAAAGAAGTAAAATCTCAAGAAAAAAAAAGGATATGTTATGTGGTAATTGAAGAGAACGTGAGAAGGCAGGGTGATATTACCATGCAAGTCAAGTTCAATTGCTTACCGTGATCTGCAGTAAATAGCTGTGGAACACCTTGGCTACTGCAGTGGATCATAGTCAAGACAACGCCTTCACAACTTCACAGCCACTGCTGAAAGTAGCCAGGCAGTGGTGTAACAAGGCATATCTTTGACAGTGGCGAAACATAGCCACACAATTGCCCTGGCCAGGTTCAAAAAGACAGGAGCTTAGGTCAAATTGGACGAATGGAATTTCCGAATTCTCTCTAGTGTACGCCTCTTGACTATTGGCGATAGGGGCTGAATCTGCAGCGGCTGCCTCTTCGCTTCATCCAACGCTGATGGTGTCACTGAGCGAATCATATCAACCAATGATGACTTCCTTCGACTTGATGGTGGAGCAGTTTTGGCGCCTGAAAAGCAGAAAAGATAGGGCAGGGCAGCCTTAGGACTGCTGAAGCAAAACAAAACTGGTGCAAGGTACAAAGAATATACAGATGTTGGACTCCATAGGTAGTTCATGCCCTATAAACAGTTGGAAGTCCAGTCGAGAGTCAAATTCAAGCGATAGCGACTATCCCAGTATGCAGTCTGAGTTTTTGTCAGTTTACTTCAGTAGATATTACTTCCTCCGTATACAAAAACTTCGTGACATTTTTTTGAAGGCTGCGCATAGCTCTGGAATTGTTCCGTTTGACTTGGAATAACACACGTGGCACTGTCTAACCTGTTTACAAGCTATATACAAAGAAAAAAGCAACTCAGACGAATGAAGTTGAAGACACCACTGCAGCTGTACTTATGGCATAAGTACAGCTGCAGTGGTGTCTTCAACTTCATTCGCCCGAGTCAAGCTCCGTATGAAAACATCCAAGAAGAAGATTGCCTGATGAGTCCAGCGGGGACGAAACGTACGTCGCAATCGAGCTATGTCGTTGCTGTGTCATCTTCTATGTGCCATGCACTACTTGATGTACCAGCCTGCTATGCCGGATACCGCCAACCATGCATCGACCAGGCGCCAGGCGCAAACTGATGGTGGTGGTGGTGAGAAGGAGAGCTCTGTGCCAGAACTTTGCAGCCTAGAGAGCGTGTGTGGGCAGGCGTGTGTTTACCGCCATATTGCCAGGTGTGTCTTTACCACCATATTTATCAGCCATCAGACGAATGAGATTGAGTTTATTCAGAGTCTTCGTCGCTCCTGTCATTGTCACCCGACGCTGACTCCGCATCGCCAACAGTCGCTGCTTGCGCTCGCATTTCGTTCAGATTCTTTTCAGCTGCAATGATGATCTGACGCGGGACTTTGGCTAGCGTACTCTTCATTTCCAGAGCTGTGTACGAATCGGTGTCGAGTATATTCAGTCGTTCCAACCCGCGACCTCCATTATGCCGTGAAACGAGTCGCTCAAGCACATCCACACGCTTCGCATTTTCTCGGCAGGAGAATCCTCCCAGCATTCTACAACGGCTTCGACGAGGTCCCTGCGATTCCCCTAGGCCATAACGGAGACGCCTGACTGGAGTGGAGAGAGGCGAAGAAAGCCAGGTCGTCGACATTCCGATCCGGAGTCTGCGCTGGTTGCACGACGACTGAAATGTTTCATCTTTCCGTGCGAGCGGAACCGATTTATGTTCTCACGCTGCGTATGGGGCCGCGCACCGCAAGTACGAGCCTGGCCAGTTTCAGGGCAGCGAGTGCCGCGTGAGTCGTGACTCCGTGTTCCAGGCGCAAGTACGAGCCTGGCCAGTTTTATGGCAGCGAGTGCTGCGTGACTCCGTGTTCCAGCCGCGAGCTCCACTTCGTCACGGTGTCAGTTTCGAGCAAGTAAGTGTTAGTTTTTTTCATTTGACTCGTGAGTTCCTGTCGGCAACGTCCTCACACGCATGGCTTCCGCGGAGAATCTGTTCGAGATCAACCAAACCGACCTCAACATGAATGTGGGTTGTCGATGACAGCCTTTGGCGCGGTTCGTTCAGCAGGTTCTTGCTCAAAAACACCATTGAAAAAAAGTCACGAAGTTTTTGTATACGGAGGAAGTAGCAAAGATCACGGTAACGCGCATGCTTCATCCACCAATCATGGAATGCTTCATCCACCAATCATGGAATGCTTCATCCACCAATCATGGAATGCTTCATCCACCAATCATGGAATGCTTCATCCACCTATCACGGAATGCGCAGGATAGTTAGGACTGTCAATCAGCGCCAAAGCGATGCACTCACAGAAGAGCAGCTACAGCAGAATTTCCTCAACTTTTGCTGCTTTATCTCTGTTCCATCAGGGACTTAAAGCTGTTGAATCCCAGCCCGGCGAAGGCATTTGTCTTCGTGTGAAGCACAGAACTGCTGCGAAAACAACAGATTGTAACACCGAAGGCTTTCCTTTTAGTAAAAGCCTTCGATGCTACGGTCCATTGAAATACTTTTACAAACATACGACGTAGGCAGGGATAAGAGTTTGGAAACTTACGTGCTGATTGCCACTCCCCACTCTCAGCCAAACCTATAAACACATACAGGGACACACACACACACAAAAGCACACACGTACACACACACACGCACACACACACACACACACACACACACACACACACACGCGCGCGCACACACACACACACACACACACACAAAGGCACACACGTACACACATACACACACACACACACACACACACGGACACATCCAAAGAACGAAAATACCAGTCATTAGCTTTATTACAAAACACAGGTTCAATAGTGAGCGAGATTATACTATACGTAGCATTATTCACCGGTTCACACTGGTAGGCTGATCTGGGTTAATGTGGCATACTCACAGCACACACACACATGCACACAGACACACACACACACACACACACACACACACACACACACACACACACACACACACACACACACACACACACACACACACACACACACACACACACACACACACACACACACACACACACACACACACACACACACACACACACACACACACACACACACACACACACACACACACACACACACACACACACACACACACACACACACACACACACACACACACACACACACACACACACACACACACACACACACACACACACACACACACACACACACACACACACACACACACACACACACACACACACACACACACACACACACACACACACACACACACACACACACACACACACACACACACACACACACACACACACACACACACACACACACACACACACACACACACACACACACACACACACACACACACACCTACACACACACACACACACACACACACACACACACACACACACACTCACACACACCTACACACACACACACACACACACACACTCACACTCACACACACCTACACACACACACACCTACACCTACACACACACCTACACACACACCTACACACACACCTACACACACACCTACACACACACCTACACACACACCTACACACACACCTGCACACACACCTGCACACATACCTACACACACACCTACACACACACCTACACACACACCTACACACACACCTACACACACACACGTACACACACACACCTACACACACACCTACACACACACACCTACACACACACACCTACACACACACACCTACACACACACACCTACACACACACACCTACACACACACACCTACACACCTACACACACACACACACACACACACACACACACAACACACACACACACACACACACACACACACACACACACCTACACCTACACACACCTACACCTACACACACACCTACACCTACACACGCACGCACGCCGAACGCACGCACCACACGCACGCGCGCGCACGCACGCACGCACACACACACACACACACACACACCTACACAAGTAGACAGCAGAAGGCTGTGCATACTTTCTTATCCTTTTAATATTGAGAAGTTTTTTCTCATGATGCCTACTTACCATTAGGGTTGGCACGTGAAACGAGCTCCTGCTCGGTCTGGAATGCTTCAAACCAGCGGTCACGTGTCTGCTCCGTGTAAGCACGTAGGGCGTACCATTTGTTCTTTGAGGAGTTGAACAAAGACAAAGCATAGTGCTGCCCACCCATCTTCTCTCCACCATCCTTCACTGGACAGTCCACCTTGTCCACTAGACAATCCTTAGTCGAAAGTCGTCCTCGGTAGTACAGTCTGTCTCTTCCTTCATTCTTACACCACACTAACTGGTGATCGAAAAGGAAGAACATACGTGGTTGAGCTCTGCCTTTGGACAACTTCACGAGCTGTCCACTGTGTATTAGCACTGTGCTCAGTGCTGTGATGTTATCCCCCTAGTAACAACACGCACACACCAACACGCACACACCAACACGCACACACCAACACGCACACACCAACCCGCACACACCCACACACCAACACACCCACACACCAACACCCACACACCAACACCCACACAACAACACACCCACACAACAACACCCACACCAACACAGCGGCATCACAAGCATGAACAACAGCATCAATAGGGGTGAAACGAATATACCGAATATTCGTTCGTTAGGCCTCAGCGAACAAACATTCGAAGTTCTCGCGAACATTCGAACTTTGAGTGGTGCAGTACCGGTACGGTGGTACACGACCTGCGCGCGCGGTTCACGGAGATTGTCGACAGTACATGGTCTGAACCAGCCCTTGAGACGATCGAGGCGACTACTACTGGTACATGTAGGCGAACTTCGGAACACTCCAAACAGCGCAGTACATACATTTTGTTCCTAGGTCTTCCGCTGACCATTTTGTAGTTTTTCTGTTGTTTCGTGTTCGGACTGCTATACTGTCAATGCTATACCATCACTGCTATACCATCACTGCTATACTGTCACTGCTATACTGTTACCATGTCGAAACCTGTTTTCGGTCGTGCTTCCCGGTCTGTTGTTTGGGACCATTTCACGAAATCCACAGATGGAAAGTCGGCTACATGCAGGATATGCCGCAGCGTATATGTCTATCACGGCAAAACTACGAGCAACCTGCATGTCCACCTGAAATCACAACATCCCTCTGTCGTGTCGGGAAGTGCAGCTGCAAATAGTTCTACGCCGTCAACAGGAAGTAAGTTAATGACGGACTTTGCTGTGAGTCAACGTTCTGGTCCGCAGCAGAAACAGTGCGGCGCTGCTCAAGCGGAGGCCATTAGCCAACTGCTCGTCAACTGGGTGACGGGCAGCATGCACCCGCTTAACATCGTAAGAGATCCTGGCCTTCAGAGTCTGTTGGCATTCTTGCAGCCTGGCTACAGGGTACCGAGTCGAACCCACCTCACAGCCATGATTCGCTCCCGTTTTGAGTCAGGACGAAAAGAGCTTCGTGAGCTGTTGGCGGATGTGGAGTACGTGGCAATCACAACGGACGGATGGACATCAAAAGGCGTTCGTCCCTCGCCACATACACCGTCCATTTCCTAGACTCAAGCTGGAAAATGAAAAGCTACGTCCTCGCCACGAGGCCTCTTGATGAGCGCCACACGGCGGAGAATGTGTCCAGCCATGCTCGTGCTGTGATCCACGAATTCGGGCTTGACTCGAAAGTCACTGCACTAGTGCATGATGAGGCGTCTAATATGGTTGCAGCATCACGGTCGCTGAGGCAGGATGGCACCTGCGCTAAGTCGCTGGTGTGCTCTGCGCACATGTTACTAATGTGCTTGCGACACGCAATCGACGATTCGCCGCAAGTGCAGAAGATGCTGGGTCAAGCCAGGAAGCTTGTCACCTACTTTCATCACAGTTCTGTGGCAACCAACCATCTATTGAAGCGCCAGGAGTCCTACATAGCTGGTGGCAACGCACCATCTGGAAGTCAACCTCTCAAAAGCTGGTGGCAACGCACCATCTGGAAGTCAACCTCTCAAAGTAAGAGCGTTTACTTGATTGATTCTGTTATTTATTGTGTTTTATTATGTAACTTATGTTCAGTTAGATCAGGATTAATGTCAGTGTAGGGTTTTTGTTGTTGTCTTACCTTCATATAATTCATGTCAGCAATAAATTACTTCTTGAGTTTCTGATCACTTACCCAGTGTTCTCCTTACTTCATCTGTCACTCCAGGTAATCCAGGATGTGCCCACCAGGTGGAACAGCTCGTTTTATATTGTTGCAACGTCTTGTCGCGTTGAAGGTGCACATCACGGCTGTGCTTGTGGGCTCCGTACTCACTCCAAGCGAGTCTCACCGTGCACTTCTACTGAAGCAGAAGTACTGGTCACTTGCCGAGGAATTGGTCGAGGTGCTTGGGCCAGCTGAGAAGGCCACATCACTCCTCAGCGGACAGCAGTATGTCACAGCATCCTGCATTTCGCCAATTGTGACTGCTATCGTCCGGTCCACTGAGGCGCATCGTGAGCGTATCCAGGCTGATGAGACCGAGGAGCACCGCACTCGCACAGCTGCTCAAGAGCACCGCACCAGGATGGCTGCCGACAGGACTAAGCATGCAGCGATGAAGTCCTTCTGCAAGGATCTTGTGCAGAACATCCGGCTGAAGTTCCAATTGGACCCAGTGGATGAATGCTCACTACCAACTGTTGCAGCATCATTGGATCCGCACTCCAAATCCCTGACCTTCCTGCTATCAACGGATGACCTTCCTGCTATCAACGGATGCTCGGGATGGTTTGAAGCTTGAGTTACTCTGCCGGTGCAGTCAGCACATTCTGCACACGGAGCTGGAGGTTAGCGAAGTGGAAGTCATTGAGCCAGCAGCCAAGCGGATACCCCCGAATGATCTCGATTTGTTCTTCCGTGGTGCTGATGATGCGGAAGTGTCAGCGTCCGTAGCCATTCAGCAAGAGGTGGAGCGATTCCTTGCTGAGGCTGCTCTTCCATCCTCTGCAGATCCGTAGGTGTGGTGGGCGCAGAATGCGTCGCGCTTTGTGTACTTGGCGAAGGTGACACGGCAGATATTGTGGGTGCCTGCTACATCCGTACCCAGCGAACGGGTCTTCTCTGCCACCGGGCACATTGTGTCCAAGCTCCGTTCTGCTCTCACTGCGGAGAATGTGGATGTCCTGATCTTCCTGCAGCAGAACCGGAGCCTTCAAGTCAATCAGGTGGACGTCCCAGCCAATCTCCTGCCACTCTCCACTGAGCCTGAGCCAGTCGCCCTGGATGTGGTCTTGGAAGAGGAGCTGGAGGATGCCCCACCTCTTCCAAACGTGTGAGGTAAAGTAGAGCCTTGCCTTGTTTGTTGGTATTACATGTACTCTGTAACAGGTAGACCAGATGTATTCTTTTCTCATATTGTTCTCTGGTTGCCTGTGTTCCTCCTTCCACTTTGATTAATTGAACTTTTCTTTGTGTTCTTCTTGTGAATTTCTCTACGTTGTCTGCAGGTTGCTGGTTGGTGTGAACGGTACTGAGTGCAACGGTGTATGTCCGTGTGTTGTTTGCCCTTTAGCCGTTCATTTTAGCTGTTTTCTATGCACACTGGCCTGTTTGGGAGTCTCTATATTTGGTCAGACAATTCAAGTTGGAATGGCTCTGTTTGGGAGTCTCTATATTCGGTCAGGCAGTTGGAATGGCTCTGTTTCACTCTGTTGAGGTATTCAAGCTTCGCTATTTATTTTTCTTTGGGAGTCAGGGCCCCTCTGCCCGTTCTTTTTTTGCTGATTTTGTTTGTGTGTTTATTTGTTTGGGAGTCTCTCTTCTTGTCCAGACGCTTGAACAATATTGAATTACCAATGTTTCCATTGTGCGGGCAATTTTTGAACGCGTCATGAAAGATGTATTCAAAAATTCCACTGTATGTTTTGCTTATACCGGGTTGTACACGAGCATACGTGTGTGAGGTGAATGTTAGAGAATGTTCGTTCGTTCGTTAACATCAAGAACGTTCGAATACTCGAAATTTATGTTCGTTTCAGCCTTACGCATCATGAACTTTACGAATCGAGAAAAGGCTGCACTGCACATCGAGTGAAGTTGCTTTCTGCCAGCCACACTGTGATCCTCCATCCCCATCCCCAAACCCTTATTCTGGCAGCTGCAATGCTGCAATGCAGCCTAGCATACTAGACATGAAGAACTGGCACTGACGGACATTTCAGCCCATTGGAATTACAAGTAGGCTTCATCAGGGTGCCCTAGGTCGTCACGGGAAGTGCAGAATACAAAAAAGGTCAAGTGCATACAAGTAGATGTGGACAAGAGAGACTCCGGTATAATATAACCCATACACAGCTAGAGTACACAATGCAGCTGCACTGAGCTTGAGTACTGTAAAAGCCATTAGTCTAACGAGGCGCATATATAACGATTTCTCAAAATTGACTAGTTTACGTGTACCAAAGGTAACGATTCTCACTCATACTCAACGGTCAATAGGACAGTATAGGTATTGATTTCTGTATAACGATTTCTATTTTAACGACAGATTTCTCCTCGTTAACTCGTTAGAGTTAGCACTTCGTTATATATATGGCTTTTACAGTGGTATGTTCCTTCATCTCATCTAACGTCACGTTGAGCACTCTACCTGGTTTGCATCAAATTATTTGCCTTCATGCAACAAAAAATACACATTGTTTCTCGTAGTTAGAGCACTCTGACTCTCATGCTTTGAGCTGATTCTAAAATGCTTTGTTGTTCAGTCAACTCATTGCGATTGATTTAGCCAGTCACTCTAAGACCCGCCGAGACCTGCAAAGGTAGAAGTAACTAGCTGCCTGGATAGTGGGTAGACTATATCTTATGTACAGTCTGCAAATGCCTTACCGTCCAAGCTATGACCTTGCTCTGCCAAGCAACAATCTTCTCGATGCACTCAGTTCGCCGCTTGAGTTCATTGATGGATTCTGCAACTTTGGACATGCATTCATGCGCCTGCACAACATGTTCATAGTCGGGATGTGAACTCTCCGTATGTTTCAGCAACTCCTACACACACCAAACAGACAGACAGACACACACACACATGCACAGTTTGTTGATGTAGAATATCAAAAGCTACAAGCAGTGCATGTTGGACTTAGCCCAACTATTAGCCCAAATCCTACACTTGAGCTAAAACTGGCCTTCTTCATCATCCCCTTGAGGTGATCTTGAAAGGCCTCCTCTCACCGTTGAGGTGATCTTGAAAGGCCTCCTCTCTCCGTTGAGGTGATCTTGAAAGGCCTCCTCTCTCCGTTGAGGTGATCTTCAAAGGCCTCCTCTCTCCGTTGAGGTGATCTTGAAAGGCCTCCTCTCTCCGTTGAAGTGATCTTGAAAGGCCTCCCCTCTCCGTTGAGGAGATAAGGCCTCCTCTCTCCGTTGAGGTGATCTTGAAAGGCCTCCTCTCTCCGTTGAGGTGAAAAGGCCTCCTCTCTCCGTTGAGGTGATCTTGAAAGGCCTCCTCTCTCCGTTGAGGTGATCTTGAAAGGCCCCCTCTCTCCGTTGAGGTGATCTTGAAAGGCCTCCTCTCTCCTTTGAGGTGATCTTGAAAAGCCTCCTCTCTCCGTTGAGGTGATCTTGAAAGGCCTCCTCTCTCCGTTGAGGTGATCTTGAAAGGCCTCCTCTCTCCGTTGAAGTGATCTTGAAAGGCCTCCCCTCTCCGTTGAGGAGATAAGGCCTCCTCTCTCCGTTGAGGTGATCTTGAAAGGCCTCCTCTCTCCGTTGAGGTGAAAAGGCCTCCTCTCTCCGTTGAGGTGATCTTGAAAGGCCTCCTCTCTCCGTTGAGGTGATCTTGAAAGGCCCCCTCTCTCCGTTGAGGTGATCTTGAAAGGCCTCCTCTCTCCGTTGAGGTGATCTTGAAAAGCCTCCTCTCTCCGTTGAGGTGATCTTGAAAAGCCTCCTCTCTCCGTTGAGGTGATCTTGAAAGGCCTCCTCTCTCCGTTGAGGTGATCTTGAAAGGCCTCCTCTCTCCGTTGAGGTGATCTTGAAAGGCCTCCTCTCTCCGTTGAGGTGATCTTGAAAGGCCTCCTCTCTCCGTTGAGGTGATCTTGAAAGGCCTCCTCTCTCCGTTGAGGTGATCTTCAAAGGCCTCCTCTCTCCGTTGAGGTGATCTTGAAAGGCCTCCTCTCTCCGTTGAGGTGATCTTCAAAGGCCTCCTCTCTCCGTTGAGGTGATCTTCAAAGGCCTCCTCTCTCCGTTGAGGTGATCTTGAAAGGCCTCCTCTCTCCGTTGAGGTGATAAGGCCTCCTTTCTCCGTTGAGGTGATCTTGAAAGGCCTCCTCTCTCCGTTGAGGTGATCTTGAAAGGGCTCCTCTCTCCGTTGAGGTGACCTTGAAAGGCCTCCTCTCTCCGTTGAGGTGATCTTGAAAGGCCCCCTCTCTCCGTTGAGGTGATCTTGAAAGGCCTCCTCTCTCCGTTGAGGTGATCTTGAAAAGCCTCCTCTCTCCGTTGAGGTGATCTTGAAAGGCCTCCTCTCTCCGTTGAGGTGATCTTGAAAGGCCTCCTCTCTCCGTTGAGGTGATCTTGAAAGGCCTCCTCTCTCCGTTGAGGTGATCTTGAAAGGCCTCCCCTCTCCGTTGAGGTGATAAGGCCTCTTCTCTCCGTTGAGGTGATCTTGAAAGGCCTCCTCTCTCCGTTGAGGTGAAAAGGCCTCCTCTCTCTGTTGAGGTGATCTTGAAAGGCCTCCTCTCTCCGTTGAGGTGATCTTGAAAGGCCTCCTCTCTCCGTTGAGGTGATCTTGAAAGGCCTCCTCTCTCCGTTGAGGTGATCTTGAAAGGCCTCCTCTCTCCGTTGAGGTGATCTTCAAAGGCCTCCTCTCTCCGTTGAGGTGATCTTCAAAGGCCTCCTCTCTCCGTTGAGGTGATCTTGAAAGGCCCCCTCTCTCCGTTGAGGTGATCTTGAAAGGCCTCCTCTCTCCGTTGAGGTGATCTTGAAAGGCCTCCTCTCTCCGTTAAGGTGATCTTGAAAGGCCTCCTCTCTCCGTTGAGGTGATCTTGAAAGGCCTCCTCTCTCCGTTGAGGTGATCTTGAAAGGCCCCCTCTCTCCGTTGAGGTGATCTTGAAAGGCCTCCTCTCTCCGTTGAGGTGATCTTGAAAGGCCTCCTCTCTCCGTTAAGGTGATCTTGAAAGGCCTCCTCTCTCCGTTGAGGTGATCTTGAAAGGCCTCCTCTCTCCGTTGAGGTGATCTTGAAAGGCCTCCTCTCTCCGTTGAGGTGATCTTGAAAGGCCCCCTCTCTCCGTTGAGGTGATCTTGAAAGGCCTCCTCTCTCCGTTGAGGTGATCTTGAAAGGCCTCCTCTCTCCGTTTGTTACTCTATAGTATATACAGTATACAGTACTCCAAAGCTTTTTTTTTTAAACGTGATGACCGGAAAAGACAATCCAATTTGGAATGAAAAAAGAAGGAAAAGTGTAAATTTCTACTATACAGTACTCTACACTGACTACAGCGCTATAACACTATAAAGTACTGGAGTATGTGCATACTGTAGCGCGAAATACTCGCTTAATGAAGACATAATACATTGTACTACAGGTAGACTCCCTCTAATTCGAATACGGTATAATTCGAACATTCCGTGTAATTCGAACTTTTTCGTCGTACCGATCTTCTGCAAGTCACTTCAAGTCAAAATCGAATGTATAATTCGAAGTACGAAAAGTGCGCCGGTTGGATAATTCGAACCCAGTCTTCGTACAGAAGAGCTGTTTACAGTACATTGGCTATGTCCTTTGAACGCTTATTTCGAAGTGAGATTGAGTTGCAATCCTTGTAATTCGAAGTTCATTCTTTTCTGCTTCTCTAGCCAAGAGTAGCTCAAAAATCGATCGATGGTCTGCTGCAGGATCGACTATAGCGTTCAAGAAACCCACCTTCTCTCGAAATTTGATTCAAGCCCGTGCGAGGCAAATTGCAAAGGTTTGATTGAAGACGACTTCTTCCTGGTGGCTGACTCTCTTCGCGGATCTCGATGGCCTTTCTTACCGCGCCAGCTCGTGCGCGGAGATGTTGGCGCACAACAACACTATTGATGTGTCCACAAAGGACGAAACAGTTCTGTCCACGACACAGTACTGTGCTGACTGTACACCATCAGTACAGTACGTGTTCGCGTACTTCGAAGTGAAAGCATGCTGGAGTTGCAGGGGAGCTGCACTGAATTTTTTGGAAGTCAGAGAGGCGCGCTCGCTTCGTTCGCCGTGCACGCGTGAGCATGTGAGACCACGCGAGCATTTTGTCGCAGGAGAGGTGCGACACCACTCCCGCAAAACCTTGTCGGGCCCTTATCGTAAATATTGTCTATGCCTTTGCTCCACTTCCGTTCTTCAGAACGACGTGCTGCTGTCCAACGGCCTTTCGTGACGCCGATTAGGCAGCGCAGTTCTTTTCCGTTGAAATTGTTTCAGGAAAGCTGCAGTGACTGACAACTTCTTCACTAGATGTCAAAATGGTTTTGTGTCGATCCAGTGTTTTGATGATCCGTTGTACATGACCCGTACCTATGTTTCGTTGATGCAAATAAAAATGTGCCAAAAATATTCAGCAAGCGATTTCAAGCATTTTGACATACAATGTATGTCAAAATGCTATATGTCATATCAGTGCATGGGACTGCATTTGGATAATTAGAAGTTCTGGATAATTCGAAGTCAGGGCCTGGCAATTTGAGGTTCGAATTAAAGGGAGTCTACCTGTAATATACTACTTCCTCCGCTAAGCAAAACTTCGTTGCGTTTTTAGTGTTCTTGTCATGATATTCTGTCGGCATTAGACATACGTGTCAGTGATCTATCCCCTACATAGGGTAGCTGAGTTGTCGCCCATTGTTCTGACAGGCTTTTGAACCTCCGAAAAGCGTGGTTCGGATGTAATGTGCAGCGCTATGAGAATCGGTGTGTCCACCCGAATTCTTTTCACACTTTCAAAATGTTGTAATATTAAATGGTAATTTTTCAAAGATGTTAAAAGGAAGAAGAACTATACATGATGTGTATGTGTGTATGTAATCATGTGGATGTTTGGAAATGAGAAAAAAAGAGAAAGAGAAAGAGAGAGAAAGAGAGAGAGAGAGAGAGAGAGAGAGAGAGAGAGAGAGAGAGAGAGAGAGAGAGAGAGAGAGAGAGAGAAGAGAGAACGGTAGATTGTTTTAGTGGCTGCTCACCTGTATTTGCAATGGATACTACTCACCTGTATTTGCAATGGATACTTGCAAATTTTCTGAACTGGCGTCAATAAGAAGCTACCCAGCGAGAGGTTGGCCATCTGGCGCATCAATCGACAAGCCTATACAGTAGAGAACAGCAGTGAACACAGGTAAGCAGATGAACAGTATTGAACAGTATATAGAGCAGTGTATTGAACAGTATAGTATTCAGCAGTATTGAGCAGTATTGAGCAGTATTGAGCAGTATTGAGCAGTATTGAGCAGTATTGAACAGTATATAGAGCAGCATTCAGCGGTATTGAACAGTACAGTCGAATGTCACTTATCCGGTCGCCAGTTATCCGAGCACGTCGGTTATCCGACAAGCCCGGGAGTGGTAATTGTATAACTCTCAACAGTAAAATTCAATTTTTTTTGTATATTATACGGTGTAATGTGCATTTACTTGAAGTAGATGTGGTCAAGTATGCTAACATGTATGTGTACATGGAGCAATTCATGAATATGCATGAATATATTTGGGTATTGTGTACATAAATCAGTGAAATCCAGCCATATATGCACATAAAAAATGATATCAGTTATCCAACATATCCAGTTATCCAACATGCCTGATTCCCGAAGTGGTCCGATACCGGTAAGTGACATTCGACTGTACTAGTATATGGAATAGTATAGAGCAGAATAAAGGGGTAAGCACTAAGCAGCAGCAGCAGCAGTATGGTGCAGTACTGGACAGCAGTATGGTGCAGTACTGGACAGCAGTATGGTGCAGTACTGGACAGCAGTATGGTGCAGTACTGGACAGCAGTACGGTGCAGTACTGGACAGCAGTATGGTGCAGTACTGGACAGCAGTATGGTGCAGTACTGGACAGCAGTATGGTGCAGTACTGGACAGCAGTATGGTGCAGTACTGGACAGCAGTATGGTGCAGTACTGGACAGCAGTATGGTGCAGTACTGGACAACAGTATGGTGCAGTACTGGACAGCAGTATGGTGCAGTACTGGACAGCAGGGAACAGTACTGGACAGCAGTATGGTGCAGTACTGGACAGCAGTATGGTGCAGTACTGGACAGCAGTATGGTGCAGTACTGGACAGCAGGGAACAGTACTGGACAGCAGTATGGTGCAGTACTGGACAGCAGTATGGTGCAGTACTGGACAACAGTATGGTGCAGTACTGGACAGCAGTATGGTGCAGTACTGGACAGCAGTATGGTGCAGTACTGGACAGCAGTATGGTGCAGTACTGGACAGCAGTATGGTGCAGTACTGGACAGCAGTAATTATTGTATGGTGCAGTACTGGACAGCAGTATGGTGCAGTACTGGACAACAGTATGGTGCAGTACTGGACAGCAGTATGGTGCAGTACTGGACAGCAGGGAACAGTACTGGACAGCAGTATGGTGCAGTACTGGACAGCAGGGAACAGTACTGGACAGCAGTATTGAACAGTAGAGGGTGTAGCTATGTGCATAGATAGTATACCTGGGTAAGCAAAGTTCAACCACTACTTCACAGGAATATGTTCACCAACATGAAACTCACACCAGCAGTAATCCTTTGCCAGAAGCAGGTTTGCGGTTTGAAGCATTTCTTTTTAAATGCTTGAGGCAAAACTCAATAGAACCAGCTGTATTACGATCTGATCTGTTGCTCTCAAGTGCACCAAATTTTCTAACAAAAAATGTTGGTGTCACAGAAGGTGCCCTAATTCCAGACGGCTTGGAGTCGACTCTAAATTCATCCATAGTTTTGGCAATTGTGGAATGCTATCCCTTGATCACGGCGGAAGCACTGGAACGTTTGGTGCGTGCGTGCCTCCAATATCAGGATAGTTTGCTGGTGATAAGCGAGCTGTATTTTGTCCCCTGGGAGCAGCTGTATGGTGATAACCAAGGGGAAAGCAGTGGTAGAGATGCCAAGAGCATCCACTTTCCTGCAATGATTTGGGGGTTCTTTATAACTTCTGCTCGTGCGGGTATTCTCAGTTCTTAGCTAGCTCTTGATGTTGCTTTACAAACAGGTATACGTTAGTACACCTTGACCACTCTGACCACTCTTCTTTTTTTTCTCAAAATCAATACCGTATTTTCCGGAGTATAGTGCGTACTTTAGATGTGCTATTTTAGGCCCTAAATCGCAGGTGCGCACTATGCTCCGAATATGAAATGCATGTACTTCAATGAAGATTGAAGTGCGCACCCCCAATGAAGATTGGGGGTGCGCGTTATACAAAGGTGCACACTATACTCCGGAAAATACGGTACCTCATTTTCAAAACAATGTCTGTCATTGACCATGGCAACATACTTCAAAGAACAGCTTGTGAAGACGATCCGATTGCAGCTTGTCCAGTTCCTTAACAGCATGTGGATGATTGGTGCAGTACCGAGAGTACACATTGAATTGAAGCTCCTGGGAAATTTCCAACACAACACCAATACAAAGCAGGTCAGCAACGGGGCCAGTGTCCACATCCGACAAGACAGACAGCTGCACTCGAATACATTCTTCCGCGGCAAACAGCACTGTCAATACACACTTTCATCACATTGAGAGAGAGAGAGAGAGAGAGAGAGAGAGAGAGAGAGAGAGAGAGAGAGAGAGAGAGAGAGAGAGAGACCACACACGCACGCACGCACGCACGCACGCACGCGCGCGCACACACACACACACACACACACACACACACACACACACACCTTGGACCTTGGACGCGCTGCCATATTCTGGCTATGCGGACCCCATGGGGGGTTGAGCAGGTTCGGAACAGTAGGGGCGATGACGGGATAGGTCCTGTGGTCTACTGAAACGCCGACCGCAATTGCAAACGATGCAGAAGGAGCTACGGTCTGTGTTGGTTGCTCTGGCCGAGCCACGGCTGCACTTGTGACGTTTCATGCCTTGGCGCGATAGCACACAGCGGTTGCAGCGGGCGCAGTGGAAGCTGCAGCGTTCGCAGGACATATTGTTTGTAACCGGTGACTCAAGTGTGTCAGAAGATGCCTCTGCTGGTGATGTTGCTGGCGAGCACTTGTGTCGGGCAAATCCACCCTTGCTCCGGAACCATCTGTCGCACTGATCGCAGTGACAGCTTCCTGGCTGTTGGCTTACGGGTAGGGCACGCGTAGCTGTACACTTGTGTCGCTTCCTGTCACTTACACGACTGAAGGAGCGGTGACAAGTTTGGCACACAACCGGTGATGGTCGAGGTCTGTTCTGCTTGTCTGGCAGACAACGATAAGCCTGGCGCCATTTGGAGCGAGAAGAGGTGGCCACTTCATACCAGTCGTCAAGTGGTTTGACGTCACTCCGAACACAGTCTCGCCACCTTTTCCGCGGACCATGGGCAGGTCTCTTGTTTGCACACACACACACACACACACACACACACACACACACACACACACACACACACACACACACACACACACACACACACACACACACACACACACACACACACACACACACACACACACACACACACACACACACACACACACACACACACACACACACACACACACACACACACACACACACACACACACACACACACACACACACACACACACACACACACACACACACACACACACACACACACACACACACACACACACACACACACACACACACACACACACACACACACACACACACACACACACACACACACACACACACACACACACACACACACACACACACACACACACACACACACACACACACACACACACACACACACACACACACACACACACACACACACACACACACACACACACACACACACACACACACACACACACACACACACACACACACACACACACACACACACACACACACACACACACACACACACACACACACACACACACACACACACACACACACACACACACACACACACACACACACACACACACACACACACACACACACACACACACACACACACACACACACACACACACACACACACACACACACACACACACACACACACACACACACACACACACACACACACACACACACACACACACACACACACACACACACACACACACACACACACACACACACACACACACACACAAACACACACACACACACTACACGTGCACGCACATATACACACACACACGTATGCACACCAACACACACACCAACAGACAACTTGAAGACACAGCTATCCGCATGGGCACATCATACAAGTAAGCAGGAAAAACATCACACTCACCCTCTCAACAAATAACGGTCCAATAACGGTGGCTGCAGGATCAGTTTTGTCGACACAACTCTCCATTTTTGCAAGAAAGTCCGACTGAAAAGCAAGAATTTCTTCCACATTGCCAAACACCAAAGCAACGGTCTCTTCATCGAACAGGCTTGTCTTCTTTCGGGCCTCAGTAATATAACCCTGTTTGTATATACACAAGGAGAAAAGAAAGGGGGGGAGAGAGAGAGAGAGAGAGAGAGAGAGAGAGAGAGAGAGAGAGAGAGAGAGAGAGAGAGAGAGAGAGAGAGAGAGAGAGAGAGAGAGAGAGAGAGAGAGAGAGAGAGAGAGAGAGAGAGAGAGAGAGAGAGAGAGAGAAAGAGCATCATTGTTTTGTAGTAGTGTTTCCAAAAGCACAATAATTTATATTAATTTTAACCAACCAACAACCCATCGCAGCCTCACTCTTTGCCAAAATGGACACAAGGGTGTCAAAACCACACGTTAGTTATCTCACCCGACATTGGTACAGAAATATGTTCCGAAGCACACTAAATATTGCCATAAACGGAAGGGAAAGCAAAACTCTCTCTCTCTCTCTCTCTCTCTCTCTCTCTCTCTCTCTCTCTCTCTCTCTCTCTCTCTCTCTCTCTCTCTCTCTCTCTCTCTCTCTCTCTCTCTCTCTCTAAAATCTAGACTGACAACCTGCTTGTTAAATCATGCACCTGCTTTCAGGCGTAAAAACCCTGTTGTAGAGGTCTCAGTCCTCATTTGTTAGACATACCTGTCTTTATAAATGTAACTTTCTCTCTCTCTCTCTCTCTCTCTCTCTCTCTCTCTCTCTCTCTCTCTCTCTCTCTCTCTCTCTCTCCCTCCCTCCCTCCCTCCCTCCCTCCCTCCCTCCCTCCCTCCCTCCCTCCCTCCCTCCCTCCCTCCCTCCCTCTCCCTCCCTCCCTCCCTCCCTCCCTCCCTCCCTCCCTCCCTCCCTCCCTCCTCTCTCTCTCTCTCTCTCTCTCTCTCTCTCTCTCTGTGATATCCGTACTAGTGAGCTACCTCACGTGATAGATCATTATCTTTCTACTCCTCTACTCTAAGTTGTATCAGCCGCGCATGCTTTTCCGTTGTGCTGCTGAGCTTCTCTGTCGTCCTAGTTCGACGTTCTAGTTTTGATCTCGAAGTCAACAGTTCCCCTTTTGTCTTGTCCTGAACTGCTCTGGTGTGATCATAATATTTGGCGACGAAGTCCTTGATTCAGCTGCCACGATGAGCACAGTAAAATCATTGAACCCGTTTGATCTGGAACCGCCTGAGTCGGTTGGCCCTCGTTGGGAGAAATGGCTGGCTCGTTTCGATAATTATTTGATTGCAGCAAACATCACGGAAGACGAGCGGCAGAGAGCCCAGCTCTTGCACGGTGGCGGTGAGGACGTGTTTGACGTCTACCTCACCTTTGACAGCAGTAGCATTACAAGTTACGACGACTTGAAGGATGCTCTGACGGCTCACTTCAGTCCGAAGCGCAACAGGGAATACGAGGTCTACTTGTTCCGTCGTGAGAAACAATCTCAGTCGGAGACCCTTGATAGCTACGTAACTCGTCTTAGGCGTTTGGGCAAGCACTGTCAATTTGCAGATATGGACACAGAGCTAAAGTCTCAGGTCGTACAGCACTGTGTGTCGTCGAAGGTACGTGAAAAGGCTTTCATGGAGAGCAGCATGTCGTTGGCAGACCTCCTTACTTATGCACGTTCAGTGGAAGTCACGATGTCGTCTGTGGCAGCCATGGCCGGGGCCAGCAGCTTCAGCAAGCCTGAACATCCCCAAGTCCATAAAGTGGAGAGGCGACACCCATCAAGTCGTGACCAGCCCAGTCCTTCCAGTAAGGCCGTTCGCAAATGTAGCGGATGCGGGGGGAAATGGCACGACAACCGCTCGGATTGCCCAGCATGGGGCAAGACGTGCAAGTCCTGCAGCAGGTCGAATCATTTCGCAAAGGTATGCCGGTCGAAGGCTGTGCATCAGTTTTCCGAGCAGAGAGCCCCGGAGTTCGCATCACCTGACCAGACGGCGGAATACAGTGCGGAGCTGCACCACACCAGTTGCTCTGGTCATGTGCGTTCCAACGTGGATCCTTATATGTGTAGTGTGAGTCTGGCTGGCACCCCTGTTGTGTTTGAGATAGACACCGGAGCGGCAGTAACAATAATCAACAAAGCGGAGTACCAGACACTGGCGTCGAAAGATACCAAGCAGCAACTCCCCAGTCTGGAGACGAATGACCTGCCGAGCCTTAGGTCGTATGCTGGCAAGATCATACCAGTTATTGGTCGTCTCATCTGCAATGCCCGCCATGCGAAGAACTCGGCTCAGCTGACCATGTTTGTCGTCGAGGGTTCTGGTCCGAATCTGTTGGGTAGAGACGCGCTGCAGACGCTAAAGCTCAACTGGAACCGAGTCTTCAATGTCACCGGAGATCTGAGCAGTGACCTCCTGAGCAAGCATCCTGATGTTTTCAAGCCCGGACTAGGCACCTGGAAGCACGGCAGTGTCAAGCTTGCAGTCGACCGCAATGCTAGACCTCGCTTCCTGAAAGCTCGCTCTGTGCCTTATGCTCTACAGTCTGCCGTGGAGAAGGAGCTGGACAAACTAGTCGACAACAATGTCATTCAGCCAGTCGAATTCGCTGAGTGGGCAGCACCGATTGTGCCAGTTCTCAAGAGCAATGGCCAAGTCCGCATCTGTGGTGATTACAAGTGCACTGTTAACCAGGCAGCCAAGACAGATAAGTACCCATTGCCGAACATAGAGGATTTGTACGTGAAACTTGCTAATGGCTGTTGCTTCACCAAGCTGGACCTCAGTCAAGCTTATCTCCAATTACCACTGGATGAACAGTCTAAACTTCTTACCACCATCAACACCACGAAGGGACTGTTTGTGTACAACCGACTGCCTTTTGGTGTGTCTTCGGCCCCGAGCATATTTCAACGTACGCTCGACCAATTGCTAGCTGGAATACCAATGGTCGTGATCTACTTGGATGACATCCTTGTCTCTGGCACAACTCGTGAAGAACACGACAAACATCTGAACATGGTTCTGGAACGTCTCAACGCAGCTGGATTGCGTTTGAACCGCACCAAATGTTCATTTGCAAGGTCCTCTGTGACATTCTTAGGTCACATCATCGATGCATCTGGAATTAAGCCCACCAAGGAGAAAGTGCAAGATGTCATTGATGCAAGGGCTCCTACCGACGTCCAAGAGCTGAGAAGCTACCTCGGACTAATCAACTACTACCACAAGTTCATTCCTAACCTGAGCTCAGTACTTGCTCCGTTGTATGAACTATTGTCTTCCAAGAGTTGGGACTGGTCTCACCGTCAACAGTCCGCATTCGAGAGTAGCAAGAAGCTGCTCATTGACTCACCCGTCCGTGTGCATTACGACCCTAAACTACCAATTATTGTGAGCTGTGATGCCTCACCGTACGGCATTGGTGCAGTTTTGTCGCATGTTGTCAATGGCGAGGAGCATCCGGTAATCTTCGCATCGCGTACCCTGTCGTCAGCAGAACGAAACTACGCACAGATTGAGAAGGAAGGCCTCGCCATGGTTTTCGCTGTCAAGCGATTCCACAAGTACCTGTATGGCCAATCATTCACTCTTCAAACAGACCACAAACCTCTGCTGGGTTTGTTCAGTGAGTGTCGGCCCGTTCCTGCTATGGCCAGCGGTCGTATTCAGCGTTGGGCGCTGATGTTAGCCAACTATGACTATGAGCTACAGTACAAGCCCGGCAAATCGAATGGAAACGCGGATGGTCTCAGTCGTCTGCCGGCACCAACGCCAGAATTCCAGGTTCCCGTGCCGGCTGAAACAGTTTTGTCAAGGACTGTTTTGGACGGAACTCCCGTAACATCATCGAGCGTTGCGCAATGGTCTCGCCGTGATCCAGTGCTTGCATTAGTTCTTAAGTACGTCCAGGAAGGCTGGCCTAACGACGTGCATAGTGATTACCAAGCGTACTACCGTCGTCGAAGTGAACTCTCTATCATCGATGGGTGCTTACTGTTGGGGTCTCGCGTTGTCATTCCGCCCCAAGGCCGAGAAAAGTTACTGGAAGAGTTACATTTCAGCCATCCCGGCATAACCAGAATGAAGTCGCTCGCCCGCAGCTACGTCTGGTGGCCATCGATCGATGCCGAAATTGAACTCAAGGTCCGCAGCTGTGAGCCATGTCAAGCAACCCAGAAGTCTCCAGCACTACAGCCATTGCATCCCTGGGAGTGGCCAGGCAAACCCTGGACCCGACTGCACATTGATTATGCAGGCCCTGTGGAAGGCAAGATGCTACTTGTGATCGTCGACAGCCACAGCAAGTACATCGACGTGCACGCCGTTCCATCTGCTACGTCGACAGCTACCATTGGCAAGCTTCGTGAGTGTTTCGCTACACATGGTCTTCCGCAACAGCTTGTCTCGGATAATGGCTCAGTGTTCACCAGCTCGGAGTTTCAACAATTCTCCTCAAGTAACGGTATCAAGCATACCTTGGTTTCACCCTACCATCCAGCAAGCAACGGTCTTGCTGAACGAGCAGTTCAAACAGTCAAATCCGGCTTGAAGAAATTGTCAGGTGCTGGTGGAGACCTAGCGTCACGGTTACACCGCTTTCTGTTTCATTATCGCTTAACGCCTCAGTCAACAACAGGCCAGTCACCATTTCAGCTGCTTATGAACCGCACGCCACGTTCTCGTCTTGACCTGACGTTTCCAGATACATCAGCACGTGTCTTGAACAGGCAAGGTGCTGCTGTTGACCGTCGCACAGCTCGGGCGTCGGATCTCTGTTGTGGTGATGCTGTTTGGGTGATTAACTTCACATCGACGCCTAAATGGATGCCTGGTGTGCTGGAAGAATGTCTTGGTCCAGCCACGTTTACTGTACGTCTGGATGATGGTCGCATATGGAAGCGCCATGCTGATCACATTAGACGCCGTCTTCCGTCCGAGGGAGGAGAAATGCTACCCGAGAGTGCAGGCATATCCGACCGGTCATCACCGCCATCGACTTCAACTTCAACTTTGGCAACTGCACAGCCGCCGTCACATGCAGATGCCGAATCACCACAGCCGTCACAGCCAGAGGTTGCCGCCAGCCGCCAGGATGTGGAATCAACATCGCTATCCTCTTCTGCATCTGCTGCACCTTCTGCTGAATCTTCTACTCAGTCTTCTGCTATCTCTGTTAATTCTCCTTGCTCTAATCTGCGCAGGTCTACACGCTCAAGGAAGTCCCCTGATCGTATGAACTTGTAACTGCAGACCTGCTGGGTTTTGCGTTCAGCTCTCTGTTGATATTTGCAGTTCCTTAGTGTTGTACATTGAACTCGCTTCTCGTATCAGCAACAAATTATAGTGAACTCATTTCTCATACTATTGCCTATGTGTTCCTCATCTAATGGTGGAGGGATGTGATATCCGTACTAGTGAGCTACCTCACGTGATAGATCATTATCTTTCTACTCCTCTACTCTAAGTTGTATCAGCCGCGCATGCTTTTCCGTTGTGCTGCTGAGCTTCTCTGTCGTCCTAGTTCGACGTTCTAGTTTTGATCTCGAAGTCAACAGTTCCCCTTTTGTCTTGTCCTGAACTGCTCTGGTGTGATCATAATACTCTCTCTCTCTCTCTCTCTCTCTCTCTCTCTCTCTCTCTCTCTCTCTCTCTCTCTCTCTCTCTCTCTCTCTCTCTCTCTCTCTCTCTCTCTCTCTCTCTTTCTCTCTCTCTCTCTGAAATCTAGCAACTTATTCAAGGTTAGGGTTGGAGTAACCGTTAGGATATGACTGGTGTCACTAGCTATATGACAATGTGTGTTCTTGCAGTCCACTTGCAGTCCACTTGCAGTCCACTTGCAGTACACTTGCAGTACACTTGCAGCACACTTGCAGCACACTTGCAGCACACTTGCAGCACACTTGCAGCACACTTGCAGCACACTTGCAGCACACTTGCAGCACACTTGCAGCACACTTGCAGCACACTTGCAGCACACTTGCAGCACACTTGCAGTACACTTGCAGTACACTTGCAGTACACTTGCAGTACACTTGCAGTACACTTGCAGCACTGCAGCAGCACTCACCTCCACGATATCTTTCAAGTGGCCCACGTAACACCTCTCTGAATTCAGTATCTCCTCTATGACCATCCTGCGTACACAGGGTTGAGATGATAATGGCGTTGCTATTGATGCTGATGATGACGACGAGGTGATTTGGGTTGCAGACGGTGTTGGCGAAACGCTCTGGAAAACTCGTAACTAGTGGATACCGATACCAACAACAACAACAACAGCAACAACGACGACAACAACGACGACGACGACGACAACAACAACAACAACAGCAGCAGCAGCAGCAACAACGCAGACACATACAAGTAGTCGATACGTACATTATCTCTTAATTTTCTGTCAAAAAATCCTATATGTAGGATTTGAAAATGTGTGACTTTTATGCCGTTGTTATTGGTCATCATGACCAATACTCAGGCGAAGCGCCAGCACCCCAAATCAAGACTTTTTTTATTTTCCGTGGCGGGAAATCGAGCTTTTCCAGGTATCTACAGCCTGTAGAAATTCAACGCTGAGAATTTCCAACTATTGTCCGGCTTTGGTCCTCTGCCACCGACCTATCCTTTGAAGGAGAATGCTGAAACCAGTTGGTTGCTCTTCAGCAGTTCTTTCTCTATCGTATACATATTTTTGTATGTCGACACATGCCGTGTGCGACGACGTAGACACTTCTCAGCACTTGAGTGACTTGAATTTGGCCATGATGACCGAATGTCATTGGACCGTGGAGTCGAGTAGAGGGCTCAGGCTCGATCGGCACAACGGGTACGTATAGCACAATGGTAGGGCTAATGATATATCAAGTTGTTTGCTGTGCACAACCTTGGGGCGGAATTCGGCACGAAATTCTCTGCTCGCCAACTGTTGAATATACCATGCAATACGTAGGTTTAAACTCATGTTACAGTGCTATCACGGTTGCAACCCTCTTTCAAATGGTGACATAGCCAACAACCACATAATCCATATCAAATCTTGCCCCTTGTTTTCTTTCTAAGGCCACCCTTTCTTTTTTCGTTGTTTAACGTCCGCGCCCGCGTACCTTTTTGCCTCCGACCGAAAAAAAAAACAAGAAAGTAGTAGTACCAATAATATGCGAAGTTGTAAATACATGATTGTGTAGTTTCACAGTGTGCCGATCATGACCTTACAATGTAAACTTATAATCTTGCCTCCCGGGCATGCATGCCTTTGTCTTGTGTTCTTTTTCTTTTTTTTGCTGGCTTTTAAATATCGTACGGTGTGTGTCCTAGTAAAAATCCAGATGTAATGAATTCATGACATGCTAACTCCATGCTATGTACCTGTTTTGTTGGATTCATCAGGCATGTGCTCCAATGTACCATCAAAGAGTGTTGTTCTATGCCTGCAAGTGCCGTTAGACCCAGATATATTGTATATATCACATGCTTTACTGGTCAAAATGTTTGATTGGGGTTTCCAGTTTTTGGAATGGGCTTTTGTTTTTTTTCCGCCCTCCCGCGTACCTTTTCGCGAAAAAAAGGACGTTAAACAATGAATTAACAAAGGGTGGCCTAAGTGTGAATAATAGAAATAATACCAGTCCTAATCATTGGAAAATGCAAATCACGGTCTATTATCGACACATCATACTGTCGCGGACATGGAAATCCAGTCGATTGACCGGGGCCGGCGCCCTCAGCGTGTACAGAACGTTGCATGGAGTGCACATGTTGATCCAATGCGACCATCAGCAGCGCATGATAAACCGTGCTACGGCTTCATGGCCAGCCCCCTGGGGCCGCTATACATGCGACCTGATTTCCATGTCCACGACAGTAGTACCATGCAGCCTGGTAGTGCATTTGGAGCAGGAAAGTGAATGGTAGCACTGCGGTGGTGGACACATGAGCTGATGACAACCATCGTCGTCTTGTTGGTTTGCGTTGTCTCCAGTTCATTGCAGGTTGAACGAGGAATGAACGTCTACTCTTTCTTTCCAAAACTGGCTGGGCACACGCCAATGAGACGGAAGCTAGTGCCAAACCAGTCCTTGGAAGTTTTGTTGTGCTGCTGGACTTTCAATCATCATGTAAAGTATATTCCGGTTTCTGAGTCTTCGTGTGCGCCTGAAGAGCTACACTGTGTAGAGATGTTGGAAGTTTATCCTGCTCACGACACTGCACCAAGTACAAGCACTTCCTCGGCGCTGCCTGAGCCCTTTTCTGTGTTTACTGTGACCAGGAGAAGTAACTAGTAATTTGGAGCTTGAGCTGGAACGCTGGTGCTCTCTCTCTCTCTCTCTCTCTCTCTCTCTCTCTCTCTCTCTCTCTCTCTCTCTCTCTCTCTCTCTCTCTCTCTCTCTCTCTCTCTCTCTCTCTCTCTCCCTCTCTCTCTCTCTCTGTCACGTTCTGCCACTGTCCGAAACCGGTGCATGTGCTAGCATGTCGAAGCGCATTGTGTCTGAGTCACGTACTCACTCTCCTGCTCCTCCCTCATATGCCCAAGACAGTATGACCAACTGTGAATACAGTTCATGCCCATATGTGAGCTTGTGTGATTCTCTGTTGTAAGCTGCCACGTGTGTACTTGCACGTGTTGTGTACATGTGTGTGTGTGTGTGTTTGTGTGTGCGTGTGTGTGTATCTATGGGACTGCGTTCTCCTATTCTCTCTCCGGTGCCTTCGAGGCCCATGCAACCCTTGTGGCAGTGGCTCGACAGCACAGGGCAGGTGTGTGTGTGCGCACGTGCATGTGTATATGTGTGTGTGTGTGTGTGCGCGCGCGCGCGCGCGTGTGCATGCGCATGTGTGGGTGTACGCGCGTGCATGCAGATGTGTGTGTGGGGGTGTGCGCACGCTGATGCTCAGCTCTCCAGAATTATGTCCGTGTGCGTAGCCAGTGTATGGTGGCAACATAGCCTTCCTTCATGTATATGTGTATGTGCATACTATTTGGGATGCTTTACTGTTTTTGGTGGGATCCAGTTACATAGTTTTCTGTTCAATTATTAATGTTTATACAGCTGCTGTATTTGTAGTGCAACTTTATGTCTTTCTGCTGGTCAAATTGTCGTCTTGATGGTGTTCTAATACTGATATACATAGAAAATATTACCCTCAGAAAGTGTGCTCGTTGTGAAGTTGTCCTTCTTTGGGCTCAAACCATTGCTCGTGTATAGGTAGATACATATCAGTGGGTTCAATTGGTGGCGAGAGGTCAGCCTAAATTGTTTGGGGCGGAATTCGGCACGAAATCCACGCTGAGTACTTTTTGACAACGAGTTGCGTCGGTCTTGAAAACTCTGGCGAGAAAGCAAGGAAAATGATGTCGCTTGGAGCTTTCCGCGAAACTTAGGGCAGCTAATGCCCGCACCTTCCCAAACATTGCCTCGGAACAAGACGATACCACCAGGGAAGCTCTTGTGAGTAAGTGATAAAATAGTCTCTTTTTGGCGATATTGAGCTGAGTTTCAAATTTCCCGGGCCTGGGGTCGGATTTGGAAAATAAAAGTGCAACTTTTAGGGCTCTTTTTCGGTGCTGGCGCTTCGCCTGTACTAACAGCATTATGGTTTTCATGGAAGTTGTAAAATTTACAACTTCCATGAAAACCATTATGCTGTTAGTATTTTTTCAAATTCTTGCTGAAAATGGGTATTCATCGGAAATATTATCGTCCTATGAATCTAAAAAGTGAACATTCATGCCTCAAACATATTAAATATGTTTGAGGCATGAATGCTCACTTTTTAGATTCATAGGACGATAATATTTCCGATGAATACCCATTTTCAGCTAGAATTGGAACTTTGAGCAGCATTTTTCAGCTATTGTCATGGAAAGGACTGAAGCAGTGAATGTTCAGAAGAACATTACAGGTGTGGCGCAGGGTGGTTTCATGACGACGTATCGCACATGCCAGCGTGAAACTACCAGTTTTAAGGATAAAACAAGGTCCAATCAAATCTCAAAATCCTATATATAGGATTCGAAAAATAGGGCACAAGCCGTAGTAATATTGGGCAAGGAGATGAGCCTGAGATGTTAGTATTTAAAAAAATTATCTTATTCAACTCTCAATATCTACTATTAAAGCCCTAGCAAGGAAGAATTGGTCACATACGTTTTGCTATTCTCGTGCCACACTCATTTTGAGTTAAAAATATGACCAAAATCCTATACTGTAAATCAACAAATTTTCGCCAGTGAAAAACTTTCGCCGATCTCCAAAAATCGCTTTTCGCCGCCACTAAACTTTCGCCGTAGGCGGACAAGAGTCCAAAAAAGTGATCGATGTTTCGTGTGTGCATGTACTAGTAGTATAGTAGTACAAAGGTCTGTGTAGTTTATAGACCCTGTCTACTGTACGCAGTTTTTACAGAGAGCCTGGCGGCATAAGAGTGACCCAAACTGATATTTGGTTCTGGTGGCAAATTTTGGCTGGCGATTAAATTTGGCCGATTGACATCGACCGGCGAAATCAGCGAAATTAAATCGCCAGCGAAAATTTGTTGATTTACAGTATATAGGATCTAGCAAATTAAGAGATAAATGACGCCTCCGATATCATAGATTATGCAGCCACTTGGCCAGTGGCAACAAAGCATCAGTAGAAATAGCAGCACCGGCACATCAGGATCAACAGCAACATCAGGAGCTTACCCGCACATAATTAGCGGGAAACCATCCAGTTGTGCCATTAGCAGTTCCTCCCCACCACTCATCATCCTCCATATCAGTCACTTCAATCGTGTCTCCAACAACAAAGGACAACTCTTCTGGATCAACTGCCACATAGTCCCACAAAGCATCAGCAAAGATCGAGTTCATGAACGCGACTTCATTAGTTGCAAATGCCTAAACACAGCCAAAAACAGAGAGGAAATACACAGGAGGAACAACAGCAATGCACATTCAATGCATGTTCTCGTATGCTACATGTAACTACAGATGCGTTTTTAAACAATGTGTGATGACTCCACTCATGAGGATAGGTAATACATGTAAATAGTTCAAAATTTCAAAGGAAACAAACACACAGTCTACCCATGAATACACAACACTTGAACAGTGAAGATGATTCAGCGCACTCTCACATGTCCCGTAGAAACTACACCACCACCTACACATACGATGGGGAACCCCCTTTTCACATGACGCTATGCTACAGTACTGTCGGGCACCGAAGAACGGACCGCCGAAGAAGAACGACCAGGCTAGAATTTCAACAATTTTTTAGAACGGTGTAGGCTGGATTTTTGCAGATAAGAACGGAGAGTGTAATGTACACTATAATGTACACTCAGACGTATAACTCTGCATAAAGGTACATGAAAGGCTGTAACATGGAATAAGAAAGAAACTGCTGTGTTCAAACAAATGGCGAGGAGACAATAATTTGATAACCGCAAGCTCGTCTTACTGCTGTGTTCGCTAAAGATAAGAACGGGCTAGGCTAGAACCCTGACCCCCGTTCTTCAGCCCCCGACAATATTGTACGACAATTGGATAGAAAATGGCAAGGCTGACAGCAACAGTTTTATAGGGATACTTCCACTCATCTCTTCTAAGATGCTTCTCGAAAACCTGAGGGCAATCCAAACGCCCCCTAAAAGTGCATGCAAATGCAACACACAAGTGCAGGTATGACTAAATTAATCCCATGTTTCTAGCTAGGCTAGAACCCTGACCCCCGTTCTTCGGCCCCCGACAATATTGTACGACAATTGGATAGAAAATGGCAAGGCTGACAGCAACAGTTTCATAGGGATACTTCCACTCATCTCTTCTAAGATGCTTCTCGAAAACCTGAGGGCAATTCGAACGCCCCCTAAAAGTGCATGCAAATGCAACACACAAGTGCAGGTATGACTAAATTAATCCCATGTTCCGGCCAGGTTCCACTGCGAAAAGTAAAACTGCTCCAGCTGTTCTGGCCTCGAGGCCAGAGCAAGCAGACCATGTTTGGGCTGATCCAATTCAGGCTCAGTACCAAGAAAACACTCTGTTCTGGCGCATCTTGTTGCAGGTTGTACCAACGAAGCATGCCCTCATACAACATGGTCTCTTTGCTGGGAAAATAACTCCTTCTCAGCAAAGTTTAGGACAACGCCCATCCTCAGAGCGAAACAACTCCGTTTTGTGTTTTTTGTCTCTTTCCCTCAAACCAGTTAATATTTTGTGTTTTTGTTTAGTTTAATTGCTTCACCCTGGGGATTATCCATGCCAGTCAATCCAGTGAAGAAGGAGACATGCAGTAAGGAGGTCATGTACTATGATGAGTGCTGAGATTGAGTAATCTAGACAGAAGCCATCTCAAATATGACCCGTTTGCCAAGTACTTCAGTAGCACATACAACCAATCGACACAATACAGGAGAATACAGGAGAGGCAGCATAGACTACCGCGATGTTGTGCTTGAGCACACCGGCACTATACATGTGTATGTGTGTGTATATGCGAGTGCATGCGTGCGTGTGCCTGTTTGGCAATGAAAGAGAGAGAGAGAGAGAGAGAGAGAGAGAGAGAGAGAGAGAGAGAGAGAGAGAGGAGAGAAAAAATTCAAGTTCGCCACACTGTACAATTTGCACAGCAGACGCGTGTGCACGTACCTCAAAGTCCCCCGGCAACAACTTGCCACTGCGATTGAGGAGGGTACTCATTGCCTTGTAGCGTGGGTGACTGGTGACCTCTCCACAATGTTCAGCAGCAGTGGACACAGGTGGATGACTAATGTCACCAAGACATATTCTGACAGAACGCAATTGCTCAGCAGACGCACTCATAGGGAGCCTACCGCTGCCACCATTTCTGACACCAGGACTTTTACTAGAGAGAGTACAATGTGGTGAGGGTAACTGTGTTATCGATGTTGATGATGCCAGTGATGCCGGAGCCTCCACCTGCCTGTTACGGCGAACTTCAGTACCCATATTGCAGATGCCCACTGTGTTCTCTTACTGTAGCCAGTCTTAGAGCTCTAGCATCCACCACCGACAGTCACACTGAGAGTCACATCTACACACATCTACACACACTCAAATAGGGGCAATGATCAAACTGCACTGCACTGCACTGCACTGCAAGAAAGAACACACCAAAACACACACACACACACACACACACACACACACACACACACACATACACATACACTCTCTCACACACAGTAACAGCATACGCAGCACCATCAGCATACACAGCAGAAAACAGCTGATCAGTGCTGTCAACAATACTGAAAGACGACTGCCATTTAATGTGTAACTTCCAACAGATGGCGGTGCGTGACTACAGCAGCTTGTCTCATTCAACTGACAGGCATTTGAAAGTGATCTTGGTCAAAATGAAAAACAGCTTTTCACATGATAACCTTGACACACAAAATGTTGCAATATGTTTTATTCAGCCCATCGGAGCCAAGCGCCTTCTGGAAGCATTCCCTCACACATGGTACAGCCAAGAGCCTAGTGGAAGCACTCCCTCGCACATGATACAGCCAAGAGCCTAGTGGAAGCATTCCCTCAAGCTTGGCAGGAAGCATGTGTTCAACGTAGGAGCAACTCACTTCAGCTTGGTCTTTGCCATACAAAAGAAACTTCAGTGCAATGGGAATGGCCACAAAACTATACAAATTGTATGTTACGGGCAATATATCTCACGTTTGGCGTTTCTATTGATGACATGTTGGCATGCCAGCTGCCATCACATTTATACCGATGTCCCCTATCACATTTATTACATTTATACCGATGTCCCCTATCACATTTATTACATTTATACCAATGTCCCCTATCACATTTATACCCATGTCCCCTATCACATTTATACCCATGTCCCCTATCACATTTATACCAATGCCCCCTATCTCATTTATACCCATGTCCCCTATCACATTTATACCCATGTCCCCTATCACATTTATACCCATGTCCCCTATCACATTTATACCCATGTCCCCTATCACGTTTATACCAATGTCCCCTATCACATTTATACCAATGTCCCCTATCACATTTATACCAATGTCCCCTATCACATTTATACCGATGTCCCCTATCACATTTATACCAATGTCCCCTATCACATTTATACCAATGTCCCATATCACATTTAATACCGATGTACCCTATCCAGAGGGGTAAGCAGCAGCATTTGGCCTTGTCCAGATTATTATCAACCACCACACTACATCATACCGTTGCGCTCCCCGGCCGGCCTCAACATGTTGCCGCAGCACGCCATCAGCAAAACGACGCAGCAACATGTTGAGGTCGGCCGGAGAGCGCAACGGTGTGGTGTGGTGGTTGATAATAGTCCCCTATCCAGATTCTTCTAGTGTTGACAGGGGGGCTGACTGCAGCCTGTGACTGGTGCAGCCAGTAGAACAGACACTGTATCTAATGACGGTGTACTAGTATGTAGTATGGTATGTATAAGCAACACAGTCTGCCGGCAGACACTAGTAGTCCAATGCATACTACTACTACTCTCTACTGTATACACATCTGCATGTATAGCCCATGTACTGTACAGCCCATGTACTGATGTACTGTACAGCCCATGTACTGATGTACTGTATAGCCCATGTACTATGTACTGATGTAGTCCGCTTACACAGTGCTGTCAAAAAAGGATCATCATACTCATGGACCCATTATTATTATTATTATTATTATAGTCGTGTCAGTGTACAGTCAGACCTCGCATAACCGCACACATCCGTTTTCCACAAAAATATCCGGATAGGCGAGGGAACCGGATAATCGAACACACATACTGTATGTAAGCATGGCATATGCTGTACATTTGTAACCAACTATTTTCTTCCGGATGGCAAGGGATCCGGATAAACGAGGACCGGATAAGCGAGGTCTGACTGTAGTACCCTAAACCATACACTGCATGATGTATGTCAGTGTAGTACCCTAAACCAAACACTGCATGATGTATGTCAGTGTAGTACCCTAAACCATACACTGCATGATGTATGTCAGTGTAGTACCCTAAACCAAACACTGCATGATGTATGTCAGTGTAGTACCCTAAACCATACACTGCATGATGTATGTCAGTGTAGTACCCTAAACCAAACACTGCATGATGTATGTCAGTGTAGTACCCTAAACCAAACACTGCATGATGTATGCAAAATATTGAGGTAGAGTAAAACCTGTGTTTGCCAGACCCCGTTCCAAACAGCATCTTCCAGACCCCGTTCCAAACAGCATCTTCCAGACCCCGTTCCAAACAGCATCTTGACTGGAAAAACTGGCATGCACCAAAGTGCTGTGGATCAAACTATTACTTGCACCTAGGCTCTGGTCCAGTCTGGATCAAACTATTACTTGCACCTAGGCTCTGGTCCAGTCTGGATCAAACTATTACTTTTATCTAAGGACAGATTGCGCTGCACCAAGACACCAAGACACCAAGACCACCAAGACTGCACCAAGACTGCACCAAGACACCAAGACTGCGTCCAGTTAAGTTAATAAGGGGAGGTCTTAGTGTACTGCAGTTCAAATCTAGACCAGCATAATTCTAATACTACAGACATTCGAACTGTTACACATGGATAATGCTGGCACTGTCGTCGGCTGAGGGCCAATAGCGTCAATATGATAATGCCAAATAACGTGCAACTATAGTCCATTCAAAAAGATTAGCAATCAGGTTTTGGTCTTAAAAAGTATGAAGATAAGAGAAATTTGGACAACAAAGTACATAGAATGGCTTGTTAGGACACGGCAAATTGTTCTGTGAAGGTTTCGGAACAATTGGACCAGCCGTTAAGGAGTTAGAAATTCGGCCAGGTTTCCGGCCTTTTCCCATGGTTTACAATTTGCCCTGGATGTCAGTATCGATTTTTTATCAAAACCCACGATTTATCCCCTCCTTTTTGGCCTTGTGGTTATGAATGCTGTCTGCTGACCATGAAGTTGTGAGTTCAAATCCAATCTACACTCAGACGTCTCTTATCCGGGCACCTTGGGACCGGGCACTGCCCGTATCTCAGATTTGCCCGTATCTCAGGATAACTCATCTACCATGTATGATATCATTTTTTGAAGAAGTATATTTGGCACGTATTGCACATGTTGAGGATACAAAAGGAACCCATTGATAAAAATGTGGGGATTACACAGGTTGGCAGTGAAACATAAGCACTTCCACATACGGAAAAAAGTTCAAAAAACCCAAATTCGACGCATTTGTGCTATAGGAACTCAAGCTGAAGGTGCCCGGTAGAGAGACGTGCCCGTATCTGAGGCGTCCGGATAAGAGGCGTTTGAGTGTATCTTGAAGTCAAACTTTTTTTTCATTGTTTTGGTGATCACGCTGGTACAAAAAGTACAAGCCAAAGAAGGTGGCTGCGCCAAACGACTTGTTGTTGGAGCTCGCGTTTCCTGCCGAACTTACTGACACTTGACTGGTTCACGCCATGTGAACACACCCACAACACTGAAACGGTGTGCGTGAACACGGAAGTCATTGCGCTGTAGCTACGTGTTGTTGAATACAACGGCACATCGATCGATCGATTTCTCTTTGAGAATTATTTTAGTATTTCAAGATCGCCAATTTATTTGAATTTAGGAGTCAACGCCGTCTTCTATCAGCTTTCACAGGCGTCTGCTTTTCTCAAAATGTCGTCGAAGTCACACGGATAGCTTTGCCAAGTCATGGCCTTGGGAATGAGTCTGTGTCGATGTCGTTTTCGTCACATCGTGAGAGTAAATTGCATCGCAGCTTAAAGAAATTGGGCACGAAACCCATCCCGCTCGTCAACATTCACCACACTTTCGACATGTCCACTCCATATCGATACGAGGAAGAACTCGTTTGTTGTAAACCAGACGTACATGTACCGACGTGAGTGAGTTGTCTATTTTTTATGCTTTCGCGCGGATTATTTCTTCGAGTTCACAGTGAGTTTTTCCAGTCAGCTCTCGAGCGCGCATACGGTAAGACGGCAAACTCCCCGGGCGATCGCCAGGATTGCTAATCTTTTTGAAACTGACTGTAGACTTGAGAGGGCATCAGGGAAGTTGCATACAAAGTTCAAAGTTGTACGGTTGTGACTTGTATTCCTGCATGCAGAGCTCAGGGCCTGCCATGTACACATTGTAGTATAATGTGTATGCAACTTGTGTGCGATGCCCTCTCAAGTCCAGTTGTATGTTATTTGGCATATCATCTATACAGGATCGCAAGAAATTCGGCATGTGCAGAACTAAGTTACTTCAGAACTGTGGCAGTTACTAGCATACTTGGGTATTATCACGTTTCATAATTATTATCATTATTATTATCGTTACCGTATTACTATTATGGTGAGGGTGATTAATTGATTGATGCTCATTGAACACTGCCTGTTGAACAGGCGGTGCCGGCCGGGGCACGATAACAGCATCCGGTCTTATCTCTACCATGGGGCCGAAGTCAACACATCGCGATATCGGTACACCAGAACACATGCAATGAACTAAGTTACTTACCTAACAAGCTAGGAGCTTTAGAAAGGCCATGCTCGCTTCACAATAGACTGGCACGATACTTCAGAACAATACATCAAGGTCGAGGTTGAATCCTTTTCCACGATTTCAGGGCCAGGCACTTCCCCCATGGCAAACCAAACGATATCCAGAGGGAGCCGGAGAAAGCGAAAGCTTCCGTCTCCGAACTATCGGAAGAGCAGGCTAGGCAACTACAAAATTAATTACCGGTACTACAAAATCGTACGAACTACAAAATCGTGCACACTTTGTGAATTAGCACTGGTGCGTTTCCTATCCGACTCACTGCCAAGTGATCCTTCTCTGGATATGCGGATGGCCCCGGGTAAGAAATTATAAAGAGCCTCTCGAGAGGAAGCCTCGAAGTACAGCTTCTAGCAAGTGTCACTCAGGCACCATGACATGTCCCCATCATCAAAGAATCTTTTGTGACAGCTACCAAAAACTGCAAAAAGTCAGCTTTTCTTTCACAGTTTCCGAAAAGAAATCCGTCTTGTCGACGCAGCTAGCCCATCCATGCATGCCCAAAAGGCCATGTACGTACAGTATGCACGGGGTATATCACGGGGTATATCTACGACACATTCATGCGCGCATATGCTGCTTTATTTTTATGCATGCATATGCATGTGCATCATGATATCAATGCATTGCCCACACGTGTGTACACGTGGACATGACATGCGTAGATCTATGCGCGCCGCAAATTATTTGCGTAGATCTAGATCTACTACAACTATGTTACTTGTACAAGCTACACCGTATAGCGCAGGCGTAGGCGTGGGTCTACACTTTTGATCTACACACGTGCACAGTCAGTCGTGTGTCTGTGAGTATGCTGATCATGTGGTTGCTGACTTCATTCGCTATGATTCAGCTTCCAGACTTCCGTCCAGGGAGTATTACAATCAGGGAGTAGTAAAATACATATGTATTTTACTACTCCCTGATTACTACGAACTCCCTGCATGCTTCCGTCTTCGGACTTCCGTCTTCAGACATTTTTTGCAAATGGTTGCCATGGCAACTGAAACGTCTCTTTTACGTGCAATTCACTGTGCCACGACGAAATATTACCAAGAAGAACACAACACGAAACGAATAGAGTGAAGCCCGCATTCGTATGGTACATGTACATGTACACAGTAACACGGATACGCAATATCCATAATACTACATGTATTTCACTCGTTCTATTTCATGAGTATTTTAATGGCTCTCACTCGAGTCTCAGGCTGCTTTTACACAGAAACGAAATGGAACCAAAACGCGCTGACCTCGAATCGTTTTCACTAAACCATTTACACGAGAACGGAAAATCACTTTGAACCGTTTACGAAAACGGAAAACGGACGAAGAGGCTGGAGTTGGGACGCGCTGGCCTGGCACAACTTGGGGTGGGAAGTGGCACGCTAAGTTAGTTGGAGCTGGCTAGCTCATGAGCGCTGTTAGTGTACGTGGTTTGAATATTTCCCGTACGCACAAATTGGTTTCCATGACCGCGTTCCGTTTCCAATCGTTTTCATCGTTTACACGAGAACGAAAACGTTTTAGTTTCCATTTCGTTCCGTTTCGGGTGCGCTTTCGTGAGTTGTCTTGTAAATGATACTAGTAGGTTGAAACGCAACGATAACGTTCCGTTTCGGTCGCACTTCGTTGCCGTGTAAACTTCACCGATGCTGCTCATGGCGACCACAAATTGGGCTGGATTGTTTGCATTTGCGGATACTCGGTGCCGATGGCCTCGCAGACTGGCAACAGCAGCACGGATGAGGCCGAAGCTGAGCTTGCAGCGGATATACGAGATGGTGGCAGAGTACGGCTCCTCAGTGCTTCTTGTCGGCGAGCATCGATGCCAGCCAGCGAGCATAGAGTGCCGCCGCAGCTTTGCCACACCCTTTCACACTCAGAGTTCAGACTCCGGTCTTCAGACTTCAATCTTCAGACTTCCGTCTTCGGTAGGGCTTGGCGGATAATGCCGGCAGAAAAATTGGCAGAATTCGGTACTTTTTCTGGTAAGTTTCATGCATGTTTGGTATGTGGATAAAGAAATGGAGCAGAATTCGAGGAATTGCCCGCCATAAGGTTTGTATGGTTCTGCCAATTTCGGTGCAAAAAAAGCAGAATCTGCCACCTTCTCGAGCATTATCCGCCAAGGCCTAGTCTTCGGACTTCAGACTTCAGACTTCAGCCGGTCTTCAGAGCCGGTCTTCAGACTTCAGACTTCCGCCTTCAGTCTTCAGTCTTCCGACTTCGATCTTCGGACATCAGACTTCAGCCAGTCTTCCGACTTCAGACATCTCTTCCACTCAAATTAGACTGGTCATAACTTTTAAAAGAGTAATCGGCAAGCCTACAGTGATATATCGACTATTGTGATCAAATTTTCACTTCAAAACCACTCAATTGCATACATTTTGGATCGTTTATAGTAATTGATAGTACCTGCAGAAAACTCTGGGAAACTGAGATTTTGTAAATGCTGTGTACTAGGGTTACCGGGTGTTAGCGGCCGTCGTGAGTTCCCTTTGGGAACGGACACGATACTTCACTTTTTTTTTACTTTACTACAAGCAGTGTAGTCATGGAGTAGATGCAGATAATCATAGTGTTATTTTGCATTAACAAGTCTTGGTAAGGTATTTTACATGTCACTTATTTATACTGCAACATGGAAAAATGTGGGCACAAGTAAGTTATGCGATCGAGTCCACCAACTAAACCAGATTTTTGAACAGTCAGACGCGCACAATCTAGCACAAAACTGACAAGGAGTACTGGGACTTTCCACCGCATGAAAGTCAGCTTGAGCACTGCGCCATCGAGCCGAGCACAAACTACAAGGCTTCATGGAATGCTGGTCTGGTACAATAACGGGATAGCAATTTTTCTTGGCTCACCATCTGAGTTACTAATTTGATAATTATAGTGCATACCTGTGTTGTCTATGTCATCATCACTATTAAGTTGTAAAGTTATCACTTACATAGACTTAATGTACTCTTGGTACTACCCTGTCCATGCACTACAGTACTAGTCAGTAGTGATAATCATCTACTTGTATAGTGATCAGTTCACACTTTTTCAAATACCAACGCTATAGCCGATCTCTACCTGTACAAGTAACATGGCTTGGTGCCCCACAAACTCAGTCACCCCATTGGCCATTGATAAGACTTGCACGCATGATAAATCACATCACACGGAATCAGAGAGTGAGAATCACGAGAAAACAAGGTGCATTGCAGACGTACCACAGGAGATACTGAGAGCTAGTCCGCCAAACCATACACCACTATCGGCATAATAATTATGTAAATGGAACAGTAAGAGGTAAAGAACAAGAAATAAGAAAAGTCTACAAGGACCAGCGTGTAGCATTTCAAGTCGTTGAGACACAGGACTCCAGGATGTCATGCATGCCCGTGACTCCACACTTACCAGGATGTCATGTATGCCCGTCATACCACACTTACCAGGCTGACGAGGGACTACATGTACACATTAATGAAAGTATGGCGTATGTACACACTAATGAAAGTATGGCGTATGTACACAATAATTATGGTCTGAACAATGAAGTAAAACCCAACATTAGATCTATACACCCAGCACAGTATTTAAAAAAAAGGAGAGAGAGAGGAGAGAGAGGAGAGAGAGAGAGAGAGAGAGAGAGAGAGAGAGAGAGAGAGAGAGAGAGAGAGAGAGAGAGAGAGAGAGAGAGAGAGAGAGAGAGAGAGAGAGAGAGAGAGAGAGAGAGAGAGAGAGAGAGAGAGAGAGAGAGAGAGAGAGAGAGAGAGAGAGAGAGAGAGAGAGAGAGAGAGAGAGAGAGAGAGAGAGAGAGAGAGAGAGAGAGAGAGAGAGAGAGGAGAGAGAGAGAGGAGAAAGAGAGAGAGAGGAGAGAGAGAACACAGGAGGACCCAGTGTATGTCAGCATACTGCAACACTACGCCGGTGCATGCCATGTGTAAAGTGCTAACACTGGCTATACGGTAATTTACAGAGGAAGTCTGTACATATAGGCCTTAGGTATTTACATTCTAATGGTATATAATAGGGTTAGGGTATATCGATGACACAAGGACCTGTGTACCCATAGATGCACACATCCATGTGCATTTCAATGTAACTATATTATCCACGGCCACCGCATGATCCTAGACCTGCAGGATTGTGCTGCACGGCATGGTGTAACACGTTGTTGACTAGGCAGAGAACTAAGAGTATGTGTGGTCATGGCGAATCATCACAACGATCATGCATGTTATGTACACTGCATTCACCAGCACAAGAGGATGTGCATGCTCTGCATAAACCACACCCGGCTTTCAGCACTTGACTGCATACCTTTGCAATCGTTTATACCAGCCAGCATTGGGATTTGACGCTCAACCCAGCCACCATTGCTAATTGGCGTTCACTCACGCAATCAGAGCGGTGTTCAGTATTCAATGCGCGTGTCATTGTCACGGGACTACACGGGGGAGTGACCTCGTCCGCGACCACGGTAACCGTGATGCCCTCTACCCCTGCCACGTCCTCTACCCCGTCCTCCTCTACCTCCTCTTCCACGCCGATGAGGAGGGTACTGTCCAGACGGGTGCGCATTACCATGATAGGGACCTGATAACACACGTGCACATATACACACACGTGCACACACACACACACACACACACACACACACACACACACACACACACACACACACACGTGCACATACACACGCACGCGCACAGAGTGAGACATCCAGGCACACAGAGTGAGACATCCAGGCACACATATCAAGTCCTACTCGTCAAGCCCTTGCATGACCTAAACGATCAAGTTTCTCATGTTATATGTTATGTTACACTGTGATTCGAGGTATTTGGGGATGTGTATGCAAAGTGTCACTAAAAGCGCCATTTCGTTCTTATAAAAGCACAGATGACCGCGATTGGCCCACATGTTGTAGTCTTTTGGACGCTGAGTCGACTGGTTTTGGTCCGAAAAGGCTGCAATGCAGCGTTCGGCCCTTATTCCCAATCGAACACGGTTGAGCAAGCGGTCAAGTGCTCATACGTACACCAGTCGTCTGGTCACCGTGCCTGCAGGCTACAACTTTCACACCAAGGTTCAACTCAAAGGTTCAACTCGAGTGACAGGAACGCGCCCAAACAGGCTGCAGGTTGTAGTCTGCGGGCACGGTGACCAGGTGACTAGTGAACGCATGAGCACGTGTCCGCTTACTCAACCGTGTTCGATTGGGAATAAGGGCCGAACGCTGCATCGCAGCCTTTTCGGACCAAAGCCAGTCGACTCAGCCTTGTTTCAGACTCATTGGAGCCTGTCTTCATAGGTCATGGGATTGCCAAGGAAGCCATTCTTACAAATACAAGACAAACACGGCAAAAAAAACCAGCTAAGTACATACCGGATGGATAGGGTGCTCCCGGATATGATGCTCCAGGCGGATAAGGCATAGCTGGGTAAGGCGTCCCGGGATATTGTGCTCCTGGATATGGTGCTCCATGGTATGGTGCTCCAGGGTGACCATAGCCACCAGCAGCATTGAACGAGGCAGGATTATTACCAGCATGCGGGCCATATCCACCGTAAGCAGCTGCGCGTGCGTCGACATTAAAATCGTGTCTGGTGCCGAACTGTTCGTTGCCTTCTTCACAGTTGACGGTTACTCCCATCGCAGGATCACATGCAGAAGTAACATTGCCAGCTGGTGTAGTCTCTGCATGGCTGCTAACAGCACCGCTTGAGTTTGTCGAGTGACTAGTGTACACAATAGGTGTCTTGTCAACTGCAGGATACAAAAGGAACAAACTCAAAATTTACATTCTATCTTAGAATATTGATTTTTTTTAAACAATTGACTGCTGAGATAACAAAGAGGTTCCTTTAGCCAGCGGAGCTAGTGGTGAAACGAATATTCGAATATTCGAACATTCGTTCGGTTTGTCACATTCGAATATTCGTTAAGTCACATTCGAGTATTCGTTACGTCACTTCGAATGCAGTGCCTGTACATACATGGACGCCGAACACGGTGCAGTGCGTACAGCCTGCCGGTGACTTTGTACTGCATGTTCGCACATGTATGTCCATACTGGACTGCCAATGTTGTGCATAACATTTATGAACTTCGAAGTAGCCTTATGTGGCAGTATATTTTACGTGGCACAACCATTTGTCATACCTAATAATAATATTAGTATTGACAATATCCATCAAATGACTGAGCGGAGGGCATGTGATGTCATCTGTGTTACCAAAAGAATATTCGTTCATTCGTTCGTTAAGCTGAAGAATATTTCGACTAGTAGGTTTTGCCATTCATTTCACCTCCGCCAGCTACTATTCAAGTCACGTGATGGTTGTATTGTGCAAGAAACTAGGAAATGTTGCGACGAACTCTGTATACAACCTCCTTTGTGCCTGCTGCGTGTAATGCTGAGATAACAAATAGTTTTGCTCTGAGACAAATGTTCGCCGACCTGCACTGACCAGAAGCACATGCCAGGAAGGTGAGATTTTCTCTAGCAGCTGTTTACACTGCAAATTTGAGTTACTGTAACCCCCCAGTTTTAGCGACGAATATAGCGTCTTTATAGTATGAACTGAGATGTTAAGACTTCGGTGTAAATTGCAGAAGAAGGCGGCTGCTCCAAATGTTTGAGCTCACGCTTCCTGCCGACTAGTGACACTTGACTGACTCACGATCGCCATCTGGAGCACATGAGAGGAATGCCAGACCTTCCACTCGGCAAACCTGCAAGAAAGCACCACTCCCTGCTCAATACACAGTATTTCGGGGAATTCACCCCATATCAGCTGAGCTTGAGTAGGCCAATGAAATTGGTGCTTTCTTGTCGGTTCGCTGAGTGGATCATCTGGCGTTTTCATATTGTAGACGTAATAACGAGATTTATTTTAGCGATCAAAAAAATCCGTCGTACATGCAGCTGCACTCAAAGATTTCGGAAAACTGATTTGCAAGTCCTACTTTAGCAAAATTTGTCCCATTTGCTACATTCGCCAAGATTAGTGTGGCTAAGATGTGGGTGGTTGCAGTACACTTCTGTCAAAAATCAACTTTGGCTGCACCTGATACCAAACAACTACCATCCCCTTCCAAATAATTAGCCAAAAGTAACCGGCGTGCATCTCAAAGGTTGCCTCAAGGCACCCCACCCCGCCCTTGCTTCTGAGAGCCAACTCGGTCTCGCAGTGGCGCGAATGAAGCTAAGCGTTGTAGGAACCATACACGCATCAAAAACGCATAGCATGATTAATTCCAAAGCAAAGCAAGCCCACCACACTAGGCGAAACAAACTTGTTACCAAATCCTTGGATGGTCCGGTCCTTCTCCACCTTCAAAATTACTTCACTACTTTTCCTTCTCGTTGGGTTATTTTTTTCTCTTGCATTTGAGTTCCTTTCCAACCATTCGCCTCCTCTTACTTCTCACTGCATTGCACTTGCTTTTTGTGCAGCCCTACGGCCGCACTGCTTCGCAGTTTTCATAACCGTAACCCCCTTTCTCCCTTTTCAACTCCCTCAACTAATGAATATCAAATTTGAATTTGTTCAACTAAGGTGGCAGCCTGGTCATAAAATTCAAAAATAATAATTCAAAGTACCGTATTTCCGCAAATAAAAGACCGTCCTCGTATACAACGCCGTCCTCGTATACAACGCCGTCCTCGTATACAACGCCTTCCTCGAATACAAGGCCGGGGCAGGGGGCGATTGAAAAAATACAAGACCGTCTCCGATTAGAAGATCGGGCCTACTAAATGAGTCTTAACGACTGCGCATGCGCAGTGCGACGGCTGCCATTTCGTACAAAACTGCAACTACACGTGGCATGTGTGTGATTCCGCCATCACGCTCTGCCAGTCCTTGTAGCTGCCATTCTTTCGACCATGGCCAGCAAAAAGCGAAAGAAGTACTCTTGTGACTTCAAAATTTCTGCTGTGGATTTGGCAAAGAGGACGAGTATCACCAGCGCAGCGGAGAAGCTCAAGGTGACTCGGGCTATGATTCGGCAGTGGAAAAAAGATGAAACTTTGCTGAAAGATGCTGCTGGGCCAAAAAATAGAAGACCGGGGTCAAACTGGGTTGAAAGAATAAAAGACCGTCACTATTATAAGGCCGGGTTAGGACGAGTTTGAAGAAAATAGTAGACCGGCCCACTATTTGCGGAAATACGGTAGTCATTCTGCGGCCCAAACCCAGTTGAGACAGCTGTCTACATAGCAGTCAACATCTTCAACCATGGATCCATCGTTTTATAGGATTATTCTCTAAGCTGTGCAGGGTAATGTTGGACTTCATACCATTGAGGGCGTCAAGCAGATTGACCAGAAAGGGCTCTACCATCCAGGCAGAAAGTGCTCCAGCACAGAGAAACAAGCAAGGAAATTAACTTTTCATTTCGCTCAGGAGTTTTTCCAATGACGTGGAAGTCTGCTGTTGTCGTCCCAATACACAAAAAAGGCCCTCGCACAGATCCTGCTAACTACCGGCCTACTTCTCTTCTCCCAGCAATATTCAAGGTTTGCGAGCATGTATTCTATGAATCTTTGTATCACCATGTTTCCCCTGCTTTATCTGCCGCTCAGTCTGGCTTTTGCCGAAGGGACTCTACACACCTTCAATTGGCCCGCCGTGTGCAATATATGCAGACCAGCCGCGACGTGAAAGAACATGTTGGCCTGGTGTTCTTCAACTTGCCAAAAGCGCTCGACACTGTGTGGCACCGTGGACTCCTAGCCAAGCTAGAGTCATCATTCCTTGTACATGGTCCCGCCCTCCAGTGGTTGTCATCATACCTCTCCTGTCGTCGTCGAGTGTCTGGTACTTTGTCCGATCCATTGATTGTTCAGTCTCCACAAGGATCAATCATTGGCCCGCTTCTGTTTTTAACCTACGTTAATGATCTACCCCAACAAGTGTCCGGCGTCAGTCTGTTTGCAGATGACACTGCACTTATGTGCACAGACAGCTCATCCAACAGCCTTGCTATCTCGATGCAGCATGGCATTAGCACCATTGTACCCTGGATGGAGACATGGAAACTAAAGCCCAACCTCGCAAAAACCGAGGCAATGTACATCTCCCCTTCCCCTCCCGCGCAACCACTGCATTTTCCTGGTCATCTTACCCCCATCCTTATTGTGGACCAGCACAAGCACCTTGGGGTTATCATAGACAGCCAGCTCTCCTGGAGCCAACAAGTCAGTTCTGTATGCAAGCGAGCCAGCTCTGCTGTAGCTATTCTACAGCCCCACTGTCAATACCTACCTGATTGTTGCAGACAATTATTTTTGAAGGCCTATATCTTCCCCATATTCGACTATTGTGATACTGTTTGGTGTGGCCTGTCAAAACAGCTTCTTCAAAAGTTAGAAGTACATCAGCGCTTACTCTTAAAAATAATTTTTCGCAAAGACCCAACATTCTCATCTGAATCTCTCTATACTCTTGCTTCTTCACCCCCCCCCCCCCCCTTTTGTTGACCGACACCAGCAACATCTTTGCAGCCTCGTCCATAGAATACGTCTCGCGCAGGTTCCACGGCATATTCATGCATATAACTGGTTTTCTAGCAATGGCTCTACTCGTAATACGCTAACCCTACCACATGTCCGATCCTCCCTGTGCAGTCTATGAATCTGTGTTGAAAATTTGAGCTGAACCCCCTGAAGGATGACGGAATCAGGGCCAACAGTGTGGAATATAGTGGAATATAGCACTTTACAACTAGGCTGCCATTGCAGCAAGTGATCCAAAGGAGAGGGAGATACTAAAGAATCCACAAGGCAGACTCACCAATATTGTATGCAGCATCAGTAGTGGATGGTGTGTGTGACTTGACATCCGAGCTTGCCAATACAACATGTATAGTAGGATATTCGTACAGTACACAGCCGTCTAGGTTGCATCTCAAGCTAGAGGACAGCTCAAAACGGTAGAAGCTAGCGAGCAAGTAACAGATACACAGACATGCAACACACACACACGCACACACACACACACACACACACACACACACACACACACACACACACACACACACACACACACACACACACATACACACAGGTTAACAGACACACAGATACAGACGTAGACATACAGCCATGCAACACAGACAGTCACACGAGTCAAGTGACACACGCGTCAAGTGACACATGATTGTAGTGCAAGGACAATTCTACCCAGTTTGGGTAGCTGATAGAATGGCCGAGGTAAAGACAAAGAAGATAGCGAGAGTCCTGAACTGGCAGCTCTTTAGTTTTTTTTCTCTCAGTGGGATGGCACCATGATGAGTCCTACAAACATCAGTGACATCTCACTGCTCTCCCAAAGTATAACTCTGCTGTACACAGGGAGGGTCTAGGGCAGCATGCTGCCCGTAGAATGTATCCATCAGCCGTGGTATCAGCTGTGCCATTGTTAACCAGGGTGTCGAACTTCCAAGGATGGTTTCCTTGGAGACCGTGGAAGGTTGAGTGTGTGATGCTTCATGCACAGGTATTACCTTTTTAAACAACTGCCGTATCATGCATGCAGCCACACCAAATTGCTCCACTGAATTACGACTTTGTAGCAAAGCCAAATCCAGTCATCTTGATCACCATTTTACTCACATTACACGATAAATGCAGCGCTTCACAGAGCCACTAAAGCTTGTATACAGCAGTGCTGCTCAATGAAATCCAGTCGCGTCCCTCAAGGATGCGCCGGGCGTTGCGCAGCCCGAGACCAGCGAACACTGGGCTGCGAAAAGGTGCAAGGCGCAAACTTAAGTGACACGACTGGATTTCATTGAGCAGGACTGTAGTACTAGAGTTGAAAAGTCTTGAGAGGTTGAGGATTGACGAAAAAGCTGCGACGAACTTGGCCAGTTAACCCTTTACCATCCGTGCGTACTTGAATCGATCTCTAGAGATCGATGGACATGCATACACTAAAACATTCGTAACTCGATCGATTCTTGTCGGAATTTAAAGAACTAAGTATCTAGGAAGAAGCCGAAGAGCCCAGCTTTCCATTGCATCAATCGGTAAAGAGCTGCGATGTTGCATTCCACAGATATTTCGCTCGACATTTCAGCTACGGCAAAAGTCGAATTTCTTTCTGAGTGACTGACCTTGAGCGGGGATTTTTCCCCTCTCCTGACATGCTGAGTCACTTTGGCATGCTTTGAGTTTGAGCGCGTGGGCAGCATGAAAAGAAACTCAAGCAAAAAAATTGGAATGTTTACGATGAAGGAGTGAGAAATGGCTGGCGAGGAGAGAATTTCCTCGTATATCCAGCGATGGGGTGTATTTGAAGCTCCCTGGCGCTGGATATGTGATCTCGGTAGTGTCCTGTTTGAGCTCAATATACGCAGCTCGTGGAGAGCTTTCCAGAATGCCCAAGATTGTGAAAATTGGTTGATTAGAACCTAAGGTATTCTCAGAATAAGGTGAGAATTTTTGCATTTGGGACTGCTGGGGAAATTTGGTCGGATGGTAAAGGGTTAAAAATATAATTCGAAACAGTCTACAAGAACGCAGTGTGGAGTGGCGGAGTGTTTCAAATTAGGCTAAGGACTCTACAAGGCAACTATCTTACCAATTTGCATTAGCTGGTTGATTCTCGGCAGGCATAAATAATTGTACAGATGAAAGGCTACCATTACTGCCCTGATTGTAGGAGGTTAATCTGAGCACACACACATGTAGATTGTACAGTGGGTAACCGTGGGTAACAGTGGGTAACCGTGGGTAATTAATATCGGAGCAAGACACAAATCACAAAAATCACAAAATACTATAGGCAGCCTTTGCCGCTACAGTAGAGTACCGACTATCCTAACAGCAACTATCTGAACGACCAATTACCCTAAACGCCTCTTTGCATTGAATTGAAGCGACACACATGAGTTTTTGCCGATTTCACCCACCCATTCCAATAGTGCACAGGACCGACGTATGGCAACAAGTTGGAGTCAACATGCATCCCCAGCATAGTCAACATGCATCCCCAGCATAGTCAACATGCATCCCCAGCATAGTGATGGCTACATGTAAGATGGTACGACCGTACAGGGTTAAACAGTACTGATCAACAGTGAGACACTACATGTATTACATTTCCATGTCCAGCATAGTACATTGTACTGGGTACACACCAATCGTACACAATGACTTACCGGCATCTTAGAGTGGGCTCAGCCTGTTCACCACCAATGTATTTCTTTAGTGCATCTTCCAGGGTTGTCGCATCAGATACACTGGTTCAGACAAGCAAACACACACACACACACACACACATAATCAGAAAGTGTGTTCCATGCTTGCAGAGTGAGTTGCAGAGCGGAGACGATGCACTCACAGCAATGCTAAGTAGCTCTTACGCACACCGCATTGGCGGGGTTTGGACGGCACAACCGCTGGCAGGGCGTGGAGCACTAAGTGGAGGAACGTGGAGAACTGCCAATTCAGTGTGAAGATTGTGCACAGCACTTTGCACGGCCAGGGGATATGTCTCGTCACAAATGTCACCATGATCGTAATGATACTCAGCGGTAGTCTGGGGGGGGGGGGGGGGGGGGGGGACACGGCTGGGTACTGGCACATTGTGTGCAAGTGTATGCTTTTTTTGTTTTTTTTGTATGTATGCATGCGTGTGTGTGCGCGCGCATGTGTGTGTGTGTGTGTGTGTGTGTGTGTGTGTGTGTGTGTGTGTGTGTGTGTGTGTGTGTGTGTGTGTGTGTGTGTGTGACCAAAAAGTAGGGATTCACTGGCCAGAAAAAGCCACTTCATAGCTGTGTGGTGTAGACCAGGCTGAATAGTGGCGGTCAATTCTTCAGCCTTGCAAGCTGTTGAATGGTGCAATCCCAGCACAAGCTGCTATGGCTTCTGCTGTAGCATCGCTATCATCGCCTCCGGCGATGGGCGTCAAATGGTCAAATGGTCAAATGGTCAAATGGTCAAATGGTGTGTGTGTGTGTGTGTGTGTGTGTGTGTGTGTGCGTGCGTGCGTGCGTGCGTGCGTGTTGTGTGTGTGTGTGTGTGTGTGTGTGTGTGTGTGTGTGTGTGTGTGTGTGTGTGTGTGTGTGTGTGTGTGTGTGTGTGTGTGTGTGTGTGTGTGTGTGTGTGTGTGTGTGTGTGTGTGTGTGTGTGTGTGTGTGTGTGTGTGTGTGTGTGTGTGTGTGTGTGTGTGAATATCCAGTCCTCATAACTCATGTAAGAATGACTCTGCTTTGATAAAGTAGAGCCCCGCTCTGATAACTCTGCTAACTACTCACGAATCTGAGAAAACTGTATTGTCAGCCTGTGGAAAAATCCACTTCACAAACCATGTCAAACGATCACTCCTGCACAGGATAAGGAAGACAAATACCCATACACGCACATACACACACGCACACACACACACGCACACATACACACACACACACACACATACACACACAATAGTGAGATTCCGCTCTACATGAAACGTAGAGAAATCACGTAGAGAACAGGGGTCTGGGTTAGAAACTACGGCTCCGCGTGTTGGGTCCAGATTCGAAGCGGAGATGAGGCTCAGTACGTTGTGGCACACGCAAAGAAAATGCGCACGGATCTGCTGCGTGTCAATCAAATTAGTAAGAAAACTGCCAAATTTGGAAGGCGAAGTTGCCACTACACATTCCACATGATTTCTTTGCGTAAGTGTAGTGCAGAACAAGTTTCCTACTCAAGTATATGTTACGGGAACGTCACCAGGATTTCCTACCGAAGTATCTCCTAATTTGCTAAATCCTATATATAGGATTTTGGTCATATTTTTCAACTCAAAAAAGGGGGTGGCATGAGAATAGCAAAAAGTATGTGACCAATTCTTCCTTGCTAGGTCTTAGTAGATATCGAGAGTTGAATAAGATACAAGTAATTTTTTCAAACACTAACATCTCAGGCTCATCTCCTTGCCCAATATTAGGCCTGTCCCCTATTTTTCAAATCCTATATATAGGATTTGAGATTTTATTGGACCTTGTTTTATCCTTAAAACTGGTAGTTTCATGACTAGGCACCGGGGGATTATGCCGGCATAATTATTGGCATAATTTGATGGTTGAAAATTTGGAGCATAATTTGGCATCCTCTCGGAGGTAGGAGCATAACTACACGATTATACCACAGTTTTAGTATATAGGCTATACAATTGTGTACAATGCACCTGATCAGTGCTGGTGGTCTGCATGGCAAAGGGTTCGGAGGTCATGCAGATAGTGTTTTCAATGAAAAGCAGGGTAGAAATCATGGCAATGCATTATTGTATGCTCGAACTCGTCTTCTTCAAAGTTCTTTCTCACACTGACACAGTACATGTAGCAGAAGATGCGAGTGAATCAGCCTTCATCAGGTATCCCGGGCCGGACGAGATACATGTACATGTAGTGGCGGGTAGTCCGCAAAACTCCGTGTACATGTACATGTACATTACATTTGTACATTATGCATGTTACGAAGTCATGACCAGTCTGGATTTTAGCAGCCATGATATGACTGCAGGCTACGGATATTGCTCTAAATTGATGTATAGTTGATGTTCGGTCATGATGGAAGGAGACGTGGAGCTAGGGAGAGATGAGCTGATTATTCGCAGGGTGAGGCCCAGGGTGACATCGGATGGACGAGTATGATGATTACGAAGACAGTTGAACATGATAATTTTCAAAGGTAACTCAAACTAATTTGGCAATGAAATAATATTTTTACTGAAGTACAGGTGGAATCCTGATAATTCGAACCTCGAAATGCCAGGAAAAAACTTCTAATTAGCCGGACATTCTAATTATCCAAACATTCACCCACAACACAATATGTACCGGTATATCAAAATGCTCTCATGGTCACGCAGAGTTGCGCTATGGACCTTAGACACAGATTTCACGGATACTGAACTGACCGGCACAGCCTGCTCATGCAAACTGAACTGACCAGTACAGTGTACAGTGAACTTCGAATAACACTTTGCTAACTTCGAATTATCAGCACAAATCCCACACATTTTCTATGTAAGTGGAATCCGTGGAACTTCGAATTAACTGGATATGTCTGGTTAGAGGTTCGAATTATCAGAAAAAATTATGTGGGAATCGTATTGACAGAAATCGGTCCTGGAAAAACGTCTAATTAAGCGGGATGTTCGAATTAAGCCATATTCGAATTATCAGGATTCCACCTGTACAAAAGAAATCAAGTAATGAATAGAAGAAGTATTGTTTTCTCTTTTCCATGTTGACCTCTTACATGCATGGACACCTTGCCCTTGGTATGGGGATACTCATGTACATGTACATTTATTTTCTTGTACTTATGGCCACTTGCAGCTTGCAAGGACGAAAAAAGGAACAATTTCCCGAACTTTGAGGCTCCATAAGTACAACAAAGTGAATATATATCCCCGGGTGCCAAAGCATAATATGAGGATTTTACGAGCATAATGCGAGAATCCATGAAAGCATAATTCCTTGATTTCGCGAGCATAATCCGCCGGTGCCTATTCATGACGGCATGTGCGATATGTCGTCATGAAACCACCCCGTGCCACACCTGCAATGTTCTTCTGCACATTCACTGCTTCAGTCCTTTCCATGACAGCAGCTGAACAATTATGCTCAAATTTACAATTATTGCTGAAAATGGGTATTCATCAGAAATATTATCGCCCTATGAATCTAAAATGTAAACATTCATGCCTCAAACATATTTACAACTTCCATGAAAACCATTATGCCGTTATTATTGGTTGTGATGACTAATAACAACGGCATAAAAGGCACACCTTTTCAAATCCTATAATTATATAGGATTTTTGGCCAGCAAATTAAGAGATATGTTACGGGAACGTCACCAGGATTTCCAACTGAAGTATATGTTACGGGAACGTCACCAGGATTCTCCGCGTTGTGTCCCCGTAACGTACAGTACACCATCACCATTATCAGATGAAGAAAATTCTGATACTAATGAGAGTGATGTTGCCCCTGCATACGGCAGGAAAAGTTGAACAAATTCAACTCTTCCATTGCTTCCAAATCCGTACGGTAGTGCGGTTGCATTCCCGCTGCGGGTGTAAAAACTCGATACTGTCATGTTACGCTGGTATTCCTGTGGCTCCTCATGCCATGTCGAATGTCAACTAGGCTTCAGACACTCAGAAACTTCTGTAAATGTACTTGCTGTACTGGCGGGACTGGGTTAGCTTGAGACATGATTGAATACAGGGGAAAGTGCTCTTGGCAGAGACTGGTAATGCTCTTGGCAGACACTGGTCTAATACTGAAACGGTTCAGGCAAAGAACCAGTTTCGGAACTGCCAGCTGAAAAGAATCAGGCACCCGTTCAATCAAATTTCAAAATGAAATTCGAAAAATCTTGTTCTTGTACATGTACGTCTACTCATTCAAGATTTTGATTTTTGAATGCCATGACTGGTTTGCATGGTCCATGTTTGGCTACAGTAGTGTGTAAGCATGCAGTGATTGTACCGTGTGCACTGAGTCTTTGTGTTGTGTAGGGTGCACACAGTGCACCGTGTGCACTGAGTCTTTGTGTTGTGTAGGGTGCACACAGTGCACCGTGTGCACTGAGTCTTTGTGTTGTGTAGGGTGCACACTGTGCACCGTGTGCACTGAGTCTTTGTGTTGTTTAGGGTGCACACAGTGTACCGTGTGCACTGAGTCTTTGTGTTGTGCAGGGTGCACACAGTGCACCGTGTGCACTGAGTCTTTGTGTTGTGTAGGGTGCACACAGTGTACCGTGTGCACGGAGTCTTTGTGTTGTGTAGGGTGCACACAGTGTACCGTGTGCACTGAGTCTTTGTGTTGTGTAGGGTGCACACAGTGCACCGTGTGCACCGAGTCTTTGTGTTGTGTAGGGTGCACACAGTGTACCGTGTGCACTGAGTCTTTGTGTTGTGTAGGGTGCACACAGTGTACCGTGTGCACTGAGTCTTTGTGTTGTGTAGGGTGCACACAGTGTACCGTGTGCACTGAGTCTGTGCGGTGTGTGGTGAGCTCACTGTAAAGCTACAGTCAGCACACGGACATCGTACAAAAAACGTTGACATGCGCGCGCGTGCGCAACGGGTTTTGGTTGTAGTTTGATCATATCCTGTTTGTTGGAATGCACTCGCTTCGTGGAGAAAGTTGTTGCCTGTTGTTTCGAAAGTTGTTTCTCTTGCTGCTGGGGTAGTTTTTCGGAATGGATTCGCTTTCCAACCCTGAGGGGTCTGGTAGTTGTCCTGCTCGGCCTGCCCGGAGTCGCTCCAAGATTGGGGGTTTGTTCCGGCTTGTAGCGAAGGACAAGGCCGAGTGTTCCATCTGTAAGGAGCGACTGCATTATTCGTCCGGCTCAACATCAACCATGACAAAACATGTATGGGCCAAGCATCTGTCCAACGAGCCAGTAGCCGGGTTGAACGAGGAGTCGGCGTCCTCCAAACTCGGAATGAAGGAGCTAGATTCGCTCTGGTCTCAGAAATCCACCCCTGCCATGCCGCACAATAAATCAACGGAACTGGATCGGCTAATTGTCAACTGGATAGTGGAGGACCTCGGTTCTCTCGGCATCGTTAATGATGGTGATTTCCGACGATTGGTGGCAACAGTAGCGCCTGGCTATGCCATACCCAGTCGCATACACGGACAGAAGCTAGCTGCAAAGCTGTATACAGTTCTACTGACCAAACTGACTCACATGCTGGACGAGGAAGCTGTGCATGCAAGTGCTTACAACTGACTCATGGACATCAAAGGCAATGCACAGCTACACCACACTCACCGTCCACTTGATCAACAGCAAATGGAGGATGCAGCAAAACTATGCTGTCAAGACAGCATATTTCCCAGGTTCCCACATTGGAAAGAGGATTGTTCTGCTGGTACTCCAGTCGTTGGAGGCCTAGCTCAAAAGTCCAGTGTATTGTTCACGACGAGGTAGCTAACATGATACTGGCTGGCCGCATTCTTGGCAAGGACAATGTCCGGTAGAGTGAAGGATGTGCATTCTTGGCAAGGAAAATGTCCGGTAGAGTGAGGGATGTGCATTCTTGGCAAGGACAATGTCCGGCAGAGTGAGGGATGTGCTGCTCACAAGCTGCAAACATGCATTCGCCACAGAATAGGTGGTAGTCACAAAGTGGAGCAACTTTTGTTGCGGTGCAGGAAGCTTGTGGGCCACTTCCACCACTCCTCTCAAGACACCGAAGCTCTGAAGGAAAGAGCGCGTGGTATCTGATGTGAAAAAGAAGACTGGAGTGAACACGTGGAGAAATTCTGCAGCGCTTACCAACTGGTTCGAAGATGTCAGCGAAAAGAAGAAG